CCATCTGACTGTGGATGATAAGGGGTCGTTCGAGTCTTATGGATTCCCAAAAGTTTACAAGTTTCCTGAAAAACTTGGGATTCAAAGTTCCGTCCTTGATCACTGTGCATCTCCAAGGGCACTCCGAATCGGGTGAATACCTCGTTTACCAACTTCGTGGCTACAGTTACTGCCTCTTGATTCGGTATGGCAAAGACCTCCGGCCATTTTGTAAAATAATCCATAACCACTAAAACGTAGCGATTGCCCGAATCAGTGATTGGAAATGGTCCAGCGATGTCTAAGGCTATTCTCTCCCAAGGCATACCAACATTGTAGATTTTCATCGCCCCTCTGCTTCTTGTTTGTGGACCCTTGACAGCTGCACAACTAGTGCATTTCCGGCACCAATCTTCGACGTCATATTTGCAATGCAACCAATAAAACCTCTCCTTGATCTTCACCAAAGTCCTCCTAATTCCCAAATGTCCTCCAGAAGATCCATCATGGAACGCTTTTAATACATCCCTTATTTTTGAACGAGGCACCACCAATTGCAAATGCTCGTCCTTGCCGTTTGTTGATTCCCATTTCCTGCACAGAAGTCCGTTATGCAGCGTAAGGCTTTTCCACTGTGCCCATAAACCTTTCGTTACCGCGCTATATTGGGCGACGTCACTCCAACTTGGCTTGTTACCACTTCGTAGCCACTCCAGTATTGGTTTAATATCTGCATCTCTTTCCTGTTCTAATTTCATCGCATCATCTCCCCATGCCTCGTCAACAGTATCAGTCCTTATCACCTTAAGAAAAGCAGTTTCCTTCTTAGCACAATGTTTGCAATCTTCCACGCATGGGCGTCTCGATAATGCATCTGCGTTGCCATGAATTCTTCCGCCGCGATGTTCGATTTCAAAGTCAAATTCCTGAAGTTGTTCCAGCCATCTGGCTACTTGGCCTTCGGGATCCTTAAACTGAAGCAGCCATTTCAAAGCAGCGTGATCAGTTCTGATCAAAAATTTCCGTCCCAGTAAATACTTCTTGAAATGGTGCAGGGTTTTGACTACAGCCAGCAATTCCCTCCTGGTCACGCAATAATTCCTCTCTGGCTTGGATAGTGACTTGCTGAAGTAAGCAATAACCTTCTCCTGCTCACCATCGCGTTGTGAAAGGACACCTCCTATTCCAATATTGCTGGCATCCGTATCAACTACGAATATTCCTTTCGCGCTGGGATATCCGAGAATTGGTGTGTTACAAAGCCGTTCTTTTAGTTCTCGAAAGGCTTGCTCACAATCCTCGTCCCAAACAAAGGCACGTTTCTCCTCTGTCAATCGATGCAATGGCTTGGCAATGTCCGAGAATCCTTTCACAAACCGCCGATAATACGAGCACAATCCAAGAAATGCCCGAACTTGCGTTTTGTCTTTAGGTGTTGGCCATTCCTTGACAGCGACAGTCTTGGCTGGATCAGTCTCAATTCCTCTCTCAGAAATAACATGTCCTAGATAATTCACTTCGCGCTTGAAGAAAGAGCATTTCTTTGGACTCAACTTTAAATTTGCTCCACGCAGCTTGTCGAGTACCTTTTCCAATTTCCTTAGATGATCGTCAAAATCCCGTCCAACAATGATGATGTCATCGAGGTAAACTAGGCAGGTTTCGCCCAGCAGACCCGCCAGCACCTGTTCCATCAAACGCTCAAAGGTTGCCGGTGCATTGCATAATCCAAATGGCATCACCTTAAATTGCCAGAGTCCCTTCCCAGTTGAGAATGCGGTCTTTTCCTTGTCCTTGGGATCCACATCCACCTGCCAATAGCCGCTTTTCAGATCGAGCGTTGAAAACCATTTCATGCCACTCAGTGTGTCAAGTGTGTCATCGATTCTTGGTAACGGGTAGCTATCCTTCTTGGTTACATCATTCAATCGTCGATAGTCTACGCAAAACCTCGTTGAACCATCTTTCTTCTTGACAAGCACGACAGGTGAACACCAAGGGCTAGAAGAGGGCTCTATCACGTCATTTTTCCTCATATCGTCAATCATTTGTTCAACCTCTTTCTCACGAGCGAATGGTATGCGTCTGGGCCTTTGACGAATTGGCATTGTATCACCTGTGTTTATTTTATGCTTCACCACACCAGTTCGGCCAATATCACCATCGCTTCTTGAAAACACATCAGAGAATCGAAGAAGTAAATTTCTAGCTTTCATAGTCTCCACTTTTGTCAGACTTTTGTTTTCGTCTAAGATTTTCGTTACAAAGTCTATTCCCGTACTGTCCTTTTTCACAAGATTCTCTGAGCATTTTCTTATCCAGGCCACTTCTTCCAATACGCCCACAGGCTCTCCTTCTTCAATCGTAATTTTTGAATCACTGAAGTTGAATACCGGAATGCGGTTGACATCAGATGACCCCACGACAGTTCTTGCCGGTAGCCATGAGTTTACGTGTTCCGATTTATCAATCACAGCGCAACTTCGAGGTAAACTTCCTTCCCTCCTCCTAGGTAATGCAATTGGTACGAGAGTCTGTGATTTTGGTGCAAGAACAGTTCTTCTTAAACAGCAAACTTTTCCCAGGGTTCCACCCTTCATCGGAATTTCCTCAGTTCCACATAGTAATACTCCAGATTTTAAGTCGATGTTACACTGGTGCCCTCGCAGGAAATCAAGTCCCAGGATGCAGTCATCCAGAATTTTGGCCACAATAACCTCATGTCGATAAACACGTTCCCCAATTTTGATTGTTACATGCAATTTTCCACTTATCGGTATGCGCTGGCCGGTAGCTGATTTCATTCGTAGGCCAACAATTGGTTTAAGGTGTTTCCTGATATTTTGCCCGAGCAGCCGAACATTCATCACCGTCCTTGAAGCTCCAGTATCTAACGTTAGCTGACTGTTTTTCCCATTTACTTGACCGTCTATCACCAGAGTATTTCCATCGTTAGTTTGCTTGATGTAGATTGTTGGGGTTATTCCACTACCGGCCAGCGCCCACCCCGCAGCCCTGGCTGGATTTAGTTTTCCTGCTGGTCAGAAGTTGAGACCGCCGCGTCCTGGCGGTTCACCTTCTTCGGGCAGTCGCTCCGCATGTGCCCACGCTCTCCGCATCCATAGCACATGAAGTTCCGACGGCGTGGAGGTACCTGCTCCGTTGTCGTCATTTCCCGCAGACGTAAGGTACGGGAGTTACCACGCACGGCTTCCACTTCCAATGCATGGGCCAGAGCTTCTTTCATGTTCTTGTGATGGCCCAGATGAACAGCAGCTCGTACTTCGGGGTCCCGAACACCGTCAATGAATGCTTGGAGAAGCGTGCCTTCAATCATAGACGGAGTCGACCGGAAAGCTCGACGCACAAGTTTCTCGATTTCCACGGACCATTGCTGTAGACTCTCATTAGCACGCTGAGTACGCTCTTTTAATTGCGCTCTGTACACGTGCTCGAGGTGGCTGTCTCCAAAACGTGCCTCAAGTGCGTCGAGGAGGGCAGTAAAGCTGAGATCCCCACTTGCGCCGATAGCTTCCAGCACTGAGAGCGCTTGATCACGGAGGGCCAGGGTGAGGGCTGACTGAGCTTCTTTCTGAGTCCAACCATAAGCCTCCATAAGTGTCTCAAACTGTAGCTTGAACGCGGTCCAGGATGTTGTTCCGTCGTAATGGGGAATCTTGAGCCCTTTCGTTGCGCTTGAGGCCACATTTGGGGTGTCAAAAACGGCTGCAAGACGGCTTCGGCTCTTCAAAGGGCTTGGGCTTGTCACTTCCTGCTTGATTTTGGAGATCTCTTCTTCCACTCTCTCCTCTATCGCCATGACGCGATGTTCCAACTTGCCTAACCCTTCCTCCACTTCTTGTACCCGTTCGACAGCCTTTTGCAGTCCCTTCGTGAAATCCTTATGCATCTCTTTCAGCTCCCGTAGCTGCTCCGCCTGACAGTGTGCTTGCTCCCGTAGCTGTTCTGCCTGACAGCGTGCTTGCTCCTCTTGGCGGCGCGCTTGCTATTCTTGGCGGCGCGCTTGCTCTGCCATCATTTGCTGCAGCTGTAGCAGAAGATCCACCTGCACAGGCTTGGCTTCTGCATCGCTGGTTTGAGCTGCAGCACCCTCTTCCCTCACACGCTGCGCTTCTGACATTGAACGGGTACTCACTCCTCTTACGTCCTGCGGCACTAGCGGCATTTTTCTCCAATCCCACTTCTGACACCAAATGTTACGTGCCTCGTCACGTTCCTGACTATGCGGGCTTGGGTTACGGGATTGGATGAAATGAAACACTAATACCGGTTTTCAGACTTTCTATTTCACTTAAGTTACAGCGTCCACGGAGTTAAGTTATCGGCGTTCCTCTCCAGCAGAGTCCGGCCGACTGACACAACTTTGCCGTTCACGCTGACTTAACTCACTTAACTGACTGCACTTCACTATTTTACTGCACTTCACTATTTCACTCACTTTTCTTCTTTTTCACTTCTTCCTTTTCTTCCGAACCGCTTTAGACTTAGAAGTCAACTGCTAGCGGTGAGCCGCAGTTCTGCTTATATACCCCCGGTCAGGTTCTGGAACATTCAATTTCGTTATTCTTTTTGATCGTCATGCAGTGGCGTAGCTATCATAGGGCCAGGTGGTGCCGTGCACCAGGGCCCTCGAGCTCAGGGGGCCCTCTAGCCTCAGCTTTGAAAAAAATGAAAAATTTAAAAAAATTGAAAAATTGAAGAAATAAAAAATACTTATTAAAAAAAAATCTTACACACACACGGCAGCGTGACTGTATATGAAGCGTGGCAAAAAAGTTCCACCATCGACAGAGAACTTGAAGATGAAATTCGCAAAGAAGCATCATTTTGGAGACAAGTTCTTAGCAGATTATTTGATATTATAATTACTCTTGCGAAGAGTTCTTTGGCTTTGAGAGGACATCGAGAGGATCTGAGTGAGGGAGGAAACCACGGAAATTTTCTCTCAATTTGTCCAACTCGTCGCTAGATACGACCACATCTTGCGTCAAGTTTTAGATATGCCCAAGGGTAAGAAATGATCTCGTTTACTGTGTTTATAATTTATGTTATCATTATCTGATTTTCTATTATCCCCAAGTTTTTAGGATCAACAAGATCCTGACCATGACCTGAGTGCAACGATTCAAAATGAAATGATCGAGTGTATGGGCACCAAACTCGAGAATCATTTGTTCAATCGAATTAGGGCGTCACCGTTTTTTGCCATCATCATGGATACCACGCAGGACATATCAAAAGTGGATCAATTGAGCATTGTCGTAAAATATGCAGTGATATCAAGATCGGAAAATGGACAACCAATCGACATTGAAATAAGAGAAGTCTTTCTAGGTTTCCACGCAGTCACTTGATTCCGCTGCGCTGTGTTTACACAGCGCAGCGGATTTGGTAAATCAAGTTACTACGTTGTTCTCCGAAAAGGGTCTTGATTTTAAAAAGTGGGCAAGGTCGCGATGGGGCCAGTGTAATGAGTGGTGTGCAAAAACAAATTAAAGATATTCAGCCAAACGCAGAGTACGTACATTGCGCCAGTCATAATTTGAATTTGGTCGTAAATCATGCCGTTCGAGGTTCCGTCGAAATTCAGAAGATTTTTGCAATAATTCAAGACTTATTTAACTTCTTTGGAAACAGCATTAAGCGCTGGGACCTTTTATCGAAATTCACAGGTGAATCAGAAATTACTTTGAAAAAATTGATTCCAACAAGATGGTCCAGCAGGGTTAATTGAATAACTGCAGTCAAACTTCGTTTTTTCGATATCAACAAAGCATTGTCCGAAATAACGCTGAAGAGTTCCAGTAAACACGAACGCAGTGAAGCAGAGATTATAAAATCAAAAACGCTGAATTTTGAGTTTGTATTTCTTATTGAATTCATGCACAGCGTATTGAACAATATCAATTATGTTTCCAAAGTTTTGCAAAATCGTGATATCGTTTTGGACGAAGCGAGTAAGGCTTTGGACGAAACAACGGATAAATTGAAAAAGTATAGAAATGACTTCGAGTCCTTTAAGTCCAAGGCCACCGAAACCGCGAGAAAATACGACATCGATCCTACCTTCCCAGAAAAGCGACGAAGAAAAACTATAAAGCATTTCGATGAATTGGCTTCTGATCACCGATTCGAAAACCAGGAAGAAGTCTTTAGAGTAACTGTTTTCAACAGTGTACTCGACATAATAATCAACCAGTTAGATGCGCGTTTTATTGGTATGAATGCAATTTGTAAATCGTTCGACTTCCTGATTCCAAAAAATCTGCTCAGCTGGAATGAAACGATTTTACTCAAAAAATGTGATCAGTTTCAGAAGAAATATTGTGATATTATTGGCACCACTTTTTCGCTCCAATTCCTTAATGTATATCATCTGATCCTCCCTCAATTGATGGAGACGTGGTCTATTCGCCAGCTTTGCAAAGAAATTATAACGAAATTCGGCGTGCTCAAATGTGACCTTACGGAAGTGTATACAGCGATGCTACTGTTTCACACAATTCCTGTTACTTCCGCGGCAGCAGAAAGATCTTTCAATAAACTGAAGATTATAAAAAAATATTTAAGAAACAGCATTGGCCAAGATCGCCTCCGACATTTATCGTTGATTGCAATAGAAAACGAGACGGCATCGAACTTGAAATTGAGTGACATTATAGACGAATTCGCAAACATTAAAGCGCGCAAGACATTGTAAATCGGGCGGGAAATTCTCTTAAAAATCGTTTTTCCTTTTAATTAATAAATATTCTATATTGTTATGTGCGTCGTTGTTTATTTAGGTACTCCCTTTTTCTTCCATTGAACACATGAAGATTTTGATAGAGACGACGTATGGATTTAGCCTACTAGGGATGATTCAATCCACTGTTTCCTATTCTTATTCCCTATCAATCATTTTCATATCAATAAGTACAAACTGCGCGGAAAGAGGGGAGGAGAGCCCGATTCTCTCCCTATGCACCAGGGCCCTTGCCCCCCTAGCTACGCCACTGTCGTCATGCCTCCAGAACCTTCCAATAATTTCGTTATTCATTTTTATTTATTCTCCTTCTCGCTCTTTAATTTTTCATTTCTTTCACACGAATAATTCCAGAAAGTTCGACAAAACTTCTATAAACTAAAAAACTTCATGTTTACGGCGGGACTCGAACTCGGGGTCTCTGTGGTGTAATCCACACGCCTTACCGATTACACCAACTCGTGTTGACAATTCACGACGAAATTTACAATCTCTAGGCAACGTTTGACAACCATCCATTGACGTCATGATGTCAAAGAGTTTGAACCACTTTTCCGTCACAATATGTATATCTCAGTGAAATTAGCTAATAAAACATTCAATTAACAGCTTTCCGAATAAATCAAATCGCATCATATCTTTAGGTAATGTTTCTTTTTGATGGTTATTCGTTTTTCAACGTACGGAAATTTTTTTTACGGAGTTTTCTATCTAATAGTGCAACTTCACTCGTTTAATCCTTTTGTTAGTGCCTGTACTATCTTCGAAGGTACTTACCTACACTTGTGACTGCTCTGGTATCATTTAGTACCATTACAATAATGAACCCCCTTACTTATGTGATAGGACCACAGAAATATAAAAAAACAGGATAGGACGGTAAACAAGCCTTGTTGTTGAGACACCTGCGGCCCGGACTAGGCGTTTTACCTCGTCGTTTATACCGCGTACATCGAGGGATTGGAACAGTTTGCCGGCTGCAGTCTTTCCGTCCGAATACAATTTAGGTGTCTTCAAGGCTAGAGTGAATAGGCTCTTAATAAACTAGTGCCTTACCATCAACGATTGCATCACTGCTTAGCATCAGGTGGGATCGCAGTCAAGCACTGGTTTATTGCAACTATTGCAAGTAGAAAAAAAAAAAGCATATGGATTAGGTACCTGGGGTCCAAGTCTACTATTTTCAAAGTGTTGTCATTCCAACACGATTCCATTGTCATTTTGCTAAAAGTTCGTAATCTGTTAATTCAAAATGGCTGATCATTGGCGTTCGGCGATGTCGTAATAGAATTATAGTACGAGATTTATTGTAACGAATTATAAACAATAACTGCACATTAATATTCTAAACGTAAATCATTGAATAAAGGAACTGGCATTCTTTTATTAATTTACCGCATTATGTCAAATATTCATTTGTCATTATGTACGAGATTACCGTTCTAAAGAATTATTTCAATGAAGTGGCATTGGTTGATCATTGGAAAGTCATAATGACGCTATCGTGTTAGTAGATTACCAAACTTGTCAAAATCAACAATTTTGAAACCAATGATCTACTATTCTGACACTATTGTAATGGCAGACTCGAGGCCCTGATAAGCAATTGGCGCCCACGGACATGTACAACACCAGTGACACCTCAGCCATAAGTGGCATAGGATAATACATTATTGGACACTCAATTAAAGACAATCAGACAAGTAACTCGCGTCTTATTTGTTTCTACATTGCAAGAGAAGTAACGATAGCGTTGCCGGCTTTTGGGGAATTAGGGAAAGTCGCTTTCTCTGTTCCTATATCCTTATGTACGCTTAAAACAACGGAACGGATTTTGATGCTGTTTTTTAATAGATTGAGTGATTGAAGAGGAAGGTTTTTTTTTACTTGCAATAAACTAGTGCTTGACTGCGTTCCCACCTGATGGTAAGCAGTGATGCAATCGTTGATGGTAAGGCGCACTAGTTTATTAAGAGCCTATTCACTCTAGCCTTGAAGACACCTAAATTGTATTCGGACGGAAAGACTGCAGCCGGCAAACTGTTCCAATCCCTCGATGTACGCGGTATAAATGACGAGGCAAAACGCTTAGTCCGGGCCGCAGGTGTCTCAACAACGTAAGGGTGGATATTCGCCGAGATGTCCGAAGGTAAAATTGGGACGGCGGAATCAAATCGTGCAATTCCCGAGAGGAAGGTTTACCTATACGTATAATAACATCCATTAAATAGTAGAGAAATTTAGTATCAGCATTACATCCGAGCGAAACAGAGGCGTGATGCAAGAGGTTTATAATATAATGTTTTTCAAGGTCCACGCAATAGTTCGAGATGGCAGTACTTATTTGGAAGGTCTTCGAAGGTCTTTGGAGGACTATAATGAGCTGCTGGAGAGCTGCAACCGACGGAATGGGAGTATGGTAAGTTGCCAAGAATGCTATTTACCCCATCAAGTCAAAGTCATTTATTTCAATAAGCCCATTAAAGACTGTGACGGTGAAGGAAAACATCATGAGGAAATCAGAACTTATAGTTTCTTATTCTAAGTTTGAAATCGCCAATCCGGCTTGAGCTTAAAGGCAAGGGGGTCACCGGTGACCTCCGGTAGCGGTAGGTTTGCCTTCAACAGTTTTCTGTCGGCAGTCAAAGGCTTAATGCTCAAACCTCATCTTGTGAATGTATGTTTGTTATTCTTTAACGAAAAAAACGGCTGGAACGATGTGGTCAAAATTTTGTATTGTATATAGGTGATATTCGAGATTAACACTTCCAACTAACATACCACGCGGGTAATGCCGCGGACGGAAGCTAGTTATCTTTAATGAAATTAATAATTTAGAAGAAAACACCAAAAAAGGTAATTTAAACGTTGCTTAAATTGATTGCAAAAATCATCAGGCTTTGATTTTCATTTAGGTACTTAGAGTTGGAAGGCCATAGCCATTCCCAGTGCCCACTGCTGAGCAAAGACCTATTCTCACACGACACGGAGAAGGTCACATAAAGTCACATTATACCTACAGCGGGTAGGCGATTTAAAACTTATAATTAGAAATTACAATTCCAAGTTCCCTCACGACGTTTTCCTTCACCATATGTCAGTGGTAGCCTAAATAATCTTAGAAAGTACATATACTATAACACAAAAAAGTCACTTTGGTACTTGCCAGGCTCCGAACCCGCACCCTCGGGCATTAGAGGTGCCTCCGAGCCACCATAACGTTAATTTAGGTTTTATAAATAAAAATATATATCTTATTATTCTTTTCAAACAGCAAAGCTCATCATCAACGAACTCAACTTGGAGTCCAGCTTACGAACCTCCGAGGAACAGCAGCCCACCATCAGGATCCTCCCCACCCGTCCTCAATTTCCAAAACTACGAGAACTCCCCTGTGCCTCTGAAGCCCAACTCCTCAGATTTGAGCAGGCCAGGCACCAGACCTGGACGTAGAAACATGTCTTGCGATGAGGCAACGGAATCCAGTGAGCAAATTAGGAGGTTTGCCGATCTGGCGCTGTGGGCTACTGGTAGACTCCAGGATATAGCTTACGCGAAGAAGTATCAGAAAGTAAGTGGTATTTTGGCAGACGACTGTTGCAAATAGTGTTCTGAGTTTAAATTTAGGGCATAATTTGATTTAATTCGCCAAACCCCAAGCGAAAGCCGGCGTTCGCGCACCTATTGATAGGTTAAGATTTTAATTTACTTGTGCTTATTGTAATTATGGCATGGCACCTGATTTTGTTTAGTTTGGTTTTTTAGTTTTTTTTTTATGGTATAAGTCGGCAAACGTGCAGACGCGTTACCTGATGGTAAGCAATCGGCGCCGCCCATGGACACCCGCAACACCAAAGGAGTTACGAGTGCGTTGCCTGCCTTTTGGGGCTAGGGGTTGCGGATATAAGGATTGGGAAGGGATAGGGGAAGGGGAGGGATTGGGCCTCCGGTAACCTCACTCACACGGCGAAACACAACGCTGTGGTTGTTTCACGCCGGTCTTCTGCGAGGCCGTGGTATCACTCCGGTCGAGCCGACCCATTCGTGCCGAAGCTTGGCTCTCCCACACTTAACTAATATTATAAAGCGGTAAAGTAAGTTTGTACGTAGTTTAAAATCTTTGAAACCGCTGACCGGAAAATTCTTTCACTGATTGATAGCTAGCTATCTTCCTGAGTGCTATAGGCTATAAAACCTACCTGCGACCAATAGGAGTAACACACACCAAATATAATCGATAATATAAAAAAAATATGAATACCTAATAATAATCTAAACATTTAAATTCTTCTACAGACAGACGAACAAGAAGAGAACGAACTGATCCTGAAGCTGGCCTGGTTCCTGGACAGGTTGGCCTACCTTAGCGGGTACGAACCAGATATCAAGAAGCACTATAATGAGCCCAGAACAACTAAAAGTAAGTTTACCCGTAGGAAGTGGATGTCTAAAGTTAAAAAAAAACCTGAAGAGATACTATTAGATGACAAAATAATAAAATACTAACGATATCGTAAAGTCGCTCCTCGATAGGTTTCGCATCAGGGGATGCAGGAGACTACAACCACTCCAACAAAAGGAGACCTTGGCCTGAAATGACCCGTGAAGTTACCGTTCTGGACCGCCGCCCCCTTACGACGGCACTAGATGTGTCCACTAGATCCTTGGACAGTGGAGCGATGGCCGACTAGGGTTAATTTGTTACAATCCCTTCTTTTTCCGCGGGTGTCCCAAGAACTGATTATCTACTGGACTTAATAACCGTCCTTAATCCAAATTCTCTGGATCGATCTTTCCCTCTCTCTTCTCACTCCGTACTAGTTCTGGATGAAAATCACGGTTACTGATATTTTTTTATACTGGACTAGCTTTTGCCCGCGACTTCCTGCAGATTTTTGGTTAAAAAACTATCCTATGTCCTTTCTCGAGTTCCAAACTTTGTCTGTTCCAAATTTCACAGAAATCGGTTCAGTAGTTTAGACGTGAAGAAAAGACAGACAGACAGACGGACGGACAGACAGACGGACGGACGGACGGACGGACAGATAGAGTTAATTTCGCATTTAAAATATTTTATATTGGATATCTAATAGTTTCGGTTACAGTTAACACATTCAGTGCCCCCAACGCACCTGTGCGTTCAATACATTAATGTATAGAACGCACAGGTGAATGAAACCACAGCGTTGTTTCATACCGTGAGAGTGAGATTACCAAAGGTCTCATCCCTTCCAATCATCAAATCTTATACTAAACTACAAAGGGCCGGCAACGCACATGTCCAAACGCAAACTCCTTTGGTGTTGCGGGTATCCATGGTCAACTTATCTCATAAAACTATCTGGATCTCCATTTGCCATCTTGTTTGAAGGTACTCCAACTCTACCACCGACGCCTCCAACCCTGGTGCCTTCATCGGACGACCTGAACAAGGAGATGATGGACTGCCTCCGCCGCAAGTCTTCGGAACCAGCGACTGTTCGCTGCCGGTATCCTATGGAGATGCCTGACATTATGAGGCAGATCGTCGAACAAGGTAGGTGAAGGTTTATGAACTATTTGATAGATGATGGTAAGCAAGGGGTTTTGAACACGAGGGAAGAGAGTGGTAATTGTTTTTGCATGCAAATGAGCAGACGGCTCGCCTGATGGTAAGCTGCGATGATAACATATACCTTCTACATTGCCTTCGTATATCTTCCAGGGACATCTCCATCACCTCCAAGCTCCGACACCGTCGTTCCCATGAGTGGAACACCAGACAATGTAGCAGGACCTTCAGAGATCCTCATCACAGCCGACTCCTCGCTCCCTCTCCCTCAAAGAACGAAGAGATCCACAGAATATACCTATTATTTCCCCACAAAACCGTTACATGAAGTGGCTTACCCGGTTCCAATTGTCAAATTGATCAAGCACCGCTTGTCAAACATCAAATCTGTTGTGAAAAGTATAGTTGAAAGGAGATTGGCTCATTTAGCTGAAAAGAAAGAAGAGAAACAGCATTTCGAAAAACATTTCGATAAGCGATCGATTGATGATAAATTTGAAGTGTCAAATTCAATAAATCCATCGCCGGATTTGCCTAAACCCTTTGTCAAATCTATTGAAAAGAAACCTCTAGATGCTACTCTGCTTTTACATTATCCTGTTTCTGATGTTTCGGTTATAAACACTAAATCATTTAAAAAACGCTCCATTGACGATCGCAGTGTAACGTCAAATCATATAAATCGAATGTCAAATTGGAAATCGACTGACAAATACGTCAAAAAAGGACCATTATTCAGAAAAAAGTTTGAGAATCTCTTGCCGTCTATCAAAGCGACGAGGAGATCTTCTAAATACCCAGATTCGAAAATAAAATCAATAAACAAAAGATTTACAGAGGATCCGTTCTCGAAATTAGCGAATTATTACATCAAATACAAAGTTTGGGACAATTCGAATCCGACAAACTCAAAATACTACGACGAAAAAAAGCCCGCCAATTTTGACGTCAAGAATCATTTGACAGCTCCGAAGACCGTTCAGAAACGTTCGCTGTTCAACAAAAAGGTCGTCCACATGCACATACCGAAACCTCTACAAATTGTACACACATACGTTAATTCTCTAGGAAAAGGTCATACCAAACCGAGGCTTTTAAGTCACCTGCAAAAAATACACGAAATTAAGCATAAAAAGCATGATAAACTCCATAAAATTATTAAAAGATCTTTGAAATATGAACACATCTATTTGCCCCGGATACCGATGGACCCACAAGGGGATATAAGTTACTATGTCAAGAATAGAGAAGGGACTAACTTCAACCCAGATCCGGTACAGGCGGCTCAACTCAGACTAGGTCTTGAACAAGTTTTTCAAACTGGTAACATTGAGGTAGTTAGGAGATTTGGTTCCAATTATAATCCTCTAAATCCGGCTCCATTTTATTCCGGCATAATAGCTACTATGACCGACGCTTAGAAAATGTTTTTTAACCAATTTACTTATAATTTTATTAATAATTTTTATTCAAAAACACATATATTTATAAATTACAATAATGTATATACCTAATAATTGAATTTATTAACTGTATATGTATTTTATGTAATAAAGTATCTGTTTTGATAATAGAAATGTTTTTAATGCTACTTAGTATAAAGTTGTTTTTTTATTTACACGATTTTTAATGTTTGTTCGGCCCCTGTCTCACTAAATAATTAGGGATGGTGCAGCTTATTGCATTGTATCAGCCTATACCTGCTGAGCAAAGGCCTCTTCTCACTCGAAGAAGATTTGAGCAATAATCTTAACGCTCTCTCAAGGCGGTTATTTTAATTAGAGATTTCAAACTTATAATCAGAAACTATAAGTGCATGTTTCCTCACTATAATTTCCTTCGCCGTATGCCAGTGGTGTCTAAAGAAAGGAAGTACATATAACTCGGAAAAAATCACATTGGTACTTGCATGGTTTCGAAACCGCATCCTCCTGTATGACAAGCGGGCACCTTAACCTTCGGGTTTCCACACGACATTCCACAGCTTATTTACAATCTTAAAATAAAATGAATAGCACAATATTATGAAGTTCCTATGTAGGTTTATTTCTGTCCTTATCTGACTAAAAGTAGAAAGAAAAAGACATGAATAATATTTGAATTTCTTTTATTTATAGTTGACATAAGAATTTATATGTTTTAAGAACGAAAATAAGTAATCGATAACTTAGATTATGCTAACTTTTTAACAAATATATGATGATATTCGACAGAGGAAACTCAAAAATAGGTTAGGTTATAATAATATGCAGAGGTTCATTTATTAAGATGAAAAATATATTTTTATTTTTAAGACGAAATACTGCAGATAAAATACAATTGAACGAAAATAAGTAAAGAATGAATGGTTTAAAATTGAATGAAATGGTCATATCGTTCGTTCGTTTTCGAGTTTCCGTCTGAAAATATGAAATATAATATAATAATAATGCTTATATACTAAAGACTTTTATTTATTAAAAAAAACAGTATTTTAATAGAAAAGTTGTAATTTCAACATGTAACCATTTAAAAATACGAACATTGACTTAGTTTTAAATTTATTATTGTCGAATTCAATTGAAATTGTTTTAATTCCAATTTTATTTTATACTTTTGTATAATAAGATTATATTTTTAACCCGTAAAAGGTTAAGAAATTTAGTTACATATTAAAAAAACAACTGAGTGACCATTTTTTCAATTATTTGGTCCCAATTTGTGACTCAATACCACGATCTTCGATTTCTCTCATCGTTTTCGTGACCTTAGTAAAGGTTGCTTAACTTTATAATGAATAATATTCACCTTTTAATATGTAACAAATGCTAATATAACAAGTTGCAATTTTTTTTTATTATTTAATAATACTAATTCTCGGAGTTTCAATATAGGTTAAAAATATTTTTGATAGATAGACCATGAATAGAATAGGTACTTATTTCAAATTTATTTATGCTAAGATCGTGGGTCGTTAAAAGGAATGTGTATATAAATATAAACATATTTAAGAAACGGCAATATCTATCCTATATAAATATTATGTACTTAATTAAGAAAAATAAGTTTTAAAATGTAATGACTTTTACTCAGCGGCCATTTTGAAAGAAGCCCGCCAATTATAACCTCAAAATAAAAGTCACTGTCAATTTCAAACTTATTTATGAAAACGACAAATTTATGTTAGGTATTTCATAGGTATAATATGATTTTTTGAAAGGCACGATTTTTCAACAACTTATACGTTTAATTATACTTATTGTTTACAAAAATATGTTAAGTATGTATATTTGATAAAACTTATATACAAAACTGACTTGTCAACGCTGTCAAATTGGTGAGGAAAAAAATTAAATGACTGTCAAAAATAACAATAAAGTAAAAAAAAAACTGGCATAATATACAAATATTATGTTACAAAAACAAAAATAATATTAAATATATTGTAATGCGCACGTTAATATCCTTAAAAAGGATATAGTCGTGTCAACGAATGTCTTAAAAGACTTGTATTTAATTCAAAATATGTTTGAATGTACAACAATTTGACAGTTTTTTGACAGTGACATTACATATGACTTTGGGGTCTCTTCTTTCTGCTGAATAGACCTCCGAAGACCCCCTTCTTGTCCTTCTTGTCTTTTGAGACCCCACTCACTGAGAGCTCAGACTCGCCCGATGACCTAGTACAAAGAAATTTCGTTATAAATACAAAGTTATGGGGAACTACAAACAAAAAATAGAAATATCTAAAATACGAAATAAAGAAGATCTGTTTGTAATATCAATAAAAATATTGTCTGCAGTTATAAACGCTGGAAATAGCTGCACAGTATATCACGGGTTCACTACATATACAAATAACAATATTTTTTAGGGTCTAGTTTTTTCGAGAGACGATCTCCGGCCACTGTAAGTGCGGGTCTGTAGATGGCGAGCAAGGGTAACTCGCCGCCCGACAAGAACCAGACCTGAATGTACGGCACATAGCGTTCGGCGCGCGCCTCAAAGAGCCAACAGACCACCGCAGCCTCGGCCCAGAGCAGGAGAAGGAAGGGGGTTTTTAGTCAGTAAGAGTCTGACAGTCTCTCCACCCGACCCTGGGCGGGTGAAGTCAATTGATGATTTTCCCCTCACAAAAAAGGGTCTAGTTTTTGAAATGTTATTATATATCATTAAAAAAGATGCAAATGATACATAATAAGATATCAATGAAAGACTTAGTCAATAATAAACAAATTAAAAATTAGAAAATAAGCCATCAAACTTGAGATCTAGATTTTACCTTGAAGCTGGTCTCTGGTCTAAAGCTGGCGATCCTCCACTTCCAGCGACGGATGCCGGTCGAGTGTTGCCACCACTGTTGCCTCCGTAAGCTAAACAAAAAAAAAAAATAATAATAATAAGCGTCATCATGACAACCTATTTGACATTTCAACAAACTTAAAAATTACAGTTTATACAATCAATTTTGAATTTTATTACAACATGTTAAGGATGACGTTAAGTGCAAATTATTGTTGATAAATACACAATTTTTACGCGCCAAAATTTCGTTGTCGTACAAAATTGATTGTTAAGAAATTATGTTAAAGTTTGTCAAAATGCCACATAATTTATGTATTTTTAGTTAAAACTAAAGCTTGTATTATTCAAACTACAAACAAAATACATTTGTTAATTCAATACACCAACACCATAAAAGGTACACAAAAAACAAAAGCACACAGAAAAACAAAATGTCTACCCAAAGCTAAAATTAAACATTATAATAGGTATTATCAGAGCTGGCCCGAAGTATATTTTATGATTCCTGTTTTCCTGTTCGCTTCTATAATAATATATATAATTATATACCAATAACTAAGTCCAAAAGAAGGAATGCATAGATTTCGACCATGCTTTGGGAAGAAAAGCCAAATGAAAATCAGGCGCAATACCAAATACGGTCGAGTAAGATTTTTGAAAAATTATAGAAATCCTATAACTTTTAAAATCATACTCTGAAAGCTCTTATAGCATTTAACGCCATCTATGATTTGGCGCCAGAAGCGAGTGCTACGCTAAACGAACGGGCCAGCTCGGAATTATAATTAATTAGTTCTAAATACTAGATTTAGGTAACACAGTTTGGATATAGCATAAGAAAATATAAAACAAAAGTATAAAAACTAATTACTACCTAAAAACAGAATACCTAATATTTTTTTATGATTAGAATATTTATATAAAAAAGCATAATTAGAATATAAAAAAATAGCTTTTGTATAATACATAGCATAAGAATATAACATATGGCTAGGCATATAGTAAAAGATCCAAAGTACCTAATCAGTGAAAAAAACTTTAAATATATTACATATATGACCTAATTTAAATACCAAAGCCAGTACCGGAATCTAATCAATATTATATTTAGTTTTTGCTGTATATAACGTTGTATATATTATATTAATATATTAATTTATTGTATAAAACGGGCACAGAATTACTTAAACATATTATAAATTGACACAGCTTGGTGACAGACAGACGGAGGGACAGTTTATAACTTTTGAGTACGAAATAAAAGTAAAAAAAAACGTCTCATAAATTTCTTACACTTCACGTTAATAAAATATTCAAAGTTTTTCTCATATACTTACATAAATACATATTATATAAAATAAAATACACAAAACATACACTGTACTCGATGTAATATGTAGAGAAGATGACTTGCTCCTGATTGCGTGTAAATATAAGATATTTAGTTAAAGTATATTAAGTGAAGCAAGTATTATTTGCTAAGCATTACTATGTGCCAAAAGACTGGTGTTCAGGTAAAAAAATGGTTCACAAAATTGCTATTCAAGATGGCTGAATATTTATTATATTCAAACGTATACGTATCTATTAATAAATGATTGTATGAATTTAGGAATTATTTTAACTTTTCCTTGATCTTTGGACACATAAAGAAGGTGGAGAAGACGATTTGAAAATAATACAAATGCTAATCTAAGAAATAAATATAAAAGTATTATTTCGTTACTAAGGTTATAATTTCGTTATACTCAGTAATCGTCTCATCCATTATTTAACCCTAGAGAGATAATCTACGTCTTTGAGACGCACAGCCAACACAAATATTGATATCTCTTGTTTATTTCGCATCGTACCGCTCTGTCCTTCTAAGTTATCCCACTGGCCGGGCAGACCTTACGCGAGACGGCAGTGTCTCCCTGGTAAGTACAATAATTACGTAGATACAGGGATAGCGTACGTTCGAGAGACGTATGATTATCCTTTGTGTAACTTTTGAACCTCATTCTCAGTAGTAATAGTTCATTTTATTTATCGTTTTTTTTTATATTTTAGGTGATTTATATATATATATATATATATATACATATATAGGTTGGTAGGTATATATATAGCTTACAATGATAAGCCTCTAAGTCTCAGAAATTACATGAAAAAGCTGAGCACAGAACTTTTATCACCTTGGATGGAGAAAAGGTTAGAAGCTCCTACTCTTAAAAGACATGTCCGTGTAAATATCCAAGATTTGCTACCAAAAACTAATTCTGTAGATAATAATGAAGAATCAGTAATCAAAAAGAAGAGATATTGTGCGTATTGTCCGTCAAAAATGAGAAGGATGTCGAAAATGACATGAACACAAATCTGATATATGTTAAGGCTGTATCTAAATGTGATTTAAACTTAAAACTTGTTAATTTTTTATATGATACTGTTAATTAGTCCTTATTCTATAATATTAAGTAAAAAAAATGTGATATTAAGTTTAAGATTAACATAATTACTCAACAAAGGAAGACTTCATATTTTTTTAGTTATTTTGTAAGAGGTTTACAAAATTTCTTTGATTTTAAATTATAATCATTTTCTAATTGTAATTATGTTTTTATTTGTCGTAGAAAACCCTTAACTAATGATTCAATAACTTTTTAAAAGGTTATATATGGAAACTTGTCCCATAGCCACTTATAAATGCGAATACGTCTCAAAGACGCATGTTTATTTGAGATTATCTTTCTAGGGTTAATATTAGTACCATTTACAATTTTTATAGGCTAGAAAACTTAAAAACTACTTGAGTACTAGTAAATAAATTATCTAATAAAGCCAATTATAATTACATAATTTATACTTTTTTACAGAACAGAATCTATCGGAAAATATTGAAGAACAATAATATAATAAAATTAAAAACAGATTCAATTAAGAAATAAAAGAATGGAGAGGACTAAAACAAATTACTTACTTACAAGAAAAGAATATAATAACTATTGAATAAAGAAAAAATTTTGAAAATTTTGTATAACACAGTATTAGTAAGGAACATTATAGCAGAAAAAAATTAAATTAATGACAGAATTTCGAGATAGAATTAAGAAGTAAAAATAATAACAACTTTAGGGCTGATTTTTCAATGGTCATATACAAGTTATCTGGAGAATAATTATGATGCTGTCGCGTCACAATGTTTGTATAAGACAGTGACCGCAACAATTTTATTCCTCACATAACATTTATCAGACTATTGAAAAATCAGCCCTTTGTCTATTATATTTAAAAAGAAAAAGAAAATGCGTATAGCTAGCGATCCCATTAAGCATAATAGCGCGGTCGGGTTAAAAACTACTTCTAAAACTCAAAAAAAACTAGGTACATTTTAAAAACCTTTTCTACAATTTACAAACTTAAAACAACCAGATCCGCGTTCATTAATTGCTAGTCTATCGGTTTAAATTAAATATAAACAATCTTGTCATGTCTTTTTATATAGAAGTTGTCTAAAAATTATATGTAAAAATGTTTACAATCGGCTATTTACCTAAATCTATGTTAGCTAATAAACTGAATTAAAGTAATCTTTGTATGTACTTTATACGAGCTCTTTAATATAAAAAGACATGCCAACATTGTTTACCTTTAGTTAACCACCTAAACCGATACATTATAAACGAAATAGCGTAGCTTTGCCAATTAAATAGCAGAATTGTGTACTTGACAAGCCAGTCACTTTCTAAACTTTTTATAATGTTAAAGACAGCCATTTTCTATGAATCTTATTTGAAATAGTATTGTAGTTACATCAAAATATTTTAGCGTCAAATAAGAAATATGTTATTTGACGCTAAAATATTTTGACGTAACTACAATTTTTGAATGATCTAAAATATTATTATTATTAAGTACAAAGAAAAATTAATTTATGAAACTGTGATTATTTTTCAGCCTTTTATTTTTTTGGTTTTATAGGTACGCTGAAATAATTTCTTTTTGATTAAAAACTATTAAGGTAACTAGCAATACGGTAGGTATTTTCCAACTAGTCAAATTCAATACTTTCGCGCCAAATGTCAAAAACTATACTTTTCTATGAAATTTGTATGAAACTTCAAATTATGACGTCATAGTATTTTTGCGTCAAATAGCTTACCTATTTCCTTAAAAAATAGCTAAATATCGAAATTTGAGTGTATCGACAGATCGACGAATAAAAGTATAGTTATTTTTCAATATTTTATTGTACTGAAACGTCGAATTAATTTACTTTTGACGCAGGAAACTATCCAATTGAGACGTTTCTAAGAATTTTGTTGTGGATTGTTACCTTTATTTTTAATATATAAATAATATAACTATATTGAAAAACCGAAATAATTTATTTATCGACTAAATCAAGTACACAATAACTATGAACAGAAAGTCAGTTTAGCTTTTGAGGCAAGCTAAAGTATAAGTAAATTGAATTATTTAGTTAAGACACTCAAAATTCAACATAATGGATGGATGGAGAGGGAGAGGGAGATCAAAGAAAATATGGATGGATTGTGTGAGAAGTGATATGGAAGACAGAGGAGTTAGTGATAGCGTGACGAGTGACAGGACAGAATGGAAGAAAAAAACATATTGTGCCGACCCCAAATAAAACGAGACAAGGGCAGGAAGAAGAAGAAGACTCAAAATTCAACATAAGCCCACATCTTGAGCCTGTTATATTTCTCAGCCAGGGTGACGGGTCAAGTGCGATGATATACCGCAGCCTTGGCCTAGAGCAGGAGAAGGAACGGGGTGGATTTTAGTCAGTAAGAGTCTGACACTCCCTCTCAGAAGCCGTTTGATGATTTTCTCGCTCAAATAAACAAGCCTGTGATTTCTCACTGTTTCAACTGTAAGCCTACTAGCTACATAATAGGGATTTGCTTTTATCTCCGCAGACAAGGCTTGGGATTGACGTTAAAAAGGTCAAATCAAATCAAAATCATTTTATCATCATCATCATCAGCCTATAAGTGCCCACTGCTGAGTGCTGAGTAAAGGCCTCTTCTCATACGGAGAAAGTTAGAGTAACTTATAATTAGAAATTATAAGTCCAGGTTTCCTCACGATTTTTACCTTCACCGTATGTCAGTGGTGTCTAAATAATTATAGAAAGTACTTATAACTCGGAAAAAGTCACATTGGTACTTGCTAGGTTTTGAACCCACACCCTCTTGCATGAGAAGCGGGCTCCTTAACCTCCGGGCCACCACGACAATACCACGACAAAATCATTTATTCCAACTAAACCATAAATAGGTACTTTTGAAACGTCAAAATAGAATAGTAGTCTGTCAGTCTGTTCGTCAGTGAAGCTAGGTTCAGGTTTAGAGAGCGCTGCTGACTATTTAGTATCTGTATTATGTGATAGGGTGGCCACCTTGGTCTACCATATGGTAAGCAAGCTTTGCCCATGGACACCAATATCAGAGGAGTTACGAGTGCGTTGACAGGCTTTTGGGGATACATTTTTCGTGAGATTTAAAGATTTGGGAATGGGGTGAAGGATTTGGCCTCTGGTAACCTCATTCGGTGGTCTACGAGGCCGTGGTATCACTCCGGTCGAGCCGACCCATTCGTGCTGAACCATGGCTCTCCCACACTTGATGTATAATGGTAATATCTTTTGAGTATCAAAACGAAATAATTCAACATTGAAAACAATTTGCAAAAAGTATTGTTAGTAGTATCTACGAAGCTTTGAAGAGCAGGGCTCCTGTGGTACTTAGGCTGGAGTGGTACTTTCAAAAACTTGGATCATTCGGTACTTTTGAAAAATGAAATTTAGTGATATACAACCTTGCCATGTTTTTATACAACACACTACATAGTAGAAGGGTAATGCTGATACTAAATTTCTCAACTATTTAATGGATGTTATTAAACATATAACCTTCCTCTTCAATCACTCTATCTTTTATAAACTCGCATCAAAATCAGTTACGTAGTTTTAAAGGTTTAAGCGTACATAGGGATATAGCGACAGAGAAAGCGACTTTGTTTTATACTATGTAGTGATATGGTACAGAAACTGCTACCATGGGTTGTATGTCAAATAACTTGGCTATTTAAACAGCTGTAATGGATATATCTTGTTGAACGTTAAACCTTGCACACTAAAACCAAAAAACTACAACTTGTAAAACCTGTCACTAAAAGTACCAACCGATCCAAAAAAAAGTACCACTCAAAACAAATGCTAAACAAAAACTAACCAGTTTCGCTTGTAGCGTAAAAATGTGAAGTCGTCTCGACATTTTGCCAGTTATTATTACTGGCATAGCCTTGCCAGGAGGCTGTTCTATTGGCATTGGCGTCTTTAGCATCTCGTTGCTGCCAATTGCCAGTCATCCGTTGCTGATAGCTGTTAACTAAAGCCGATACTGATTGTTTTTCTTGAGTATTCCGGTCGGGTATGTTCGGTCCCCGTTCGGGTAAGTTCGGTCCTCGTTCGGGTAGAGTCGGGGCTCTTTCAGGCAGTGGTGGGCGGTGAGGGGGCCCTGTTACGGGTAAAGGAGGGGCCCCCATTTCGGCTAAAGAATTATTTGTTAGAATTTGCTGTGATGTAGGTTAAATGTATTGTTAGGTAAAAGAGACTCGATTGTTCGAACTATTGGTTTTTAAATTGTAACGGAAAGTTTTTATTTTTGGAGATAATTTAGGTTATTATATTATATTGTTTAACTAATAATTTGGTTACTTATAGTTTAATAAAATCGAATGAAATAATAAAAGACAATTTATTCTGTAAAAAAAATATTAAGAATTTAAAAATAGTTTTTTATATCAAATCGCGAGTTTAGGTACATTATAGATAAACACGTGACAGCATCAAACCATTGAATTTCTACATGAATTAGACAAATTGTACTTTTTGACAATTCCTAATAAGTTATGAAGCCAATTTTTATTTAAATTTTGTATGCGATCGCGTTTTGTGACGCCATGATTTTATTGCGTCAAATAACATAATTATTTGTTGAAAATTATAAGTACTTAATATGAATATTTAGGTATATCATTAAATCACTGAATATAATAAAAGTAAGTTTTTTTTCTTAATTTTAATGCATTGAAATGTCGAAATAATTTATTTTTGTCCACTTAGGTAATTATATTAAATTCGAATAAGCGAGTCTCCTATATATGTATTTTTAAAGTGCCAAAGTTATGTTTGTTTTTGATGTGAATATTATTAAACCTACTTAAAAAATACATTTAAGTTATCACGGAAAACGATTGTCTATAAAAATCATCTACAGACTATTTCTAAGTACTTAATTGGTATTTAAATGAAAAATAAAACAAAAATATTGTCAGCGAAAGACGCACACAGAACAAACAATACAACATATAAAAAACAAACATGTAATGTACACAGATTATAAACGTAACATATTCTTAAAAAAAATACTGTTTTGAAAACCCCAATAGCACTTTCTCTGACACAGGAAAATAACAATCGTCTATCGGTAAGTAATTAACTAAATGTAAACAATCTTGGCATGTCTTTTTATATAAAAATTGTATGTAAAAATGTTTACAATCAACTATTTACCTAATTCGATGTTAGCTAATAAACTGAATTTAAATAATCTTTGTACGTACTTTATACGAGCTCTTTAATATAAAAAGACATACCAACATTGTTTACCTTTAGTTAACTACCTAAACCAAACTATAGTCAGAATTTTAATTCGATTCCTGATTTGACATTGACCACTGTCATTTTGTGAAATAATGATACCACATATAACAGTGTAGTGATGAACACAAAAATCGATAAACAATCAGTGAATCAAGTTCAGGAAGGCATTAAAAAATCACGGCTACCGAATAGTCTAAATGTGTATCCCATGTTTTCAGAGAAGAGGAAAAAATGAGTAAGCTAGATATGTTAATTGACAATAAATATCACAGACACAATTCATAATAAATGTTACATAAAGTAACCGCGATAGCGATAGCGATGACGGCGACAATTTATAAAATGTCTGTTTTATTCGTCACGTTCCTTCATGATCACATTTTTTATTAATTTCACACACAATTACAAAAGAAAAGTCTCAGATCGTTAATTAATTGTCAAAACTAAATTATCGGTTCAGAAATATTTTATTTCCTGATAAACTTAGTTTACGAGAGTAAATTTATAAACGAGAGGAATCGATTCAGAAATATTCGATTTCCATATCGAATAATTTCGCAACGTCACTATTTATTACGTGTCATAACGTTGCAACACTGAAATTGTCAAATCTGGAATGGAATTAAAATTCCGAGTATAGTTATTCGACTCGGAAAATAGTAGTTGATATTTTTTTTTTTTCAAATTTCATTTTTAGGCCTGATTTTTCATTGGTTAGATAAAAGTTACCTGGGGAATAATTATGATGCTGTCGCGTCACAATGTTTGTATGAGACAGTAACAGCAACAATTTTATTCCTCAGATAACATTTATCTGACTATTGAAAAACCAGCCCTTACTTCAATATTTCAAATCTGTATAAATAATAGTTTCTTTTCAGACAAGTCAAATATTTTAATCATAGTTTTAAATTGATTTAGATATTTTTTAGGAAGAGTGCTATTTTGAAGTTTATTTTTAATTAAAAAGTGTATTGTGTATGTAGTTAACTTTACTTTTCAATTCTACTTTTAAGGTTATAATCATTAAAATTCGCAAAAAAACCTATTCTTTCATTATTTCATACGTATTTCAGCTTTTTGATGGACTTATAGTTAATTATATATGTAGATTGTGAGGAAAAAACTTACCAGTTTGCTGTGAACGTATGAACTCTGTGTTGATATCCCGTCCATTGGAGAACCGTGATCGTCCCCACGAGCTTGACTGTGTAGCTTGTTCTTGGTTCCTGAAGAAAAAAATCACTACTTAGTAGTACTTATAAAACAAAGTCGCTTTCTCTGTCCCTATATCCCTATGTACGCTTACATTTTTAAAACTATGCAACGGATTTTGATGCGGTTTTTTTAATAGAGAGAATGATTGAAGAGGAAGGTTTATATGTATAATAACATCCATTAAATAGTGGAGAAATTTAGTATCAGTATTGCACCCGTGCGAAGCCGGGGTATGTAAATTTTGAAATCAATTAATATATTTTATTAATTAACTAAGTCTCGTATACTATTATTTTTTTATTTATTTACCTGAATACGACTTCAGCGGCGTCCTCTTCAGGCGGAGGCTGGCGGGGCGGTAATGATGGTAGCACCTCCGATTCTGCAAGAAACAATTTTATAAGGAACTAGCTACTCTCGCGCGATTTCACTCGCTGCTCGGCTCCATTTGATTGTAGCGTGATGTTTTATAGCCTATAGCACTCGGGAACATTGTAGCTATCTATCAGTGAAAGAATTTTGGCAATCCGACCAGCGGTTCCAAAGATTACCCCCTACATACAAACTTACAAATTTTACCTCTTTATAATATTAATATAGATAATGTATTTAAAAATATATGTTCCACCATTTGAGGTAAGCATAGGCCAAATGTTCCCCCGGTTTGAATATCAATGTAAACGCACTCACGGAAGATATTATAAATGTGAAAATTTGTTTGTTATTTTTTCAAGTGAAAAATTTTGTTTGTTATTTTTTCAAGTGAAAACGGTTGGACCGAATTGGATGTAATTAGGTATGTAGATAGATAGATGATACCCTGGATTAACATGTAGGCTGCTTTTTATGCACATACCACGCGGACGAAGCCGCGTGCGGAAGCTAGTAATCCTATATATATCTGCCATTTTATTTTGGCAGGAGAAAATCATCAAATGACTTCTGCCGCCCAGGGAAAGGCGAGAGAGAGTGTCAGACTCTTACTGACTAAACCCCCCCTCTTCTTTCCTTCTCTGGGCCGAGGTCGCGGTGCCTCATTGTGCTTACCCTGCAACCCCGGCTGAATATATCAGCCCTACGCTAGGATTATTGTTTAGTGCAGTCTAATTGACTTAGGTCGGGGTTTAAGATACCCACACCAAGAGAAGAGGTGTCGAAAAGTCTATTCTACTTTACTTTCACCACGAGACAAATTTCAAAGAGAATTTAACAGTTTCTTTTTATTATAAGAAAAATAGTTAACTTACCAATATTTCTTTCGGGTGTAGTCGAAGAAGTTCTCTGAGCCTGTTGGCTGTTCCTGTGTTCTTGTAGGATCTCCGTCTGTGTGCGCGGTCTACGCTCAGGTTCCGGGGACGATGGAGCTGATGATGAAGACTCCGCGTTCCTGAGGTGTTGGAAGGTCGAGGTTAAGGCTTTGGTAGTGTCTCAGGGTTTGGTAACGATGTGCATTTTTACTTTTCTGATTTGAGGATTTTGGTTGAAGAGACTGTTTGTATGATTAGCGAAGATAACTTTTTTAATGTCGTAAGTCGGCAAACGAGCTGACGAATTACCTGATGGTAAGCAATCAGCGCCGTCCATGGAGACTCGTAGTACCAAAGGAGTTACTACAAGTGCGTTGCCGGCCTCTTGAGGGTTATTTAGGATAGGAGATATGAGGATTGAGGATGTGGAGGAGGAAGAATTGGGCCTCCGGTAACATTACTCACACGCCGGTTTTCTGCGAGGCCGTGGTATCACTCCGGTCGAGCCGACCCATTCGTGCCGAAGCATGGCTCTCCCCCATTAAATGACTTCATTCATGTTTGAGTGTCTTCGAGGCCCAAGTGAATAGGTTGCTTATTGGTAGGGTGCTCCATCGTAGGTCGCATAATCGCTTACCATCAGGCGAGATAGCGGCAGAAAAAAACTTACTCATGCAGCCTCCTCCTGATCTCGGCAGTGGGAGACTCTCCCGGCGGCACCGAGGAGTACGGAGTCAGCTGAAGCTCTGGTGGTAGTTGCGCGTGGAAGGACAGCTTCGCCACCCAGTCCTGGGGATTAAGGAGTCGGTTAGTAGAGTTTTATAAGTGATAGTAGGTATAATCAATTAATTAGTTGAAAAAGAATCACAATAGGTTATCAAATATACAAAAATAATCGTACTTCTTCGGTCGTGGTGGCCCGGAGGTTAAGGAGCCCGCTTCTCATGCATGAGGGTGCGGGTTCGAAACAAACAGGTACCAATGTGACTTTGTCCGAGTTATATGTACTTTCTATGATTATTTAGATACCACTGACATACGGTGAAGGTAAACATCGTGAGGAAACCTGGACTTTAAATATATAGGTAAGTTTGAAATCGCCAACCCGCATTGAGCAGGCGTGGTGATCAATGCTCTAACCTTCTTCAGGTGAGAAGAGGCCTTTGCTCAGCATTGGGCACTTATAGGCTGATGATGATGTATCGTACTTCTTTGATGGATTTGATGGTATACGTAATTTTCTATTTTTACTAGCTTTTGCCCGCGATTTTGTTCGCGTGGTATAGTGACTTTCTGCAGATTTTTGGTATAAAAACTATCCTATGTCCTTTCTCGAGTTCCAAACTATGTCTGTACCAAATTTCACAGAAATAGGTTCAGTAGTTAAGGCGTGAAGAAAAGACAGACAGACAGAGCTGCTTTCGCATTTATAATATTAGTTTTCATAATTTGGATTTGGATAATCGGAGTATTTTCCAAACAAATACTATTGAACATAGTTAATCCACACCATCAGATTGTGTTAAATAATTAAATAATACCTATGTATTCATACCTAACATACTTTTTTTAAGATTATGTGCTATAAGAAATTCTTTCTTATCTAAAATCGACAATCCGGCTTGAGCGAGCTTGGTAATTAATAGGTACTCAAAGTAGAATTACAAAATGAGCGAGAAAAAAAAGCGTTGCGCCTGATGATGACACATACTGTTTTAATAAGTTAAGCGGTAAGAATTTGAGTAAGCGAAAAATTAACTAATCTATATATATTAAAATCCAGAACGAGCTTACAAAAAGTGGGTTGTGATAAACCCATTTGCCAAATATTGAAAAAAATGCAGGACGTAACGTTGATACTCAAACGAAATATTAAGTCGCTCAAATATTATGAAGCTGCTCATTTTGTATTTGAAGTAAGTCACATTAATGTTTGTAAGATACTATTCTGTTGATTTTTTTTTCATTTACAGTCAGTCGCTCACTTAGTAATTATATGACTCAAATTAATTATTTTTGACACTTAAAATTATAATTTAGAGTCACTCGTTTTAAATCTTCTTCATGTAAGAAGTGGCCTTTACTCAGTAGTGGGCACTTATAGGCTGATGATGATGAGGACTGTTATAATTTTATGTGCATACTAGCTACTTTCACGCGGTTTCACCCGCTGCTCAGCTCCATTTGATCGTAACGTGATGTTTTATAGCCTATAGCACTCAGGAACATTGTAGCTATCTATCAGTGAAAGAATTTTGGCAATCCGACCACCGGTTCCGAAGATTACTCCCTACATACAAACTTACAAAATTTTACCTCTTTATAATAATAGTATAGAAGTATAGATTGTTGAGTTTTGCTTACCTTCATAAGCTCCCTGGAGCTGCAGGCGAAGAGGTACTCGGCCCCGTCAGCGCAGGCCAGCCGGAACACGTTGGCGCGTTTTGTGTAATCTCCTGCGGGTTCACAGCGCGCCTGGAGACAGAATTACATATTACAATATGATGAACACATTTCATATTTCATTCACGAATCTACTGCACGGTTGGCGCGGTGGCTCGACAACTGGCTGCCGTGCAACGTGTCGCGGGTTCGATTCCCGCACGGAACAACTCTTTTTGTGATCCACAAATTGTTGTTCCGTGAGTCTGGGTGTGATGTGTATGTGACATTGTATGTTTGTAAACGCACTCACGACACAGGAGAAAATACTAGAGTGGGGCAACGCCAAAAAAAAGAATAAAAATAAAAATTATAAGATCATAAGTCAAGATCATAGATCATAATATTACAATTTAAATATAAAAGCATAATTTTTAGAATGTTGGTTAGCTGGCTGCTGACTGGCTAATGTATATGACCTACTGCCTATAACCAATACTTTAAACCATTTTGTATACATAAGCTGTGAGCCTACCTTATAATAAATAAATAAATAAATTTGATGAATAGATATTTAATTCAGCTCATCATAAATACACATTTCATATTTCAATCACAGATCATAAGTCACCACGGCGTCGGTCTAGAGCAGAAGAAGGAACGGGGAGGCTTTTAGTCAGTAAGAGTCTGACACTCCCTCTGTCCTCACCCTGGGCGCCAGTCATTTGAAGATTTTCCCCTTACAAGTAATAACAATAAGTGTGGGAGAGCCAAGCTTCGGCACGAATGGGTCGGCTCGACCGGAGTCATACCACGGCCTCACAGAAAACCAGCGTGAAACAACCACAGCGCGAGTGAGAGAGGTTACCGGAGGCCCAATCCTTCTTCAATCTCCAAATCACAAATCCCGAAAAAGCGCTGCACCGGCAACGCACTTGTAACTCCTTTGACGTTTCGGGAGTCCATGGGCGGCGCTGATTGCTTACCATCAGGTAATCCGTCTGCTCATTTGCCGTAAATAACAATAATAACTCACATTGAGTATAGCGACGGGCGGGGCGGCTGCCTTGGCGCTGGCGAAGTCCAGTTCATCTCTGAAGAAGCAGAGCAGTTGTCCACAAAGCACGGAGTAGTAAGCTCGCCACGATCGTACTGTAGCTCGCTTGCCGCCGCGACCTGCTTCCTGCTTGCGCTCTAGGAAACCTGAGGGGAGGATTACATTTAGTATAATAAAAAATAATAGTTCATGCTGAGGTTGAAAAAGTGATGGTCTACTGGCAGTCTTCTTCTAGTCAGTCTTTTATGGTGTATTGATAGTTTAGTGACAGTGAAATGTTGGTAACTTATTAATTAACTATAGATGGTCTGCTAAAGATCAGCTGTAGACCTAGTTATAATATATTAGTCGGTCTACTAAACATTTACTTATGTCAATGTAATGGTCTACTGTAAGTATACCATTGCTATACTAACAACCTACTGATGGTATGCTTATATAACTATGGACGAATTGTCTTCTATTGATAATATAGTGACGATCTACTGTTGGTCTCACGGTCTACTTATATTAGTTAGTCTACTGACCTTCAATCTCGACGGGTGGCAGTTCTTTTCCGTGTCGCCTGAAGCTCTGCGTGCGGCGACGAGTGGTGAACGATGGGGTCCGCTTCTGTGTCTTTACAACCTGGTGATTAAGAAGTAATTTTTTTAATGAAAATATTAATCTTCACATCATAACATTTTAATTTAAATGATTTTTTCTATATGCGTTCGAGTGGCGTCGTGGATGCTTTAGATTCACAAATCAGCCCGGCAGATGGCGCTGATTGCTTGAAAAAGCATGTGAACTCAGAAATGGTCCTAACGATTTCGCTGAAGTTCGATATGTGAGGGTTTTCGGGGAGGGTCCACTAGTATTAGTATAGATTTTCAAAGAGATTGATGTACACCTACATTCATACTCTCGGCGCGTTTGACATGTTGCTCGTTCTTCGGCAGTCTGTCGAATTGAGGGGCTGGTGACAATGTCTCCTCTGATGATGCGGGAGCCACTGATGTTTGGAGACGTTCGGCCTGGTGAATACAAAGAAATGTTAGGTCACTTCTATGCAAGTCATAATGGATATAATGCATACTGGGTACCTACGTAGCTGGAGAAGGATAAATAAAGAAAAAATAAAATAAATGAAATAAATAAAATAAATAATTATGAAAAACATAACTTATTATTACTAAAAGTTTTAGGGCTGATTTTTCAATGGTCAGATAAAAGTTACCTGGGGAATAATTATGATGCTATCGCGTCACAATGTTTGTATAAGACAGTGACAGCAACAATTTTATTCCTCAGATAACATTTATCTGACTATTGAAAAATCTGCTCTGCACCTAATAAAATGTATAAGAAAGAGTTAACTTAATGTAGATTGAGCCTGGAGAGCGGAAGCTCTGTTTCAATGTCTTAGAATAACTTAACTATGTTTAAATTCAACTTTAAAATCCTCTCACCTCTCTAACCATAGGCACGGGCGCAGTCTCCCTCCTCCGTTCCTCAGTGATGCGTTCCATCTCCCTCTTCCTGTACTGCTGCAGCCTTTCAGCCTCCTGCCTCTCTGCTGACCTTCGACGGGCCTGTTCCTCTTCATCACGCTGCATTTGGAAGGCCTGTTCCACCTGGAGAAAGAAATTTTGTTGAATCAATACTGTAGTTTCCAACTAGTCAAATTCAATACTTTTATCCAAATCTCAAAAACGATACATTTGCTATTGAATTTGTATGAAACACTGACTAATGACGTCATAGTATTTTAGCGTCAAATAGCTTACTTATTTCGTGAAAATTAGCTAAAGAATATCGAAAAATTTTTTTGTTTACACAGATCAATGAATAAAAGTATAGTTATTTTTCGATATTTTATTGTATTGAAACGTCGAATTAATTTATTTTTGACCTAGACAAACAAAAAAAAGTCTTCAGCTTTAAAATAAAAAAAAAGTATAGATTTACTAGCTTTTTCCCGCGACTCCGTTCGCGTGGAATAGTGAGTTCCTGGAGATTTTTGGTATAAAAACCATCCTATGTCCTTTCTCGAGTTCCAAACTATGTCTGTACCGAATTCTACACAAATAGGTTCAGTAGTTTAGGCGTGAAGAAAAGACAGACAAACAGAGTTACTTTCGCATTTATAATATTAGTTTGGATTAATGTTTGTAATAGTCTACTTACAAGTGTTATCCTCTTGAGAGCATTGAACTTGTCCTTCTGTGCGTCGATAGTTTCTTCCAGGTCTCTGTGTCGGTTGATCAGCTCCTCAACTTGGGCTACGCTCTCGCCGTATTTCCCATCTCTCACCAATGGAACTCTAAAAAGAAAGGTAAATTTTAATGCCAGTCTGAAGTATGTTAGAGCCATGGTTCCGGCATGTTGGCTTAACCGGAGTGATAGATAGTAGGGCCTCACAGAAAAGCGGTGTTAAATAGCAGCGTTGTGTTTCGCCATGTGAGTGAGGTTACCGGAGGCGAAATGCCCCAACCCCCGTCCTTCCCCAATCCTTAAATATCTGAAACTCTAATCCCCAAAAGGCAGGCAATGCTTTGGTATTGCGGGTGCCCATGGGCGGCGCTGATTGCTTATCATCAGGTAATCCGTCCGCTCGTTTCCCGACCTACCTCAGAAAAAAAATAAAAACTTGACTTCAGATTTTCAAGCTATTCCGAATAGTAATGATATGAGCTCGAACATGAAGCCATGACAAACATTTTACAGTTAAAAATTAATTTCAGTTTTTGGTAACACATTTCTAAAATTAAAATTCTCAATCATCATCACCCTATAAGTCCCTACTGCTGAGCAAAGGCCTCTTCTAACACGGAGAAGGTTAGAGCATTAACCACCACGCTCGCAAACTTATAATTAGAAATTATAAGTCCAGGTTTCCTCACGATGTTTTCCTTCGCCGTATGTCAGTGGTGTCTAAATAATCACAGAAAGTACATATAACACGGAAAAAGTCACTTTGGTACTTGACAGGTTTCTTTTTTCTTATTTATTTCGGTATCACGCCTGGTGGTAAGCGGTGATGCGACCTACGATGGAGAACGCCTACCCATAAGCAACCTATTCACTCGGACCTTGAAGACACCCAGGTTATACCCTTCGGGGAACACAGACTCCGGCAAAGAATTCCACTCCTTAGCGGTTCTGATTAAAGAACTGGAGTCGAACCAATTGACAAAATAAGCCTTACCTGTTGGTGATCCAGTTGTCCAGGGCATCAGCATCCCTCTTGAAGACCAGGGCGTCTAGATGTTGGGTGTATATCCTTTCCCTGTTGGACCAGGCCGCGTCCAAATGGGCGCGTCTACTTCGCAATATGGACATGCGATCCTCAATCTCGTTGGACATAAAGTGACCTTCCTTCACTAGTTTTTCTCCTGTTGAATAAAAATTGTGATTTTTATAAAACTGTTTTAATCGGCTCTTTTATCTTCTGTAGGGAACTTCTGTCCTCATTTTTTATTTGCACACAAAGGCACTGCACAACTGCACTGTAGTATTTTGGAAAACAATATTCCGTTTGTAACGTTTTTAAGAAGAAATAAACTAAAAAAATTATCGAAATCTATAAATCGTGTATGTGTATTGACAGGTAGTTGGACCTGACGTTACAGCGCTGCCATCTCACGGGGGGAACATTACAGAAAACCCTCATTTTGCGAATTCCTTTTTTGTTATATTTGTTATTATCAGGAGGTTTTTATGAAAGAAAATTTTAGTAAATTAGATGGGAGATATGGGACATAGGGACCCATTTGTCGTTACCGAGATATGAGGAGATATATACCAGTGCGAAAAAGGGGCGGGCTGCTATTAATCCATAAAAAAGTATCTTACCATCGCTATATAAGGTCTGGAAGGCCTCCTCCTTGGCCTCAATCTCCACCTTGATGTCTTGATGTCTGGCTAGTAGTCGCTCAGCGCCAGACACGTCCGTGGCGAGGTCTGGCGCGGTAACACGGGCCAGGGTTTCGTTGGTCCATGCTCTGTTGAGAGAAAATAAGTTTTTTTTTAAATATTTTTGTATAAGAAATATCGTAAAACATACTAAATTATTAGATCATAGCGTGATGTTTTAAAAAGCCTTCCTCAATAAATGGTCTATTATACATAAAAATATTTTTTCTATTCGAACCAGTAGTTTCTGAGATTAGCGCGTTCAAGGTTGAGGTTGAGGATAATTTTTTGTTAAGACTTTAACAAAACAAAACCTAAAATCTCAAAATTCTCCATCTAACAGTTGAGGACCTCTAAATCGGTGATGCAAGAGGGAGAGTCAGACTCTTACTGACTAAAAACCCCTGTTCCTTCTCCTGCTCTGGCCCGAGGCCGCGGTGACTCACTGCACTTACCCCTCCACCCCGGCTGAACATCAGCCATACAGGTCCCCGTCTGTGGTGGTCTATTGGCTCTTTGAGGCGCGGTACGCACGGGTCTGGATCAGGTCGGGCGGCGAGGTACTAGATTTTGGGATTGGGGGAGGGGGGAAGGATTGGGCCTCCGGTATAAGTAGGATTTTATTATTTTGATGAAAAAAAAAGGATTTTTTTTTATTATAATTATACTTACAGTAATTCCTGATAGGTATCGAAGTATGCCTGGAGCTGGCCAGCGAGTTCCAGCTGATGGTTGCATTGGTCAGCGCGCTCGACCAGCGCCTGCAGCGACTCCGTCACGTCCTCCAGTTTAGCGGAGACGTGTTCCTTCGCGTCCGGGAATGCTGTACCCAGTCTGAAGAGTGACGGTGGTCAATTGTAAATTGTGTATTTTCGGTTTTAGATGTTTATTTAGACATGATTATTGCAAGGATGATGAGATATTTTAAATATTAGGTGGTTTAATATCAGGTGGGATCGCAGTCAAGCACTAGTTTATTGATAGTAAAAAAAAAAATATTAAAGTGGACTTTGAATTTTTGATATTGACTTTGATGTTTGACATTGACTTTGGTTATGGTTCTGAAAAGAGTATTACAACGACAAGCTTGTTATTTAAGTTTTATTTTGGGTAATAAAATTTGACTTTGACTTTGACATTGATATTGACATTGACATTGACATTGATATTGACATTGACATTGATATTGACATTGAATTTGACGTTTGACATTGACTTTCAAAGTAAACGTTGACAATAATGATTCAATCTTGATTTTCAACAAAAATTTATTATCTTTAATCTGAAATCTCTAACTAACCTCTCTGCCTCCTCTTGAAGCTTATCATGAGCAGCCTTGATAGCATCTAGATCAGCCCTCAGGGCGTGGAGACTCCTCTTCTGTGCGTGGAGTTCATGTAGCGAGCGAGGCGGCAGGGTCTCGCTGCCGAGGGCTGAGTCCTTCTCAGCGACCCAGGCGGCTGTCTCTTCAGCCGAGCGATCGAACTCGTGGACTTGGCGGGCGCCTGCTAAGGCCTGAGAGAGGGGAAAAGGGAAGATATAATTGAAGTTATTTGATATTTATTATTGTTATATAAAAACAAAGACGATAATAAATGCTTCTAGATTTTGCTTTTTAGTTGACATTTCACTTTGACTTTTAACTTTGAACATTTGACTTTATGGTCTGAATTCAACGATATAAACTTAGAAATTTGACTTTACCATTCGAATTTGAACTTCGACATTTGAGTTTGCATTGTGAAATCAACATTAAAATGAGACTTTGACATTCGACATTGACATTCTACTTTGACATTTGACTTAGAAATTTAAATTTTACTTCGATGCTCGACTCTGACATTTGGCTTTGACATTTGACATTCAAGTTTGACTTTAACTTTGACATGTGACATTCAACTTTAACATTTAATTTGTGACTTTAAAATACGAAACAAGTGTCCTACCTCTTGCCTGGCCAGCGCCAGTTCTTTGAGATCGTCCCACAGTCCCTTGATGTCATCGATCCTCTGTTTAACTCTATCAGCCTCTGGAGTGTTCTCTTCTAGAAGTACAGTGCCGGCTTCGCAGACACCTTCTATCCTACCTTCACTCGCTAGATAGAGAAAGAGATAGAGAAAGAAAGTGAATTACTATACATACATACAAGTGTGGGAGAGCCATGCTTAGGCAGGAATGGGTCGGCTCGACCGGAGTGATACCACGGCCTCACAGAAAACTGGCATGAAACAACCACAGCGTTGTGTTTCGCCGTGTGAGTAAGGTTAACGGAGGCCCAATCCTTCCCCTTCCCCGATCCCTAAATCACCAAAACCCTAATCCCTAAACGGTGGGCAACGCACTCGGAACTAATCCGTTATGGGTGTCCATGGGCGACGCTGATGGCTTACCATCAGGTCATCTGTCTGCTCGATTGACGACATTATGACATAAAAAATACATAATATTACAGAGTATACTAGCTTCCGTCTGCGACTAAAAGCAATGGATACCGGTATTTTAAAAATGGCAGCGTTCAAAACGATAGCTTGTCTAAATTACGCAAAACAAATCTGCCCTATTGAATCCCATTTGTAGTGGTCAATTGGCTCTTTGAGGCGCGGAACCCTACGCTCCGTACGCTCGGAGAGGCTCCTTTATATTTCTATCGTTATTCACCACACTCTCACAATAATCACCACTCTCCGACACATTAATCCCCAAACTCCGTCCTACCTTGTAGTTGCGCGAGGAAGTTGTCGAAGGCCTGCTGCAGCGTCTCCACGTGTTCGACGTCGAGCCCGTACTCCTCGCTGGCGGCCGTCGTCATTTGCTCGCTGATCCATTCCTGTACTTCCTCGCATTCTTGGACGAACCTGGTGGAAAAAACATTAATTATTACTTTAATTAACAATAGATAATCGCTAATTTTATTATTTTTATTTCTTTTAATAAGCCACTGGATGCAGGTTGTTTCAAACCGGCCATTCTGAAAGTCAATGAGGTGGCCTATGTTCAGCAGTGGACGTCCTATGGCTGATATGATGATGATGACGATGATTATTTTTGATGATGAACCCTTTTTTTATAAAAACCTGATCCCATATAAGGATTTCCTAATTTAATTTTACATAATATGCATCACACCCAGACTCACGGAACAACAATTTGTGGATCACACAAAGAGTTGCTCCGTGTGAGAATCGAACCCGCGACACGTGTTCCGCCAGCCGTTCGTCCAGTTACTGCGCCAACCATTGAGACAAACAGGAGCAGTTTAGATAGCCAATGCTTATAATTTCTTACTATAAGTTTGAAATTGCTAATCCGCATTGAGCAAGCGTGGTGGTTAATGCTCAAACCTTCTCCGTGTGAGAAGAGGCCTTTGCTCAGCAGTGGGCACTTATAGGGTGGTGATGTGCTAAAGGGCACTTTTGAACGTCAAATATAACATTTTCATATAAGAAGTTAAAAAAATACAGTCTGTCGGTGCTAGAGGCCCAATTCCGCCTTAAATCCCCTCTCCTTAAATCCCCAATAACCTACAAGAAGCCGGCAACGCACTTGTAGTAGCTCCTTTAGTATTGCTTCTATGGGCGGCGCTGATTGCTTACCATCAGGTACGCTTATTTTATGCGTATCTATTTATTTATGTGTAAAGGCTCGTGTTTGTTTCTTCAATTTTCTTTCCCCTTTCATTTTGTTCTAGGACTCTGAGTCCTTGCTTCGCACCAACCGCAAAAATTCTCTGCCATGCAACCATATTCTATGGTTGACTGTTAGAGAATGCCTTAAGGCATTAACACCCGGTTTCCGAAAGGCCGATCAATGTTAAAATCAATTTAATCTCTTGTCAAGTCAACTTGATTGGTTTACTGAATTATCAACAACCGATCAGATGACTTGACAAGAGATTTAACAGGAGATTAGTTAATTTTAGCGTTGACAAGCCTTTCAGAAACCGGGTGTAAGTCCGCCATTCAGACTAAGTTTTCTGTGAAGAAGAAATAAAAAAATTACTTGAAATATTTGAGACTCTGTTGCAACCGTTGCTGTCGCTTGGCAGACAGGAGTTTCATATCTTCGTGCATCGTCTTCAACTCAGCGATGCGCTTCTGCAGCTGATCACCATCGATTGTGGAACGTTCCTTTAAAAATAAAATTATTATTATTAGACGAAGTATGTAAATAATTATACATAGTATATAGAAAAAAAAAAATTATTATTAAAAAAACAAAATACCCGACTGCACACTAAAAAAAGAGTAAAACAAGCCCCACAATACAAATTTACTGAATATAATTTATAAATGTTGATGGAAAGCATCGCAGGCGGGGACCAACAGAGGCTTATTTATAGTCATTTCTGTTCAGTTGTGCACCATTTAGCAGAATTTTCGTTGGTGGCGGTCAAGGTGGTCCCCGCCTGCGATGCTTTCCATCAACATTTATAAATTATATTCAGTAAATTTGTATTGTGGGGCTTGTTTTACTCTTTTTTTAGTGTGCAGTCGGGTATTTTGTTTTTTTAATAATAATTTTTTTATTTATAACTTTTTAGCTGTTTTTATTTAGAAAAAATATTATTATGTCTTTATCCCGTGGGACTTTTAGGATAAAATGTATCCTATGACAATCCCGTAATCAAGACAAATCTAACGATACCTCATACATCAAAATCCATCAAGCCGTTTAGGCTACAGGAGGTCACAAAGGAAAAGACATACATACATACTTACATACACTCGAAAAACATTACCCTCCTTCTTTGGCAGTCGGGTAATAATAGGTCTTAACCTATGAAATTGCCGTTCTGCAGTACTGGCCATTTCAAATCAAAATAGTGTTTGTTAGGCTAAGGCTAATTAATTTTGTTTTAAAAACATGGGATTCTTTTTCCAAAAGTAGTCATTTATTTATTGATTAGTGTTACATTTTCATCGCATTTCAAATCAAGATAAGATAAGATAAGATAAGATAAGATAAGATATATTTATTTAGTAAAACATGAGTAATTACAATAAAGGTGTTTTTGGTATATACAGAGTCTACATGTTTTGCCATTTATGGCGTACTAAATTAGTCACTTTAGGCAGACATTACCAAAATCTACATACAATAAAATGTACATCAAAAAATTCGTTTAATTTTTTTCACGCAAAACGGCAATTTCATATGTAAAGACCTATTATAATACACAAGCTAGACTCGCGCTGCTCGGCTCCATTTGATCGTAGAGTGATGTTTTAGCCTATAGCACTCGGGAACATTGTAGCTATCTATCAGTGAAATAATTTTGCCAATCCGACCAGCGGTTCTAAACATTACCCCCTGCATACAAACTTATAAATTTTACCACTTTACAATCCAAACTATTATTATTAATGCGAAAGTAGTAGAGAGAGAGAGAGAAAGAGAGAGAGAGAGAGAGAGAGAGAGAGACAGACAGAGAGAGAGAGAGAGAGAGAGAGAGAGAGAGAGAGAGAGAGAGAGAGAGAGAGTCTGAGTATTAGAGATAGGGAGAGAGAGAGTGTCTGTATGTTAGATATAGAGAGAGAGAGAGAGTGTGTGTGTGTGTTGTGTGTCTGTGCGTTTGTGTCTCTCTGACGAGTACTTTATGTTTGAATACGTCAAAGACAATTAAAAAAACACTTACCACCAAACCGGCCGCAGTTTTCTCCAGCTTCACAATCGTGCCATCGAACCCAGTGACTTCGCGTTGCAAAGCGTCCAATCTCCTCACTAGAGCGAGGGCTGAGTCTTCATCCCTCCCAACATCGCCGGAGACCAGCGCTATGCGGCGTTCTAATAACCACGCTTCGGCTTCTGATATTTCCGAGATAAGCTGTAAAAGACAGATGAACATATTAATGTATTAATGTTTTATTTAAATCTTATAAAAATGGATCGCAAAATGTGTTGGTAAGCGCATAACTCAACAACGCCTGGACCAATTTTGCTAATTCTTTTTTTGTTGCACTTGTTATTGTCAGGAGAAGGTTCTTATCAAAGAGAATATTAGAAAAGTAGAGGGGAAGATTAAAGAATAGTGACCGTTTGATTGCGAGATAGTTCGACCCGTGCGAAGCAAGGGCCGGGCCAAAAGTTCGAAATAAAACTGAGTGTGGGAGAGCCATGCTTCAGCACAAATGGGTCGGCTTGACCGGAGTGATACTACGGCCTCACAGACAACCGGCGTGAAACAACCACAGCGTTGTGTTTCGCCGTGTGAGTGAGGTTATTAAGCCCAATTCTTCCCCTCCCCAAATCCCAAAATCTCCAAATCACTAACAGCCCAGAATAGGCAGGAAAAGCACTTGTAGTAATTCCTTTAGTATTACGATTGTCCAAGGGTGTCGCTGATTGCTTACCATCAGGTAATCCGTATGCTCGACGCCAATCACATACAAAAAAATCTCCAAAATCACATTATTTATAGATATAATAATACCAACATACCTGTAACAATTCGCATCGGTCGCGTATAAGCGCGGTTCTGATGGCGGCCGCGTCAACTAACGCGCGATGTGCCGCGGCTAGGTCGCGCGATCGCGCGTCTAAAGCCGTCGACGCGAAGTGACCGCGGCGGGACAGTTGATTAGCTCGGGTAACCAACGCCTTTATTATTGGCTCTCTGTGGATAGAAAAAAGTATTTTAAACCTATATTTCTTTTTGAAAAATAATGCTATAAATATGGTTCGTAATTGAGTTTAAGTTAAGTTGAGCTAAGATTTTTTTTTAAATAAATGCCTTCTCCTCCCTCGTTACTCCCCAATCCCCAAAAAGTGCAAGGCCTTTTGGAGATAAGGGGTTATCTCCAAAAAGCATTGACCTTAAATAAAACAAAGTCGCTTTCTCTGTCCCTATACCCCTATGTACGCTTAAATCTTTAAAACTACGCAACGGATTTCGATGCAAGTTTTTTTAATAGACAGAGTTATTGAAGAGGAAGGTTTATATGTATAACTAGTTACTCTCGCGTGGTTTCACCCGCTGCTAGGGCGATATTATATAGCCTATAGCACTCAGGAACATTGTAGCTATCTACTATACTCTAGTAACAGCCTATCATGGCTTAGTAGCTTCAATACTAAGATTCGGAATAATATTCTGGGGTAACTGTAGCGAAAAGGAACGTTTATTTAAAGCTCAAAAGCGATGCATTCGTTCTATGACCGGACTAAAATCTAAAGAAAGTTGTTTGGCAAAATTTAAATCTTTAAAAATTCTAACGTTACCGTCTTTATACATATTAGAAGTAGTACTTTTTGTGAAATCGAATCAACACCTATTCACGTCAATGTCGGATATAAGAAATCGCACGGGACCTATGAGGTCGCAATACATAAATCAATTATATACAGGTGGTCATAAAACAGCTCTATTGAAAAGGAATATTTTACACATGGGTCCTCTCATTTTCAACAAGATTCCTCAAACTTTAAAAGAGTTGCCCATAAATAGGTTAAAAAACCAATTAGTCAAACTGCTGCAAGATAAATGCTACTACACCATAAATGATTTTTTAAATGATAAAACTATAGATTATATGTTGTGTTCATTGTAGGATTTTTTCTGTGTGTATTTGTCCTTTTTAAATGTGAGAATCTAATTTTTAATTTGGTCGATTTGTGTTATTTATGATAAACATGTTTTGTAGTATTTAATTTTGACCTTTTATGATGTAAATAATTTTATTAAGAAGTTTGTTCAATTTGTATTCTTCTTTGACATTTTTATTAATTTAATATTTGGTACGATAGAGTATTTAACTCTATTATGTCAAAAAAATCTTATTAATTTGTGACTAGTTTATTAATTGTAAATTGATACTTTGCATACCGTAAGGTGAAATGTATTGAGACCATATAAAATTGTCCATCCTTTTTTGTAAACATACATTTTTGCAAATAAATGATTTCTATTTCTATTTCTATTTCTATTTCTATCATTGAACGATAATTGGCAATCCGACCAGCGGTTCCAAAGATTACCCCCTACATACAAACTTACAAATTTTACCTCTTAGTTTAGAAAACAAAGTCGCTTTCTCTGTCCCTATATCCCTATGTACACTTAAATCTTTTAAACTACGCAACGGATTTTGTGATTGAAGAGGAAGGTTTATATGTATGTAAAATAACATCCATTAAATCTATACTAATATTATAAAGAGGTAAAATTTGTAAGTTTGGTCCGCTGGTAAAATTCTTTCACTGATAGATAGCTACAATGTTCCTGAGTGCTATAGGCTATAAAACATCACGCTACGATCAAATGGAGCCGAGCAGCGAGTGAAACCGCGCGAGAGTAGCTAGTAGTGGATAAATTTAGTATCAGCATTGCAACCGAGCAGACCGGGACGGGTCGCTAGTTTTATGTACATTACCTTGTAAGTAATTCTGCTTCAAGAGCGAGGTGTTTCTTAAGCATTGCTTGTGCTTCGGCCAGCGTCGAACCTGCTTCCTCCTGTCGCACTGCCGATTCTCGTTCACGTAACCTTTTTGTTAAAAAAAAGGTTTAATATTAATAAAAAGTCGTTTTTAAAAAGCTTTATTTAAAAGTCACTGTTAGCTAAATTCTTTTTTCGATAAAAACTTGATATCTTAATAAGGGTTTCTCGTGTGTCGTGGATGCATTTACAAACATACAATTTCACATACACATCACACCTACAGTCTTGAAGTAAAAGTTAAAATCATTTATTCCAATTAGGGCTGATTTTTCAATAGTCAGATAAATGTTATCTGAGGAATAAAATTGTTGCTGTCACTGTCTCATACAAACATTCTGACGCGACAGCATCATAATTATTCTCCAGGTAACTTTGTAACTTTTACCTATCTACCCATTAAAAAATCAGCTCGTAAACCATAAACAGGTGCTTTTGAAACGTCAAAATAGAATAGTAGTCTGTCAGTCTGTTCGTCAGTGACGCTGGTTCTCGTTCCAAATTGTAGATTCGAATGGAGAATTACTAACAAGTACCAATGTGACTTTTTCCGAGTTATATGTACTTTCTATGATTATTTAGACACCACTGACATACGGTGAAGGTAAACATCGTGAGGAAACCTGGACTTGTAATTTCTAATTATAAGTTTCAAATCGCCAATCCGCCTTGAGCGAGCGTGGTGGTTAATGCTCAAACTTTCTCTGTGTGAGAAGAGGCCTTTGCTCAGCAGTGGGCACTTATAGGCTGATGATGATGATGATGATGAAGGTAAATATCGTGAGGAAACCTGGACTAACTAATTTCTAATTATAACTTTGAAATCGCCAATCCGCCTTGAGCGAGCGTGGTGATTAATGCTCAAACCTTCTCTGTGTGAGAAGAGGCCTTTGCTCAGCAGTGGGCACTTATAGGCTGATGATGATGATGATGATCTAGGCTTAAATAACGTACCAGCGGAATTCCTCATCAGCATCTCTATCCCAGCGATGTAGCAACGCAGCGTCCTCTAAGTTGTCTCGACGTATCTGCATTGGTTCTTGAAGTTGACGGTATCTGTGTAAAAATAATTAAAAAATTAAAAAACTTCAAAAATCATTTTATTTATAAAAAAAAGGTGAAGCTTTACTCTACGATTTTCTCCTGTGCCGTCCCAAACATACAATGTCACATAATTATATTACACATCCAGACTCACGGAACAACAATTTGTAGATCACACAAAGAGTTTATCCGTGCGGGAATCGAAACCGCGACAAGTTGCACGCAACACGCCAACCAACCAACCAACAACGCGCAGTATTATTGACTTTTAACTTTTAAAATTTAGTTTACTCGATCAAAAATAAATTAATTCGACGTTTCAATACAATAAAACATTGAAAAAAAAATCTATAATTTAATTAATCGATCGATCGATACACAAAATTTTCGAATATTTTTAGCAAATTTTTAAGAAATAAGAAACCAATTTGACACAAAAATACTATGAAACGACGTCATAATTTAGATTATCATAAAAATTCCATAGCAAAACTATCCTTTCTGACATTTGGATAAAAGTATTGAATTTGACTAGTTGGAAACTACCGTATTTATTAAATCCCTTACCGTTTTACAGCGTGGTCAGCCTTTTTCAGTATTTCATCAGCCATGAAATGGTTACTGTCAGCCAGTTGCCTGGCATTATCGGCCAATTGCGTGGCGGAGTCCGTTTTGCTTGATACCTGCTGTTCAAGACGGGAGTGACGCTTCAATAGCGCAGTAACCGAAGCTAAATCTTTACCTGGAAATAATAAACAATTTTTGGGATAGTTCGACTAAGGAAATGACGGATTACCGGATGGTAAGCTTTCATTTTCCCCAACACAGACATTACTTGCTTAGAGGGGAGCTCCAAAGAACTTTTGGAAGCAATAAGCATTTTATTTTTTGTATTTTGAATGTCATAGGTGCCCTCCCTACATAACCTCCGGGCCACCATTCATCCTCAAAAGGCCGGATACACACTCGTAATGCCTCTATTGTTGCGGGTGTTCATGGTGGCGCCGATTGCTTACCATCAGGTAATCCGTAAGTACGTTTGCATGCAAATCACATCTCAAACAAAATGTTTTCTTCTTCAAATTCCTTTTGTCGGATTTAGGGCTGATTTTTAATGTTTAAATAAAAGTTACCTGGGGAATAATTATGATGCTGTCGCGTCACAATGTTTGTATAAGACAGTGACAGCAACAATTTTATTCCTCAGATAACATTTAGGCATCTGACTATTGAAAAATCAGCCCTAAATTTACTAATTTTGTTATACATACCATGATCTTCGCTGAGCAGCTGTGACTCCACATCGTCCAGCCAGGCTGTGAAGTCATCCAACCCTCGGAGGTACACCCTGGCTTGGTAAGCTTCTTGGAGGCGCTCACGACGGAGCTTAGCCGCAGCCTAAGTCAAGAATATAGTCGTTAATTGGGTAGTTTCCTAGGTCAAAAATAAATTAATTCGACGTTTCAATACAATAAAATATTGAAAAATTATTATTAAAAAAACAAAATACCCGACTGCACACTAAAAAAAGAGTAAAACAAGCCCCACAATACAAATTTACTGAATATAATTTATAAATGTTAATGGAAAGCATCGCAGGCGGGGGACCAACAGAGGCTTATTTATAGTCATTTCTGTTGTGCACCATTTAGCAGAATTTTCGTTGGTGGCGGTCAAGGTGGTCCCCGCCTGCGATGCTTTCCATCAACATTTATAAATTATATTCAGTAAATTTGTATTGTGGGGCTTGTTTTACTCTTTTTTTAGTGTGCAGTCGGGTATTTTGTTTTTTTAATAATAATTTTTTTATTTATAACTTTTTAGCTGTTTATTTAGAAAAAATATTATTATGTCTTTATCCCGTGGGACTTTTAGGATAAAATGTATCCTATGACACTCCCGTAATCAAGACAAATCTAACGATACCTCATACATCAAAATCCATCAAGCCGTTTAGGCTACAGGAGGTCACAAAGGAAAAGACATACATACATACTTACATACACTCGAAAAACATTACCCTCCTTCTTTGGCAGTCGGGTAAAAATAACTTCCCAAGTAGCACAAAACTTCATTATAAGATGTCACAAGAGGTAACATCGGTAACTTAAGCACTTATGAAAAGTTATTACAGTACACTCGACCTGCAAGAGGTGAAAAGTGAGCTTTTGCCTGAATAAGAACGTTATTATGTGTCACGGAGACCACACTGTAACGCTTGCATCGTTAATATGGGTAACAAGTCCAGTATTGTACAGCTTTAAGCAATTTAAAGGATTTTTGTGGACTTTAACTAAACTATATTCTGAACTGAAGACCACAAGTGTACCCTTAGACCACTTGCATTTTAATAAAGAACACGTGAGCTACTATAATGTAATCAGTTATTCTGTGGCTTCAAATAATAAAGATATAATGCCTTTTGCTGCACACAGTGGAATTTGTGTAATGTTAATCAGCTTGATACACGCAATCGTATAATAGCTCTTATAAAGGCCACATGATCACTATGGGTGAACATTATATGATGCTAAGTTAAAGCAAACTGCTCTATATTAGCTTACATGTTACCTTTAATCTGCGTGAGAGCTGAATACTTGTACTATCGTTGACAATTAATCTACTAGTGCCGTTAAATAAGACCTTGAAGACTTCATTATTCAGCACTTCGTAGGTATAAGTATATTAATTGCGTCGTTTACGATATTGTGAATTTGTGATATGTGGAAAAATAAAAAAAGGACTGGCGGAATGCGCCGAAAAATTAATGCAGAATATTTGAGGATTCTGAACAGAAATACAGATTATGCAGTGAACATTGAACAGGCTACACGGTTTGTAAATAATGGTCCAAGTGTGAATGAAATTTTAGAACGGGAGGGTTCCGTATCCGAAAATGTTGGTGTAAAAGCACGTGCTGATTTGGATGTACAAAACTCTTCAAGTATACAGCGAATGTTAAAAGATAGTAGTAACGTATTGTGCAGTGATGACAATGAGTATATATGGTCAGATAGATCTAACTGTTCTGCAAGTTCAGACAGTGACAGTATATGTAGAAATTATGATAAAAAAGAAAAAATTCGAGAAAATATAAGAAAATGAGCCATTGAAAAAAATATTGCACACACAGCTTTAAAGGATCTGTCAAAAATTATCAATGAATTTATTCAGAATTATTTATTACATTTATTCATATTTATTTATTAGAAATTTATTTCGCCATCAGCGGCATATGGATCCGATGTTTCCGGCACGCTGCAGTGGGTATTGTCGTCGGTATCCGTATTTTGTTGCATTCGACGCAATTCCTTATCTGCCTCATCATAAGTAGGTATAAAATTTCTTTTTACAACACATTTTTATGAGTACCATTCTGGTCCTGGACTAGAATGACCGTCTTTTATTAATTTAGATGCATATTTTAAAGTTTTTGGTGGCCAGCGGACAATCCCTTTTGATTCCCACAGCGTAGGAACGATGGTCAATTTAGGTACATCGTACTCGATCGTCTGTACTATTTTTAAAGCCATAATACTTCTCTGAAAAGAAAAACAATTGATAATTAAATAGGTATAATGTACGTAATTTCTTTTTTACCTATCTACTCTGTCTGGACTGTATGCATAAAACTAAATAAGACGTACCAACTGAATTAGTTTAAGATTGAATTATTACGTCTGTGCACAAATTAAACTATGAAAGTAACGTTATGTCCAATTCGCGATACACACTCGCCTGCGGTCCGTCGCACATCGGCCGATAGGATAGCGAGGCGAGGTGTGTCAAAGGCGAGGAGGGTTGACTCTGACTGCACGCAAACTGTAGGTACTTAGGTACCTTACCTAAGTATTTCATTTCACAATGACCACTCTGTTTAAAGTTTTACCTAATTATATCTACTTTGGTCGAGAAAACTTTGATACTTACTAGGTGGGTACATGATTAACATACGCTAATCTAAAAAATATAGGATGATGTGGGTTAATCCGCGGATCCCTAAAATGTCTGCAGATTTTACCTACAGTTATTTGCATACATGTTATCCACTATCAAGCATTACGTGAATCTGTAACTGACTTGTGTAACACAAGAACCAATCATAACAGCTCATTACTGATTTATGTACCACGAGTGGACACTTAAACAGCTCATGGCGTTTGATTGTGGTTACTAAGGTACACATTGCTTGTCTGCCATTTTTTAGATTCTAACCTATCTACATACAATATTATAATAATTTGTTTCTATTTAGTCAAAGAAAATAACAACCAAATTTGAATAGAAAATGTAATGATTTTATACGTAAACAGCGTATTGTCAAATTACAAGGAAAAATAAAAAGACTTTTTTTATAATATTATATCATCAACCTATTTTATACTATAATTTTCAAATAAACAGTGATATTTTGAGAGCGCGTGAAAATTTTCGTCTATAATTATATAGTATTTGACAATAAACTCTCTTTCCCATTCGAATTTCATGGACATGGAGGAAAAACAAAGTTTTACTTACCGTTATTCTATATTTCTCACAAACACTTTACAAAATGGTTCACAGAAAAGATGTCAAAATAATATTAAGTAGTAGGGTGAAAATTGTTCACAATTTTGCTACTTGTGAATTGTCAGCTCCTTCAAAGAGTTACTAATATCCTGGAGTGTATTTTGTGCTGAAAAATAGGTAACAAGTACTCTATTATTCAGCCCTTGTAGTGTATAAAAGGTAACGCATACCCTGATAACCAGCCATTATTCAGCTCTTGGGGCGACTGTTACCTTTAATAATGCTCAAATAACGCTGATATAGTGCAACCAGCTACATTATTCAGCTAACAGCTGATTAATTTGTGCCCAAATCAGAGTTATATCACCTGAGTAGGCGCCTCTAACGCTATTATTCAGCAGGTTTATTCAGCTTAAAATTCCATTGTGAACAGTGATTCAGCTACTATTCAGCGCTTCTGTGCTACTTGGGTTAACTTTTATTCATCGATCGATCGATACACTAAGTTTTTGATATTTTTTAGCTAATTATTAAGAAATAAGTAAGCTATTTGACGCAAAAGTGTTATCATAACTCGGTGTTTCATACAAATTTCATAGAAAAGTATAGTTTTTGACATTTGGATAAAAGTATTAAATTTGACTAGTTGGAAACTACCGTATTGTGGGGGGAGTGGATATTGAAATGAACCGTCCAACGAGGTGAATAGAATTTGAGGGGTGAATAGATACTGGTTGCAAACTGTCTTCAGAACGGGTCCACTTAAACTGGTGTGGTTCTTTCCTCAAAAGACCACTACAGAATTAACTTGCACGGTTCTCTCACATTATATTATTTTTACATTGTCTGGTCGTCGTGATAGCCCGGAGGTTAAGGAGCCCGCTTCTCATGCATGAGGGTGAGGGTTCTAAACCTGGCAAGTACCAATGTGACTTTTTCCGAGTTATATGTACTTTCTATGATTATTTAGACACCACTGACATACGGTGAAGGTAAACATCGTGAGGAAACCTGGACTTATAATACCTATTTATAAGTTTGAAATCGCCAACCCGCATTGAGCAAGCATGGTGATTAATGCTCTAACCTTCTCAGCAGTGGGCGCTTATAGGCTGATGATGATGATGACATTGTCTGGACTTGAAAAGAGACTGACCTCTGAGTTTGTTTTGGCATTTATTCAGATAGGAAATGGCAGCTTCATCTAGACTAGTTTTTTACATATAATTTCACGTGTAAAAGTGCCGATTTATATGATAATAAATTCATTGTTTCACAAAATAACAACGGGCGATGGCGCGGGCGGATGCTAGTATAAAATATAATTATGGCTGACCTGTAGTTCCCTCCATTGGTTTTCTAGTTCTTCCACGTGCTTGGCGATCTCCTGAGATGCGTAGTGTTTACCTTCTGTAACAAATATATCATAATATAGTATAAAACAAAGTCGCTTTCTCTGTCCCTATATCCCTATGCATGGTTAAATAAGAGTATTGCCTACTAATAAGTTTAAAAAAAACACTATCTGTTTGGCTCCTGGACAGATGTTTTTACTCTGTGACTGAATTTTTTGAAATGAACCAACAATAGTTTGTGTTAAAAAAACAGTGTGTGTGTTATTAAAGTTTATTTCGTTCGTACTCTGATTAATAATTAATTTAAAAATAATGTTTTATGTATTGTAATTCTAATTTCTAATATGACATAGTTATGAGTAATTATTTTATTCAGATAAACTCAATATTTCTACATCGACGACAGTAGTGTATGTGAAACTATATATTATATCTTGATGTAGGTATACCATATACTCAGAAATAAATGACTATTCTATTCTATTCTTAAATCTTTAAAACTACGCAACGGATTTTGATGCGGTTTTTTAATAGACAGAGTGATTGAAGAGCGAGGTTTGTATGTATAATAACATCCATTATGGAGAAGTATAGTATATATATATATATATAGAATAAAATCCAAGGAGTGGAGAAATTTATAGTCTGACGTCATTAGTTTATTTTGTCGGTAAATGGGCAGACGGATTACCTGATGGTAAGCAATCGGCGCCGCCCATGGACAATCGTAACACCAGCATAGTTACAATTAAGTAGTCGGTCTTTTGGGGATTAGGATTTTGGAGATTTAAGGATTGGGGAAGAGGAAGGATTATGCCTACGGTAACCTCACTCGCACGGCGAAACACAACGCTGTAGTTGTGTCACGCCAGTCGTTTGTTAGGCCATGGTTATCGGGTCGGCTCGGCCCATTCGTGCTGAAGCTTGGCTTTTCCACACTTTATTGATAATTATTGCTTTCCATCGTTATAAGGATTATATAAACTGTGATTATAATTTAAGTGTGGGAGAGCCATGCTTCGGCACAAATAGGTCGGCTCGACCGGAGTGATACCACGGCCTCATAGAAAACCGGCGTGAAACAACCACAGCGTTGTGTTTCACCGTGTTAGTGAGGTTACCAGAGGCAAAATCCTTCACCCCAATCTCAAAACCCCAAAATCCCCAATCCCTAAAAGGTCGGCAACGCACTCGTTACTCCTCTGTAGTTGCAGGTGTCTAAAGGCGACGCTGATTGCTTACCATCAGGTAATCTGTCTGCTCGTTTGTCGACCCAATTACATAACAAAAATAATAGTATTATACTGTGACGTTATAAAGTTTATATTACCTATTAAAGTTTCCCCATGGTTGGCAACATCATCGATGCGTCCTTTGTTCGCCGCTAGCTCAGATTCGAAAGCAGCGTGCTTCTGTATCTTACTTTGCAGGTTCGATAGCTCTCTGTAAGAAAAATAACGAATTTAATTATAAAGACAATGTTTATATAAAATTGTTATATATATTGTCAACTTATTTTATATTTTAAATGTTAGGAAAAATATTTAATTTTAATTCCGCGACAAAAATCCATGCTTGTTGCAGGATGCAGTCCCACTCTTATGCAATTGCCACGCTTATGCACACATACAAAAAACGGAAAATTCCGTTTTTGTATGTGTTTCGGTTTCACCCGCTGCTCGGCTTCATTTGATCGTAGCGTGATGTTTTATAACCTATATCACTCAGGAACATTGTAGCTACCTATCAGTGAAAGAATTTCGGCAATCCGACCAGCGGTTCCAAAGATTACCCCCTACATACAAACTTACAAATTTTAACTCTTTATAATATTAGTATAGATGTGCATAATGAAAAAAATAAGCTAAAAAACTAAAAGTCAAAAGTAAATAGTATAAATAGTCAAAACAATAAATGAAACTATCGAATCAGCACATATAGGATTACGTAAACATTTTTAACTATACGAAAAGACTCTTTAATCCAAACTAATATTAAAAATTCGAAAGCAACTCTGTCTGTCTGTCTGTTTGTCAGTCTGTCTGTCTGTCGGTCTGTCTTTTCTTCACGCCTAAACTACTGAACCGACTGCTGTGAAACTTTGTACAGACATACTTTGGAACACGAAAAAGGACATAGGATAGTTTTTATAGTTTAGAGATATGAGAAACAGGGTGGATAGTCCTTCAGTCTCCATTGAATTGACCAGGCGGGGTGTTCGTGCCTGGTTGGGCTACTGCCCGACAGTTGTTGTCGGGATATCTGTATCGGTGCTAATTGTGTTGAAAACCCTTACAGCGCGATGTAGAAACTTGCACGTGATTGGTGCTGTGCGATAGATGTCGATACAATAGCAAAAATCTACAGGACGTCACTATTCCACGCGAACAGCAAGTAACAGCCAAACAGCGAGTGAGACCGCGCGACAGAGGCTAGTAATTATAAATATATCTCACCTGTAATTCTGGTCGTTTGCTATTTGCATTTTTAGGGATATCCATTCTCGCTCATGGTAGAGGTTTCTCAAAAACTGATGTAGTTGACGAGATTGTTCCAATATTTCACCGCGTTGCTTACAGGACTCCTGAATACAAATATTATATATTTTTTTTTATTTAATAGGTCGGCAAACGAGCAGACGGATTACCTGATGGTAAGCAATCAGCGCCGCCCATGGACACGAGCAACGGAGGAGTTACGAGTGCGTTGCCGACCTTTTAGGGATTAGGGATTTGGAGATTTAGGGATTTAGGAGGGATTGGGGGAGGGGAAGGATTGGGCGTCCGGTATTGATATGAGAATTAATAATAAATTTTATTGTGAGACATACTAAAATTTAATATAACGACGTACTCATGTCAATTAAGTGAGATAGGCTCTACTAGTTAAAAATTATAATGGGACTCTAAAGGGCTAATTTTTCAATGGTTAGATAAAAGTTACCTGGGGAATAATTATGATGCTGTCGCGTCACAATGTTTGTATAAGACAGTGACAGCAACAATTTTATTCCTCAGATAACATTTATCTGACTATTGGGAAATCAGTCCTTACTCGCAATTCAATAAGTATTGTGACTAAGCCGTTATTTCCAATTTTCTTTTTATAATATTTTTTATCAACTTTTGTCTCAATACTAGGATGTTCTCCTGTATCGTGTGTGCGTTTACAAACATACAATGTCGCATACACATCACACCCAGACTCACGGAACAATAATTTGTAAATCAAACAAAGAGTTGTAGGAATCGAATCCACATTGCGCAACAGCCTGCAAACTAGCACACGGATTACCTGATGGTAAGCAATCAGCGCCGCCCATGGACACCCGCAACAAAGAAGGAGTTACGAGTGCGTTGCCGACCTTTTAGGGATTGGGGTTTTTGGGGATTTAGGGGTAGGGGAAGGATTGGGCCTCCGGTAACCTCACTCACACAGCGAAACACAACGTTGTGGTTGTTTCACGCCGGTTTTCTGTGAGGCCGTTATGTAACTCCGGTCGAGCTGACCCATTCGTGCCGAAGCATGGCTCTCCCACACTTGTTGATATAGATTAAATAGTTATTTTTATTTTGTTTATTGTTGTTGTCCTGTGCTAGTCTCAATAAATGTTTTTTCTTTCATTCTTCTTCTTTAAAATTTGTATGTTTGTTAACCCACAAGTGCCGACAACACAGGAGAAAATCTCATCAGAAGAAAAATTTAAGAAAAAATAACTTTTATGATAACTTACCAGTAACTTGTCTCTCCTATTCAGTATTGTTTTGAGCCTGGTCTCAACATAGTCTCTATCGAAGTGCTGGTCTTCCAGCATGCTGGCTGCGAACTTCTGCAGCTCATCGACCCTTCCAAGCTGGCTGTGGAGTAGCTTGGAGAACTCCATGTGCTTACGGATCAAAGTTTCCACGGCTGTTGGGAGATATTGAAAGTTATTTTTGGTAATTTTTCGTTTATTTTTGGTAGTAAAAAAGTAAAATATCGGTTATTATTATTTCTAGTTGATTTTTGGTAGTAAAAAGTGATGTGAAGTTCATTTTTCGAAATTTTTTAATCAATATATCTACCTAAGTATTGACAAATTCAAATAATACAAAAATTTAGTTTCACATATTCAAAATGTAAGTATGTAATGAAGGATACTTTTTTTATCTATACTAATATTATAAAGAGGTTAAATTTGTAAGTTTGTATGTAGGGGGTAATCTTTGGAACCGCTGGTCGGATTGCCAAAATTCTTTCACTGATTGATAGCTACAATGTTCCTGAGTGCTATAGGCTATGAAAAATCACGCTACGCTTAAATGGAGCCGAGCAGCACAATACGGTGCAAGATTTCATAGCTAATGTTGAAATTTATATTTATAATAACTTACCATCTAAATTCTCTCCAAGATCGTCATTGTTCAAGAAGGCCTCTTTAGAAGCGAGCCAGTCCTCTGTCTGTCTCGCTTGCTCCTTCAGCAGTTGCAATTGATGAGCCTTTGAGTAAAAGAGAGAGATATAGTTTTTTGCATAATGCAGTATTTTGTATACTTGGGCTCACTCACACGGCGAAACACAACGCTGTGGTTGTTACACGCCGGTTTTTTATGAGGCCGTGGTATCACTCCGTTCAAGCCGACCCACTTGTGCTGAAGCATGGTTCTCCCATACTAAAATCGTTAGAAGAACTGAAAGGCCTTCTGGGGCCCGGAAAACGCCTTGGTTCAGCAGTGGACCTCTTCCTGCTTATGATGATGATGTTTTTTTGTGTAATACCTTACCTGATGGTAAGCAATCAGCGCCGCCCATGAACACCCGCAACAACAAAGGAGTTACGAGTGCGTTTCCGGTCTTTTGGGGATAAGGGTTGCGGATTTTTAAGGATTGGGCCTTCGGTAACCTCACTCACACGGCGAAACACAACGCTATGGTTGTTTCACGCCGGTTTTCTGTAAGGCCGTGGTATCACTCCGGTCGAGCCGACCCATTCGTGCCGAAGCATGGCTCTCCCACACTTGAAAATGCTGGATGATGATGAATGATGATAGCTCACCTGCGTCAAATACTGTTTCCTCTTCAGCCAGGCCTGGTCCAAAGTGCTGGATAGAACTTCCACTCGCTTGACCTTCTCAGGAACCTGTTCAGCTTCTTTCTGAAGAGAGCTTATGGCTTTCTGGCGACCATCGATTTCAGCCTGCGTAATGACAACTTAGGTGATTAGTACTATTAAAAGATTAAAATGTGAATCTTTGAGTTGTTTATTTGTTATTTGAACATCTTGGGGTAATCCCCGAGCAAATTGACAAGTGTGGGGATTATGGTTTGAGACAATAAAATGTCTTCTCTGTCTCCAATTAAAGTTGTCGCTATTATAAGTGTTATAACTAAGATCCCCAGGGTAATCGACAAGTGTGGGGATTATGGTTTAAGACCATCAAGTTTCTCTTCTCCCTTCAAGATTTAACGGAATGGAGTAGATACGCTATATTATCAGTAACTGAACAACAATCACCAGAAGAACCAGTAAATGAGTAGAGCATATGTCTTATCAGTTAGTAGCACCATCTATCTATACTTACTGTAACGTAACTAAGATCCCCATTGAAATCGACAAAGTTGGGGATTAAGGAAATTGTCAAAATTGGGGATTAAGTAAATCGCCGTTCTTCTACTGATTATGATGATAATATTGATGGTAGACCTCACCTTCTTCTCATGATGCAGTTCCAGAAGCGCTTCAGCATCAGACACTGTCTCCGGGGCTCCTGTCTCGTCCATCCGCTTAACGGCCTCCGAGACCCAGAGCTCCAATTCCTGGAGAAAAATTGTATTTTAATAAACCGAAAAATCTTTTTAAAAACGTGCAGCACCAAGCTTCACTGACGTTTCAAAAGTACCTGTTTACAGTTTTTACAAAATCATATGTAAAAAACTAGATGAAGAAAAGAAAATTTAGGGGTGGACTACCCCTTAAATATTGGGGGATTAAAAATAGATGTTGGCCGATACTCATAGATACCGGATAAGCACAAAAATTCATCAAAATCGGTCAAGCCCTTTCGGAGGAGTATGACAACGAAAACTGTAACGCGAGAATTTTATATATTAGATATCTCCTTACCTTGAGATTTTCATCGAATTTATGTTCAGCGATGGCTTCATCCAACAACGCGGTGCGTTTCGCAGCCAACTCCTGTAACTCTTCCCAACCTTCGCGTAGGCTGTGCAAGCTCTTCTCTATCTCTTTTGCACGTTCCGGGTATCTATTGAGTAAGAGGGAGACGGGTATAGTTTTTGTTGTAACGACTTTTTGGTCCATAATATATGGTTATTAGTTCAGGAAATTGTTCAAAATGGTAATCAAAATCATAAACCTTTCTTTTTATGGTATAGGTCGTCAAACGAGCAGACGGATTACCTGATGGTAAGCAATCAGCGCCTGGACATCATCCATCATGGACATCCGCAACAGAGGAGTTACGAGTGCGTTGCCGCCCTTTTGGGGGATTAGGGATTGCGGGAAGGGAAGGATTGGGCCTCCGGTAACCTCACTCACACGGCGAAACACAACGCTGTGTGTCACGCCAGTTTTCTGTGCGGCCGTGGAATCACTCCGGTCGAGCCGACTGATCCGCAGCAAAGCATGGTTCTTCCACGATTAAAAAGAGAGGGGATTAAATATTGGAGATTGGGGACTTGGAGATTGGGGATGCAAAATTTCGCATTTTATAATGTAAAACTCACTTCTCAGTAAGAGTCTTCCCTTCGCCCTCCAACTGTTGTATCTTATCTCTAATAGCGCCAGCTTCAGCGGCCCTCGCTAGATGGCGCCTCTTCAACTCCTGCGCAGCTGTCAACTCGCGCCCTCTCTCGGCGCTACTGAACAACGTCGCTTTCTTGGAGATACGTTCTTCTGTATCTTCTACATCTCTGGTGAAAATAAAATAGAGAGTGAGTTAGTTTATAGGAGAATAACTGAGTGAATATGAGTGAAAATGGGAAAGTGAGTAAGTTTTAGTGAAAATAGATGAGTGAATGAGAGAGTTTATTTGGCTCAATATACTAGGTGACTGTATAAGTTTGAGTAGAAATAAATAAGGGAATTTTGTGAATATAGAAGATTGAGTGTAGAAGTGTTTGGTGAGTGAGTGTTGTTGAGTAACAGTGACCGAAAGTGAGTAACAATAAGTCTTGGCGAGTAAGTGCAAATGAGTCAGAGTGAGTGTAGATGAGAGAAGGATGAGAAGAGTAAGTAAAGTTGAGTGAGAGTGAAGTTATTTGAGTAACACTGAGTGTATATGAGTATTTGTAAGTAAAGGTCAGTGAGAAAACTTCAAGTGAAAATTAGTGTTAATGAGTAATGATGAGTTTTTGTATTATTTGTGAATAAGTATGAGTATCAAAGTATACATTTACCTGTTGAAAGAGTGTATTTCGAGTGCAGCGGACAAGTTGTCTCTATACTTTTGCAGGGCGCCGGAGAGAGCGTGCCATTTTGCAAGGAAGGCGTCACGACGCTGTGACACTGTCGCTGCTTGTTGGGTCGGTCCCTGAACACAAATTTAATGTTATTTCCTTTTTTTTCAATGAAAAACGGCTGAAATTTTTTAGTAGGTTCCTCAAGTAGATACGGCCATGAAAACTTCAAAACACTGAAGCTCGCCATTTTAATAAGAAACGCTTAATATAGCTTCTTAAAACCGCTGCAACTCCTGTGCACCAGGATCTACAGTAGATACAACCATGAAAACACCGGAACACTGAAGTCCGGCGCGTTCCAGGGACATGAATGACTGTCTTGGATCCCGCAACGAAATAAATCAGAAGATATTATTTGAGGAGAAGACAAAACCGAAATAGTTTCCACTTCCCTCGATAAATTGAAAGCAGGAGACAGAATTACTTAAGCCTTGAAGACACAACAGAGACTGTACAACTGGGAGAAGTCCAGTCAACAAACACTACAGCAATTGAACTGTTTCAAGGAATCGGTACAGTAAAAACCCGTTTTGTAGTGAGTGGAAAATCATCAAATGACTTCTCCGGCCCAGGGTGAGGCGAGAAAGAGTGTCAGACTCTTACTGACTAAAAATCCCCCCGTTCCTTCTCCTGCTCTATGCCGAGGCCGCGATTTATAATGACTGTAAGGTTAGCGCTGTGGCTGGGCAACTGTCGCAACGTGTCGCGAACTTAATTCCCGCACGGAACAACTCTTTGTGTTACCCACAAATTGTTGTTCCGTGAGTCTGTGTCAGATGTGTATGTGACATTGTACATTTGTAAACGCACCCACGACACAGGAGAAAATATCTATAATGCTAGTTTTTATTTTTGTCAGGGACAAATCATCAAATCACTTCTCCCGCCCAGGGTAAGGCGAGAAAGAGTGTCAGACTCTTACTGACTGAAAACCCCCCCGTTCCTTCTCCTGCTTTAGGCCGAGGTCGCAGTGCCTCATTGCGCTTACCCCGCAACCCCGGCAAAACCCTTTCGTACAGCAACGTTTTTTTTAAAAAAATACTATTAAGCTTGATTCGAAACCCCTATCTATACGGTTTATGGCAAAGGGAAAGTAGTTTGAATGTACCTGTTGAAGTAGTTTGTCAGCTAAAGCGCAGATGCTCTTGACCCTTCGATCGTCGACCTTCATATCACTGTCCATGTCATCCAGTTTTCTTAATAACGCGCTACAGTGTTCATAGTCTCTGCCCAGCTCGTGAGCTTGCACCATCATCTCTTTGTCTCTGATCCAGGCTTCAATCTTGTCTAGATGCTGGTTGAACTCCAAGATGTCTTGAGCTTCTTCTAGACCTCGACCTGGGGATAAATCATGTCATATGTTATCCAAACTTAATACGTATTATAAATTCGAAAGTAATGCTGTCTGCCTGTCTTTTCTTTACGCCTAAACTACTGAATCGATTTGTATGAAATTTGGTACAGACATAGTTTGGAACTCGAGATAGGACATAGGATAGTTTTTATTCCACGCGAGCTAATTATTAATTTTAAAAGCTGTACAGTTTGTTTGTTTGTTTGAACGCGCTTATCTCCGTAAGTAATTGTTCGAATTCAACAATACTTTTTGTGTTTGCCTGTCCATTTATGGAGGGAGGTTTTAGGGTATAAAATATCACACCAAGATCCGTAGGAGCTGGGCAGCGGGTGAAACCGCGGGAGAGTAGCTAGTGTACCTAACCCAACTCACACGGCAAAACTCAACGCTGAGGTTGTTTCACGCCGGTTTTCAGTGAGGCCGTGGTATCACTCCGGTCGAGCCGACCCATTCGTGCCGAAGCTCTCCCCCACACTTAAAAAGTGGAATTAAAGCTAGTTAACGTACCTCGTTGCTCGGTGGCAGTCTCGAGTCGCTGCCAGTCAGCCTGCAGGTCCTGCAGCTGCTTGTCGACGTCGGCGTCGGGCCGCAGCTGGCCGGCCAGCTCCTGGACCTCCTGCAGGCGAGCCCTGTTCGCCGCCAGCTCCGCAGTGAAAGCCTGGTGCTTCTGCAGCTTCTTGATTTTATCTTCAAGATTTGTCACTTCACCTGGAAATTTATGTCATTTAATAATTAATTGATATTGATACCTATTTATGTATGAGCAATAATTTTGTAGCATGTGTTTTGTTTTTCTTTTTATTGTTATTTTCAATTGAGATGAACCTACCTTTTATTTTTTTTTTGGTACCTTTTTTTATTGTTGTATTATAATTATTTCTTATTATTGTACATATCTTTGTAATATTTTTTTTTCTTATTGTTCATACCAAATAAATTATTTTTCTTTCTTTCTTTCTACTACTCCTATTTCTCCATCACCCAAAGGTAGACTGGCAGAGAACGCCTTAAGAACGCGTTAAGTCCGCCATTGTACGTTGTGTGTGCAAGAAGTATAAAATAAAATAAATAATATAATAACTTACCATGTTGATGTTCAGCGGCCAGCTTGGCGAGTTTGTCAGCGACCCAGCCGCGGGCCTCGGCCGCGTCGCGCGCGAACTGCGCACGCGCACGCGAACGGACCAACGCCGCGCGACGACGCCCAGACTCCGAGTATAGCTGGAAACATTCATTACCATCAAGATTAAATAGTCATTGGCACGAATGGGTCGGTTACCGGAGGCCCAATTCTTCCCCTTCCCCAACCCGTAAATCTCCAAATTCCTCGTGCCCAAAAGGTCGGCAACGCACACGTAACGCCTCTATTGTTGCGAGTGTCAATGGGCTGTGCTGATTGCTTACCATCAGGTAATTCGTCTGGGAGTTTACTGACCCATCACATAAAAAAAAACTAACTCAACCCAGGTACGTTTGAAAAGTCAGTAAGTCAGTAACGTCAGAAAAGTAAGAACAGTAGTCTGTCAGTCAGTTCGTCAATGAAGCTAGGTGCTCGTTCCAAATTGTAGATTCGAATGGAGAAGAACGAGCGAGAAACTTCATAACGAGACTGAATGACTGCTAATCTTATACATCATCAGCCTATAAGTGCCCACTGCTAAGCAAAGGCCCCTTCTCACACGGAGAAGGTTTGAGCATTAACCACCACGCTCACTCAAGGCGGATTGCCGATTTCAAACTTATAATTAGAAATTATGAGTCCAAATCGGATACATTACAGAGAATATTCGGGAGAGATTCACAGCTTGATTCCTCATAGCCCTTTCCACCATCGTACTACTAGACAATCGGCAAAACGTCATCGCTTTATGTTAAAATCCCACCAACACGCATGAAGCGTTTCGCCTCCAGTTTTATAATCAGAACCGCTAAGGAGTGGAATTCTTTGCCGGAGTCTGTGTTCCCCGAAGGGTATAACCTGGGTGTCTTCAAGGCCCGAGTGAATAGGTTGCTTATGGGTAGACGTGCTCGATCGTAGGTCGCATCATCGTTTACCACCAGGCGTGATAGCGGCCAAATATCTGCCCATAACGAAATAAAAAAAAAACTCCTCACGATGTTTTCCTTCACCGTATATCAGTGGTGTCTAAATAATAATCTATACTCAATTATAAAGAGGTAAAATTTGTAAGTTTGTATGTAGGGGGTAATCTTTGGAACTGCTGGTCGGATTGCCAAAATTCTTTCACCGATAGATAGCTACAATGTTCCTGAGTGCTATAGGCTATAAAACATCACGCTACGATTAAATGGAGCCGAGCAGCGGGTGAAACCGCTAGAGAGTAGCTAGTCATAGAAAAATTTATATAGGTGGCACTTATAGGCTGATGCGAGATCTAATTGTGACCCATATTTTTCCTTATATTATATTACTTTCTCTCATTGTATAGCGATATTTTTTTTGTTTTTATTTCATGTTTATATACTTGTTTTATTTTGTGTTTTATGTGCGTATTAGACGCGAATAAATACTTTTTTTTATGTAATATATGGTAAGCAATCAGCGCCGCCTATGGACACCCGCAACGGAGGAGTTACAAGTGCGTTGCCGACCTTTTAGGGATTAGGGATTTGGAGATTTAGGAATTGAGGAGAGATTGGGGAAGGAGAAGGATTGGGCCCTCAGGTAACCTCACTCACACGGCGAAATACAACGCTGTCGTGGTTTCACGCCGGTTTTCTGTGAGGCCGTGGTATCACTCCGATCGAGCCGACCCATTCGTGCCGACGCATGGCTCTCCTACACTTGTACTTTTTCTTTCTTTCTTCCTATATGAGATCTTACCTTCTTCCTTCTTTCATTGATATGCTGTAATTCGTCAGCGATTCTTTGACTCTCGACGTGGTTCTGCTGCAGCAGCTTGTCTCCGTGACTGTTCAGGGTAGCTAGCTTCTCGTCCTGGACAAACAGAAATATATAAATATTACTAAAGTATCTAGAAGTCTAATATTTTATTGTTAACTGGACGGTTGGCGCGGTCGGGCGGGAGGGAGTGTCAGACTCTTACTGACTAAAAACCCCCCTGTTACTTCTCCCGCCCAGGGCCGGGCAGGAGGAAGTGTCAGACTCTTACTGACTAAAAACCCCCCTGTTCCTTCTCCTGCTCTGTGCCGAGGTCGCGGTACCTCATTGCGCTTACCCCGACTGAACATCAGCCCTATAGGGCCCCGTCTGTGGTGGTCTATTGACTCTTTGAGACGCGCGCAGAACGGTATGCGCCGTACGCTCGGGCCTGGTTCTGGTCGGGCGGCAAGCTGCCCTTACTAGCCGACCGCAGACGCGTGAAAATCCTAGTGTGGGGCAGCGTTTTAAAAAATAACTATCCAAAACGGCTCGACGGATCTAGATGAATTTGGCACAGGCATAAGATACACTCCGGAATAGGACATAGGCCATTTTTTATCAACATACCACGCGGGCGAAGCCCCGGGACGGAGGGTTTTAAATAACTACAATACGGTAGGTAGTTAGTAGTCCAACCATTCAAATTCAAGACTTTTATCCAAATGTCAAAAACGATACTTTCCTATGAAATTTGTATGAAAAACTGAGCTATGACGTCATTACTTTTTTGCGTCAAATAGCTTACTTATTTCTTAATAATAAGCTAAAAAAAAATCTAAAACTTAGTGTATCGATCGATCGATGAATAAAAGTATAGTTATTTTTCAATATTTTATTGTATTGAAACGTCGAAATAATTTATTTTTGACCTAGGAAACCACCCAATTCCAACTTACTTGTGTAGCGAGAAGTTTTTCGAAGGCTTCGTGTTTCTTCAATTGGTTCTCCACTTCCTCGACACTGCTCGTCTGTGATATTTCAGTGCCTGAAATAAAAACATTTATTATCTATAGTTACTTAAGTCGAGGTGGCCCGGAGGTTAAGGCGCCCGCTTCTCATACATGAAATCGAAACCTTTCAAGTACTAATGTGACTTTTTCCGAGCTATATGTACTTTCTATGATTATTTAGACACCACTCACATACGGTGAAGGAAAACATCGTGAGGAAACCTGGACTTATAATTTCTAATTATAAGTTTGAAATCGTCAACCCGCATTGAGCAAGCGTGGTGGTTAATGCTCAAACCTTCTCCGTGGGGAAGAGGCCTTTACTCAGCAGTGGGCATATATGGGCTGCTGATGATGATGATGATGATGATGATGATGATGATGAACTATAGTTACTTTGCACAAATAATGAGAAAACCTGCATCAATTTTGACGACTAAAAATTTAATAAAAATCTATTATTCCAACTAAACCATAAATAGGTACTTTTGAAACGTCAAAATAGAATGGAAGTCTATTTCTGTGCCGAATGTAATTTGGCACTCCCAACCCAAATGCTTCGCACGGATGCGATACTAATACTTAATTTCTCCACTATTAAATGGATGTTATTATACATATAATATAAACCTTCCTCTTCAATCACACTCTCTATAAAAAAACCGCATCAAAATCCGTTGCGTAGTTTTAAAGATTTAAGCGTACATAGGGATATAGGGACAGAGAAAGCGACTTTGTTTTATACTATGTAGTGTATACTTGAAATTGCAATTGTTTTTTTTATGTTGATAACTTCATGGAGTGCAAAAGTCAAAGTCAAGTCAAAGTCAAAATCATTTATTCCAATTAAACCATCAATAGGTACTTTTGAAACGTCAAAATAGAAAAGTAGTCTGTCAGTCTGTTCGTCAGTGAAGCTAGGTGCTCATTCCAAATTGTAGATTCGAATGGAGAAGAACGAGCAAGAAACTCCATCGTTACTCTTTTTTTTAAAAAAAAATTGTTTTACAATTTCAATAATATAACATTTATAGTATACATTAGTGTACCCTTATGTGAGAACAATGCAGAGACAAGTTGTTAAAAAAAAAAAAATTTTACAAAATAAAAAAACCGCCTTCAAAAAAAGTCAAGCAATAAAAGTTCCTACACTAAAAAGTAAAAAATAACAATTTGAATTACTGTAAAAAAACTTAATTTATAGGTAAACTTATTTGACATTAATATTTTGCAAATATTCAAAATTTATTACTTATTTTTGGAGTCGGTGCCAGCATTTTGATGTTGAAACTTAATGTTAGTTAGGTTTTTAATATCCGGTGCCATTTTTCGTACATAATGCTTAAACATTTTCAATGTACTTAAAATGTTTTTGTAAGTACATATTTTTTATTTAAAAAAATGTGCAAATCGGACATTTTTTGTAGAGAAGTCTAATCTGTATTTATGTCTTAATTAATATACCTATATTTGAGTATGCAAATAGGTATTAAGTAGTTTTATAATTAAGTAAGAGGTAGTTTTTCAAGGGATTGTTGCCCATTTGTATTTCCTTGCATGGGCTGGCACCGACTCCAAAAATAATTAATAAATTTTGAATATTTGCAAAATATTAATGTCAAATAAGTTTACCTATAAATTAAGTTTTTTTACAGTAATTCAAATTGTTATTTTTTACTTTTTAGTGTAGGAACTTTTATTGCTTGACTTTTTTTGAAGGCGGTTTTTTTATTTTGTAAAATTTTTTTTTATTTGTAGCCGTTTAGTGTTTTTTTTTTTTATTATAATGTGTTATGGCAAAGAAGTCAATATCGTTCCTACATTTCTTTTGAAAAAGTTACCAATGTCATACTTATACGTAGAAATACATATCATAGTACATTGTTACTGTGTAATCGTTTTGATCTCGAGGAGAGATGATATGATGCATGAGATACTTATGACTTATAGTTAAAATAAAATAATAATCTTATTATAAATTCATATTAGTTCTCGCCAAATAACAAAAAACTAGATATTTTCATCAACAGACAGATAAAGTTCAAAGATACCAAATGCAATCTAATTTAGTATCTATGATTAAATACATTCGTACATAGAAAAAAGACCGATGCAATTATTGTTTTGTATCAATTGTAACCCATTAAATGAAGAATACTATTTTGTTATTACTAAGAACATTCATATATAGACAAGTTGGTAAAAATATAAAAGACCATCGCTATTGTAAATATACATTTATGACTCATTCAATGTATGAACCTTTTTTAAGTAAGTATTATCTACATATGTGCACACAAAAGAAACACAATTATTGTTTTGTACGACGCAATTATTGTTTTGTAACCCATTTAAAACGACTGTTTTGTTAAAAATGCCAATTAATTCTCTTAGCCTATTACCAGGAAAACGATAAGAACACAATGACGCATTTCACCACTAATGTGTAAACGCAGTCCACGTGGACTAATGCAAAATAGCCAATACTAGGCCAAACTCCGCCCCCAAAGGTGTGCGGTCCCGCTCTAGAACCTTTCGGCCCCATCGGCCATCTGTTCTACGAGCAATGTGCCGTGCCCACTGTCACTTAAGTTTGGCATTTCTTCGGGCTATGTCGGTGACGCTGGTTCTTCTGCGGATTTCTTCATTTCTGATTCGAACATGCACGGAAACTATGAGCATAGCCCTTTCCATTGCTCTTGACAGCTCTAATAAGCTTACACAATACTAGGCCCCATGCCAACCTTCCAGCTTCATCATCACATCAGTTCAATAGTACCTTACAGCCAAAGTGCATCTTATAACAATTCTAACAAGCCCAAACACGGCTAGGATATATTAATTAGGTACACAGTTCCAGTGCCTACCTTCCAGCTCCATAATCATCATTAAATCAGTTCGATGATAACATTTCCAACATAATTATTTAAGATCATTGGTTTACAGTGCATTTTCATAGTTGCTGAACTACCTTGATTGTGATATCTATGCGAGTGTCAAGTTTCATCATCCATTTCTGATCTTCTTCACCAGTTCCACCTCATCAAACATTACTTTTTGACTGTAAATGCTTGAGTGCTCTATGAAAATATTAAAATTACTATATAGTTGCCTATAATATTTGAGGAGTTCCCTCGATTTCTCATGGATCCCATCATCAAAACTTGATTTTGAAAAGAATGGGACCAATCTGGAAGCATATCCTTTCAATCATAAAAAAAATTTTGCAAATCCGTCCATAAACGACGGAGTTCTGAGGTAACAAACATAAAAAAAAAAAATAAAAAAAAAAAAAAAAAAAAATACAATCGAATTGAGAACCTCCTCCTTTTTTTGAAGTCGGTTAAAAAAGAACAAATGAGGGGACCTATCATAAAATTTTACTCCTTTGTCGTCTCGAACATGGCGCTCACATATGCGTACTCACAATCTTTAAGAGTGCTTCTATATAAACTTTTTGGATATATAAATTAAGGATGCATTATTTTTGAGAATTTTACCTAACTGCTGACTATATTTGAGTATTGTCCAGTGGAGCCGAACCAACATGCTGCCAGGCATTCTTATCCTCAATATAATCTGAAAGTTTGTAGTATGCCTGTCTACACAATTCCCGTTTAATATAAGTTTTAAATTTTCGTTCGTTAAGATTCAATACAGTACTTGGAATTTTATTGTAACAATTTACACAGAACCCCATAAAGGATTTCTGTACCTTGGACAGACGGAATCGTGGCACAGCCAGCCTATCTTTGCCTCTTGTATTAAAATTATGTCTATCGCTTCTTTTTTCAAATAATTGCAAATTTTTCCTTACATACATAATATTTTCATATATAAACTGACAAGGTGCCAAATAAAAATACTTTCTTTCTTTATCTATACTAATATTATAAAGAGGTAAAATTTCTAAGTTTGTATGTAGGGTGCAATCTTTTGAACCGCTGGTCGGATTGCCAAAATTCTTTCACTGATTGATAGCTACAATGTTCCTGAGTGCTATAGGCTATGAAACATCACGCTACGATCAAAAGGAGCGGGTGGAACTAAGCGAGAGTAGATAGTTTCTTATATACTTACTGAGAGCAGCTTCTTGGGTGGCGCAGAGATCGTGTAGGAGCTTGGCATCTCTTAGGAAGCAGTGTAGGTCTATGAGCTGGTCCAGCGCGACCTGTCTAGCTGCCCAGGCTCCATGCAACCTGTTGCGTTCCTCTAACAAGGCTTCGCATTTTTCTTCGACCTCCTATAAGAATAAAAAATAAAATTGACAAGTTTTAAGTGTGTAAGAGCCATAGTTTGGTATCAATGGGTTAGCTCGACCGGAGTGATAATAGTTTCACGGAAAACTGGAGTGAAACAACGACAGCGTTGTGTTTCGCCGTGAGAGTGAGGTTACCGGAGGCTTGGGCCTCCGGTAACCTCACTCACACTTCCAAAATCTCCAAATCCCTAAAAGTCCGCAACGCATTCTTAGCTTCTGTTGTTGCATTTGTCCATGAACGACACTGATTGCTTAACATCAGGTAATCCATCAGCTCGTTTGTCGACCTATATCATAAAAAAAATTATGTACCGTAAAACGGGGTAAATAGATAAACACACAAAAGCGGTGAATAGTCTCTATGTCTATTAACCTCTCTTTTGTGTCTATTCATCCCTCCACTGTTTCTATTCACCCCTCTACTGTGTCTATTCACCCCTCTACTGTGTCTATTCACCCCTCTACTGTGTCTATTCACCCCTCTACTGTGTCTATTCACCCCTCTACTGTTTCTATTCACCCCTCTACTGTGTCTATTCACCCCTCTACTGTGTCTATTCACCCCTCTACTGTGTCTATTCACCCCTCTACTGTGTCTATTCACCCCTCTACTGTGTCTATTCACCCCTCTACTGTTTCTATTCACCCCTCTACTGTGTCTATTCACCCCTTTACTGCTTCTATTCATCCCTGTACTGTGTCTATTCATCCCTCCACTGTTTCTATTCATCCCTTTACTGCTTCTATTCATCCCTGTACTGTGTCTATTCATCCCTCCACTGTTTCTATTCATCCCTCCACTGTTTCTATTCATCCCTCTACTGTTTCTATTCATCCCTTTACTGCTTCTATTCATCCCTGTACTGTGTCTATTCACCTCTTTTATGTATCTATTTACCCCTATTATGTGTCTATCCACCCCTCTTCTCTGTCTAATCACCCCTATTCTGTGTCTATTTACAACTATTCAGTGTATATTCACAACTATTCAGTGTATATTCATCCCTCTTCTCTTTTTAATCACCCCTATTCTGTGGTCTCATATGGGTCTATTGACCCTTCCTCTGAGTCTATTCACCCCTCTACTGTGTCTATTCACCCCTTTTCTGTGTCTATTCACAACTATTCAGTTTCACTTGTCTTCTCTGTTTAATCACCCCTATTCTGTGGTCTCTTATGGGTCTATTGACCTTTCTTCTGTGTCTATTCACCCCTTTACTGTGTCTATTCACTCCTCTACTGTGTCTATTAACCCCTATTCCGCGTCTATTCACCCCGTGTGACAGATACTTACAGCAGCATTAGGATGTTGCGTGGCGAGTTCCCTGCCCATGTGTAGCGCGTCCCTGAATGATCCGTCTCGCGCGTCGAGCTCGGCGCGCACGGCGTCGTGCTCGGCGCGCGCGCTCTGCGCCGACACCGCGTCGCGCACGCGCACGGGGCCCGACATCGAGCTGCGCAGGGACACCGACCACGACGTCAGGTCGCGGACCTGTACAAATAAAACAGTCTTAGGAACTAAACACATTAACGATACGGTAGTTCACAACTAGTCACTTTAACTGTTTATTTAAAATATTGTTTCTAATATATTGTGTCAACTTTATAAAATATCACCTGTATAACATATGGAATGCAAATAAAGAATTGAATTGAACTGTCTTATAGTCATTTTTTTAATCTTTGCCCCTCTCTAGTATTTCTCCTGTGTCGTGGGTATGGTTACAAGCAACAATGTCACATACACATCGCACCCAGACTCATGGAACAACAATTTGTGGATCACACAAAGAGTTGTTCCGTGCAAGAATCGAACCGGCAACACGTTGCATGGCAGTCATTTCCCCATCCACCGCTGCCACCGTTCAGTCAAATCTTACTCACATAGAATGGTTATATAAATTGAGTAGTTTCCTAGGTCAAAAATAAATTAATTCGACGTTTCAATACAATAAAATATTGAAAAATAACTATACTTTTATTCATCGATCGATCGATACACTAAGTTTTAAATATTTTTTAGCTAATTTAAAAAAAATAAGTAAGCTATTTGACGCAAAAATACTATGTACTATGTCATAACTCAGTGTTTCATACAAATTTCATAGAATAGTATCGTCGGTGACTGACATGTGGATAAAAGTATTGAATTTGACTAGTTGGAAACTACCTACTTAACACAACTCTGAAAAAGTCACATTGCTACTTAACAGGTTACAAACTACCATCCTCATGCATGAGAAGCGATCGCCATAACCTATATACCACCACGATATTTTTGCTTACCATCAGATCATCCAATCCAAACACTAACATGAATGATCCTATGCTGAACTTATCACATGATAAAAGGAGATAGATACAAATAGAAACCCCCCCTTTCTCCCCCCTTACCTGTGTCAAGAATTGGTGTAACTGCAAATATTGTTGGAGAGTATGTCTCCTGTCATCAGCAGCTTGTTTGAGCATGGTCCAGGCATCTTCTAGGGCCTTCTGCTGCAGCTCAATCTGCTGGACGTTGCCGCCAGGGTACAGTTTCTGGAGACGGTTGCCTTCTTCAAGGAGGACCTGGTGATAGAAAGGGTGTTGTTAATTGAATTTATTTAAAATTACTTTCGCGCGGTTTTACACAAAGCTCGGCTTTTACATTTCGTACCGGGTAAGTTCGGGTTACTTTGAACCTGCGGGGTAACTTTGATCCAAACCCTTTAACCAATAATAACTGAGAACCAAACATATATTCGTTTTTCATTGGTTCGAAAATTTGGACCAAAGTTACCTCCCAGGGTCAAAGTAACCCAAGCTTACGGTACTGTGATGTTTTAAAGCCTTCCTCAATAAATTGTCTAATAAACACAAAAAGAATCGGTGGACACCCGTCCATGATTGCTTACCATCAGGTAATCCGTCTGATCTGGTTTACATCCGTAGCACGTCATGCACAAAGGTCCAGCTGAAAACCAGCGTCAGGCCCAAGTGGTCTGGTATTTATGCTGAACTGGACCTGTTTGGCGCAGCCGTGAGGTACGCAGTTATGTAGTTTTTTTTATTTAATTTTTTTATTGACTGACTTTTTTTGTTTCTATGTCTGTGTGCACATGGTTTGTGTCAAAAAACTTTTTTTTCCTTCTTTCTTTCTTTCTTTCTTTCTTTCTTTCTGATCGTTTGCCAAACTAGCACATAAAAAAAGTTTACCTGCATCTGCGCATCAATGGCAAGGAGATCGTTTTGCATGGTATCGTGTGCTCGTAGGGCCGCAGTGGCGGCGCGGAGGTCCCGGGGCGGGGGCGGCGCCGCGAGGGCTGCCCTGGCGTCCCCGGCGCGCTCCGCCAGCTCGGCCACGTCGCGGTGGAAGCGGTGGATCTCGCCCGCAGCGTGCAGCCGGGACGCGCGGGACTCCATCTGCTCCACCAGACGCTGCCACCATTCTCTGTACGAAAAATAATATTGTTATTAATTATAAATGGAAGATTTTAGGTACGAATTAATGGTACGGATTTGTTCTTCTTTAACTAGTTTCTTGTATACCTTTCTAAACACTCCATAATTGGGTTAAAAATTGACACAATCGAAAAAACAACCAATCAATTTAAAAAAAAAAAACGTTGCCCAACATTAGGATTTTCTCCTGTGTCGTGGGTGCGGTTACAAACATACAATGTCACATACACATGACACCTAGACCCGGAACAACAATTTGTTGATCACACAAAGAGTTGTTCCGTGTGGGAATCGAACCCGCGACACGTTGCACGGCAGCCAGTTGCCCAGCCACCGCGCCAACTGTGCAGTATATCTCTAGTCTGTCTAAATAATGTGATATTATAATTTCACATATTTAATTATAACATTAAATCAAACCCCAAGCGGAAGCCAGCGTCCGCCAGGCATCGCACATATAGCTTTGCTGTTAAGAACTCCATGCACGTTGCTAATTGCTTACCATGAGGTAAAAAAGAAATATTAAAATAACATACCCTAAGGCTTCCTGCCGCTTCTCAATATCCCCTATGTAAGGGCTTTCAGTGGCTAAAAGCTTCTTGGCGAGTTCCTCGCATTGGTTAAAGCGCTCGGCACCGCTCTCCACGCGATGTCGAAGCTCATCGAACTTCGAACGAAGAATCTGTTGACAGAAAGAAACAAAAATTAAGAAACTTATGTTTTGTTTAAGTCCTGTAAAGCCAGGCTTCGGCACGAATTTTAAACCACGGCCTCAGAGAAAACTGGCATGATACCATAGCATTACAGAAAACCGGCGTGAAACAGTCACTTAAACTTTTGCGTTTCAAATTAATAGCATATATTTACGCGGGTATTAACGGGAAAATGTGTGAAGTGTCCATAGGCGGCGCCGATTGCTTACCATCAGGTAATGTGGTTGCCCGTTTACCGACCTATTACATAAAACAATTAAAATACAAACTCAACGTCGTCGTAAAGCCTTAGCATTTATTGTCACACAAACTAAACGTATACAGGGTGTAAAAAGCAATGGTAAAAAGACTTTACTTCGCAACAACAAAACAATTCTGTAAAATAAAAATCCTACTGAGATGCACGATGTTTTTTGTGCGGGTCTGCATTTATTTATTACGTACATTACTGTTCGTAACTTCAAATGTGTAATTTATTTAGAAAAAATCAGGTAATGTTTGTTTGCAAAAAAGTTTTGTGATAATACTAAGAATTCGATTGCGCAAAAAAAAATTAAAAAATGCATCTTTGACCTTCAATATCTCGAGAACCCGTGGAGTCCCAGCTATGGTCTTAAAGAAAAAAATGATCCAAATAATGGGTAGAATACGTGGCTTTCGGCTTCGTTATGTGTCTTTATACACCCTGAATACAGAATTACAGCCGAATCGGTTGAAGATCTACTTCAATATTTTGTTTCAAGATTCCATTTCACAAATATACATACATATATACATATGTATGAAAAGTAGAGCATTTTCTCAGTTTTGTATACGCCGCTCCTCAAATTTTCAAAACCTAGCCTTTTTTTTAATATGTAATAGGTCGGCAAACGAGCAGACGTATTACCTGATGGTAAGCAATCTACGCCGCCCATGGACACTCGCAACGGAGGAGTTACGAGTGCGTTGCCGACCTTTTAGGGATTAGGGATTTGGAGATTTAGGGATTGAGGAGGGATTGGGGGAGGGGAAGGATTGGGCCTCCGGTTATCTCACTCACACGGCGAAACACAACGCTGTGGTTGTTTCACGCCGGTTTTCTGTGAGGCCGTGGTATCACTCCGGTCGAGCCGACCCATTCGTGCCGTAGTGAGGTTACCGGAGGCCCAATCCTTCCCCGCCCCCAATCCCTCCTAAATCCTTAAATCTCCATATCCCTAATCCCTAAAAGGTCGGCAACGCACTCGTAACTCCGTTGCAGGTGTCCATGGGCGGCGGTGATTGCTTACCATCAGGTAATCCGTCTGCTGGTTTGCCGACCATTTACATAAAAAAAAAGATGACAATGTCGCTATACCCACCAGAAGATGCTCATAATCTTGTCCATAGTCCTCGCTGGAGGCAGCAGCGTACTGCTCCTGTATCCAGCTCTCAAGCTCTGCGCTCTCTGCCAAGTACTCGTGTCTGGAGGTAGGAGGGAATTAAGTTAAATTTAATCTTATATATAAAAATGGATCGCAAAATGTGTTGGTAAGCGCAGAACTCAACAACGCCTGGACCAATTTTGCTAATTCTTTTTTTGTTGTGTTTTTTATTGTCAGGAGAAGGTTGTTATCAAAGAAAATATTAGAAAAGTTGAGGGGAAGATTAGGAAAAAGTGACCATTTGATAGCGAGATAGTTGGACCCGAGCGAAGCGGGGGCGGACCGCTTGTATTATACACAAAACAAAACTACCTTTTACAAGATAACATTTATCTGACTATTGAAAAATCAATCAATTCTTATTTTTTAATAGACAAAAACGGGTCAGCTCGTATTTATATATTATTATTTGTTTGTGTGCACTTGTGTGTGTGTGTTCTTAATAATCTATAACTTCTTACCGACAAACGCTCTCGACCAAGGCCTTCTGTCTCTGAGCAGCCAGTCTCTGCAGTCTCGCGAGACTTTCAGCTAAAAGCGCGTGTCTGGCGAGTAGGGCTTCGCCTTCCGGATGTCCACCGTTGGCCATAGATGTCGCCACGTGTCCCATCTCAGCTATAATCGCTGCGTATGTGTCTAGTTCCAATTCTACAGCCTGAAAATAAACATAAAACATTAATTTTCTTCATCACTACACATGTATTACAAAACAAAGTCGCTTTCTCTGTCCCTATATCCTTATGTACGCTTAAATCTTTAAAACTACGCAACGGATTTTGATGCGGTTTTTTAATAGATAGAGCGATTGAAGAGGAAGGTTTATATGTATAATAACATCCATTAAATAGTGGAGAAATTAAGAGCCTATCAGCATTGCATACGTGCGAAGCTGGAGCGGAGTACTTGTTGTAGTATAAATATTTAAGTTTTTTTTGTGAGGGTAAAATCATCAAATTATTTCTCCCGCCCAGGGTTTTTTTTGTGAGGGGAAAATCATCAAATGACTTCTCCCGCCCGGGGTCTGGCAGGAGGGAGTGTCAGACTCTTACTCGCGAGAGGTCGCGGTGCCTCATTGCACCGCAACCCCGGCTGATAAATATTTAACTTGGAGATCAAAATCAACATTTATATAGTAGTAGTAAAGAATTCTCATAACCCTAATCCGCAAAAGGTCGGCAACGCAGTCGTTACTTCTAGCTAGTTTACCGACCAATCACTTAAAAAGAAAATAGTTAACCAATTTTTTTGTAATTAATACCTTATGTCTGGTCAATAAGTGGGTAGCTCTGTGCCTGTCCTTGGCCAGATCAGCGTGCGCAAGCGCAGCCGCCTTGTCAGCGAGCCAGGCGTCGACTTCGAGCGCGTCGTGCATAAACTGTTGCGCTTTGAGCGCCGCTTCCAGTTTCGAGGCACGACTTTCTGCCGCCTCAGATACTGATGTGTATCCAGCTTCTAATTGTTCACAGAGTGATTCAATCTGTAAGGAGCAGAAAATAAGGGTTAAGCATTTGACTGCCGACAAAAACTGTTGAAGGCTAATCCTCCGCTAGCGTCGGACAGCATTGCCCGACATGGCGTTCAAAGTGTTAAGTATATGAGATTTAAGGGTTGATATATTTCTTAATATGAAGAATAGTACGGTAGTTTCCAACTAGTCAAATTCAATACTTTTATTCAAATGTCAAAAACTATACTTTTGCTATTAAATTTGTATGAAACACTGTGTTATGACGTCATAGTAATTTTGTGTCAAATAGCTTAGTTATTTCTTTGAAATTAGCTAAAATGTATCTTAAATTTAGCGTATATATAGATCGATGAATAAAAGTATAGTTACTTTTCAATATTTTATTGTATTGAAACGTCGAATTAATTTATTTTTGACCTAGGAAACTACCCAATACTCGTTGATAAAAGTTTCCACTTATTAATTAAAATGTACGATTCAAAAATGGTATTATTATCTATCTAAACATTAGTGTTACACTGTTCTCACACATCAGAACCGACTAAATGATGTAACAAAGAAATGTATTGTAAAACTGACTGAAAAAGAGTAACCATGGCGTTTCTTGCTCGTTCTTCTCCATAGGAATCTACACTTTGGAACGAGCAAATAGCTTCACTAGAGGACAGACGGACAGACTGACACAGACATGCTTAATTTTAAAGCTCTATAAATACTTTTTTCCTTTTTTTTGCTTGACGTTCAAAAGTGCCTACTGTGGTCTAATTGAAATAAATGATTTTTGACTTTTTTACCTATATTATACATATAAAAAAAATCAATGCCACTTTTCCTTGTAATGTTATAACTCAACAATGCCTTTACAGATTTGGTTAATTTTGGTCTTGAATTATTAGTGAAAGTCCAGAGAAGATTTGTACGTAGAAAGAAAATTAATAAAAATCTGTCGATGGCGATCGCTAGTTTAAAATAAAAACATCCTCACCTTCTCCCTCTGCGGATGACCCTCTTCTACCAGGGCGGTACCATGAGCAATGACCCTTTCAATCAAAGGCCTTCTGCCGAGAAGCTCAGCTTTGAGCTTCGCGTGCTTCTTCTGCGCGGACTGCGCAGCGTGAAGGTCTGTCGGCATCACTTCGGAAGACGCCGCGCCGCTGCGCTCTGATAGCCAGTCTAACTCGCCAGCTACTTCTGCAGCGAATTTGTGGAGTCTGGGAAAGATGGAGAAAGTAATTAAGTGTATACTATGTCGTGACTATAAGTGTCGTGGCGTGACATACCAATTTATTTATTTTATTTGAATATATTATGCACACTTAATGCCAAAGGCAATTTCTAGCAGCCTACCTTAGGGTGGCACTGGTCATGATAGATAGGACAGCTAAAAGAGCTAGAGATTTTTTGTCGTGACGAGACGTGACGCATTGTAATGTGACGTGACATGACTTTATGTGGCGTGAAGGTTCGTAATGTGACGTGACGTGATGTGACGTGACGTGACTTGACGTGACGTGTCTTGGCGTGAGGTGACGTGACGTGACTAGATATGACGTGACATGACATGACTACGTGACGTGATATATTGTATCATGACATGACGTCACACAATCCTTATTAATGTAGGCAGAGTGACATATATTTGTCACAGTAAACTTACTTAATTAGTTCTTCGATGTGGATTAATAAATATAAATCACCGTACAATACGGTAGTTTCCAACTAGTCAAATTCAATACTTATTTATCCAAATGTCAAAAACTATCTTTTCTATGAAACACGAAGTTATTTCTTATATTTAGCTAAACAATATGAAAAACTTAGTGTATCGATCGATCGATGAATGAAAAGTATGGTTATTTTTCAATATTTTATTGTATTGAAACGTCGAATTAATTAATTTTTGACCTAGGAAACTACCCAATTACTAAACAGAATCTGAGCAAAGCCACGTCTGACGACAAGTTATCTTATATATCAAAATGGATCGCAAATGTGTCGGTAAGCGCATAACTCAACAACGCCTGGACCAATTTTGCTATTTCTTTTTTTGTTGTGTTTGTTATTGTCAGGAGAAGGTTCTTATCAAAGAAAATATTAGAATAGTAGAGGGGAAGATCAGGAAAAAATGACCCCTTGATATCGAGATAGTTCGCCCCATGCGAAGCGGGGGCGGGCCGCTAGTTTAAAATACAAATAAATTCTACTTACTGCAAGCTACTCTCCAAGGCCTGTCTCCTCGCGGCGGCTGGAGGCTGAAGGCTGCGGACGGCGCGCAGTAAGGCCGCTGAGTCCCTCTCGATAGCCTCCGCATCGAAATGCCCTCCGGAGACCAGGTCTGCGCCCTGAGCTGCCAAGGCTCCAGCCTTGTTCTCCCACAGCGACAGCTCTTGTTCTAAGGCCTGTTAAATAGAGTATTTTTTTCAACACATGTCCTTATAAAGTGGCATATAGGTAATGACCTATAATCAAACTGTGACTTTTTCATTACTATTATTCACAAGTAAGTGTTCGACTGCACGGTTGGTGCGGTGGCTGGACAACGGGCTGCCGTGCAACGTGTCGCGGGTTCGATTCCCGCACAGAACAACTCTTTGTGTGATCCACAAATTGTTGTTCCGGGTCTGGGTGTGATGTGCATATGAAATTGTATGTTTGTAACCGCACCCACGACACGGGAAAAAAACCATAATGTGGAGCAATGTTTTTTAAAGAAAAAAAATAGAGTTTTTCTTTATATAAATTATTGGTTGAGTTACGCTTACATTTGCGCTAAAATTATATACCTACGCGAAAAGCTAAAAAAAAAACATTTTTTTTTGTCTATTTATTTATGCGCGCCCTATTGATTTATTTAAGTACCTGATGTTGATTCAGTAACCGCTTGCAGCTTCTGAGGTCGGTGCCAAACTCCTCGCTCTTGAGCTGTCGCTCCAAGTCGATGAGACGCGCCTTCGCATCTTCAACAGATCTAGAAATATATTGTTTGTTAGTTCAGTTAGAGAAACACTCAATATAAATACTGAAATACTAAATATTGGACTTAATTTTTCATTGCCATAGCTTTTTCCACATTGTCTTTATCTAAAACGTGGAAGAAATTGAAGAATAAGTGTGGGAGAGCCAAGGTTCGTCACGACTGGGTCGGCTCGACCGGAGTGATACCACGGCCTCACAGAAAACCGGCGTGAAAAAACCACAGCGTTGTGTTTCGCCGTGTGAGTGAGGTTACCGGAGGCCCAATCCTTCCCCTTCCCCAATCCCAAAATCTTAAAACCCTAATTCGCAAAACGTCAGCAACGCGATCGTAACTGCTACGTTGTTACGGGTGTCCATGGGTGACGCTGATTGCCCACCATCAGGTAATCTGTCTGCTCGTTTGCCGACTTATCTCATAAAAAAAGATATATGGCACAGTAAAGAAAAGAAGAAAAACATTTATTCGAAACTCCCACAGAACAGAAAATATATACAAGAACAATAACATTTTAAACATACAAAAAGAAAAATAAAACAAAACAACAACAAAAAAGATGAAAAAATAAAATAATGAAAGACCTGTGCGAGGTCAAAAAAGACTAGCATCCGATTTATGAAAGGCCGATCAATGTTCAAATCAATTTAATATCTTGTCAAGTCATCTGATTGGTTGACTGAATTATCAACAACCAATCAGGGCCTCGAGTCTGCTATGACAATAGTGTCAGAATAGTAGATCATTGGTTTCAAAATTGTTGATTTTGACAAGTTTGGTAATCTACTAACACGATAGCGTCAATGAGACTTTCCAATGCCACTTCATTGAAATAATTCTTAAGAACGGTAATCTCGTACATAATGACAAATGAATATTTGACATAATGCGGTAAATTAATAAAAAAAAATGTCAGTTCCTTTACTCAATGATTTACGGTTAGAATATTAATGTGCAGTTATTGTTTATAATTCGTTACAAGACATCTCTTACTATAATTCTATTATGACATCGCCGAACGCCAATGATCAGCCATTTTGAATTAACAGATTACGAACCACTTTTAGCAAAATGACAATGGAATCGTGTATTCCTACACGAAAACACTTTGAAAATAGTAGACTCAGGCCCCAGATGACTTGACAAGAGATTTGACACCTAGTTAGTTGATTTTAACATTGATCGGGCTTTCAGAAACCGGACAATCTCAGCATATGCTGCGATACCGCGTACATCGAGGGATTGGAACAGTTTGCCGGCTGCAGTCTTTCCGTCCGAATACAATTTAGGTGTCTCAAGGCTAGAGTGAATAGGCTCTTAATAAACTAGTACGCCTTACCGTCAACGATTGCATCACTGCTTACCATCAGGCGGGATCGCAGTCAAGCACTAGTTTATTGCAAGTAAAAAAAAAAGATTATTAACCAAAAGGTAAAAATACCACAGGGCCCCAGTAGAGGTTTCCTATGACTTGTTGAATGAAAAAACATACCTTCTATGCTTCCTCTGTTGCGCGGCCTGTCTCAACTTGCTCCCCTTATCCCTGGAGGCAGCCACCAGCTCCTCCCAAGCCGTCTGAAGTCCAGACAGGTGTTCGGATACCTCAGACGCTCTGGACGGGTCTGACTTTTGGAGAGATTGGCCGATCTATAAAATAAAAGGTCTTTAAAGTCGGTTTAGCCCGGATGGTCGTTGTAGCCCGGAGATTAAGGCTTTTTCCGGATTATATGTACCTACTTTCTATGATTAATTAGACACCACTGACATACGGTGAAGGAAAACGTCGTGAGGAAACCTGGACTTATAATTTCTAATTATAAGTTTGAAATCGCCAATCCACCTTGAGTGAGTGTGGTGATTAATGCTCTAACATTCTCCGTGTGAGATGAGGGTTTGCTCAGCAGTGGGCACTTATAGGCTGATTTGAAACGAGCTAATAGCTTCACTAAGAGGTCTGACCGACAGACTGACACTTAATATCTTTAAAACTTTTACGATTCTTTACTTTGTTTGACGTTGAAAAGTGCCTGTATGGGTCTAATTGAAATAAGTGTGGGAGAGCCAAGCTTCGGCACGAACGGGTCGGCTCGACCGGAGTGATACCACGGCCTCACAGAATACCGGCGTGAAACAACCACAGCTTGTGTTTCGCCGTGTGAGTGGGGTTACCGGAGGCCCAATCCCTCCCCTTCCCCTATCCCTTCCCGTTCCTTTTATCCGCAACCCTTATCCCCAAAAGGCCGGCAACGCACTCGTTACTCATTTGGAGTTGCGGGTGTCCATAGGCGGCGCCGATTGCTTACCATCAGGTAATCCGTCGGCTCGTTTGCCGACCTATTACATAAAATGCTAATCCCAAAAAGCGGGCAACGCATTTGTGACACCTGATATTGCAGGTTTCCAGGGGCGGCGCTAATTGCTTACCATTGTAATTTGCTCGTTTGCCGACTTATACCATAAAAAAATGATTTTGACTTTGACTTTGATGATGATATTTAAGAATAAATTTTATTTATCTATAAAATACTTACGCTTTCAACGTTGCGCAGCTGTTTTTCATTTGCCTGTAATTCTCTTTCAAACGCTTCGTGCTTTTGTAGCTTGCGTTCCAAGTTTGCCAAGTCCCTGTTGATGAGACGGGATTATAGTATTTAAAGGAAAAACTAGACATGAACAGTGCAATTAATATTTTAAAATTTACATTAAAAAAATCTTATTTTCTACTTATAATGTTGCCCCACAGTGCCCCACACTAGGATTTCTATGATTCTCTCCTGTGCCGTAGGTGTGTTTACAAACATACAATGTCACATACACATCACACCCAGACTCACGGAGTCTCAAAGACCCAATAGACCACCACAGGCGGGGCCCTATAGGGCTGATGTTCAGCCGGGGTGGAGGGGTAAGCGCAATGTAGCACCGCGACCTCGGCCCAGAGCAGGAGAAGGAACAGGGGGGTTTTTAGTCAGTAAGAGTCTGACACTGCCTCCCACCCGGCCCTGGGCGGGAGAAGGCATTTGATGATTTTCCCCTCACAAAAAAAAAACCAGACTCACGGAACAACAATTTGTGGATCACACAAAGTGCTGTTCCGTGAACCGAACCGCGACGGCACGCCAGCCAGTTGCCCAGCGTGCAGTTTTAGCAATATAGATGTGCATATGTAATGAGTAAGAATAGATACAATTTTAAGATTAATAAAAACATTTAAAACGATATTTAAGGACAAGATCAGTCAAACAACGAACTTGAATTTGATTTTGATAAAAATCAATTATTATGTTTAAGTATTTAATTTTATTTATTTACTTTAGTGAAAACGTGACCTAAGTTTGACATTGACTTTCATAAAAATCTATTATTTTGTATTTTATTACAAAAAATATTTTGGCTGCATGGTTAGCGCAGTGGCTGGGCAACTGGCTGCTGTGCAACGTGTCGCGGGTTCGATTCCCGCACGGAAAAACACTTTTTGTGATCCACAAATTGTTGTTTCGGGTCTGGGTGTGTTATGTATGTGAATTTGTATGTTTGTAAACGCACCCACTAAACAGGAGAAAATCCTAATGTGGGGCAACGTTCTTTATAAAAAAATTTGGCATTCAATTTAACTCAAATCCAACAAACATTAAAACGCCAAGTATAAGTACGGATGTATGTTTGTTACTCTCCCACGTAAACACTACTGAACGGATCCGAATGTAATTTGGCACACAGATAGATTACAGTCTGGAATAACATATTGGACTTTTTACCGTGACGAAAGCCAGTATTGACGTTATAATAAAAATAATGAAAAGCATACCTATAACTCTGATCCTTGGCAGTCCTGGTTTTGTCTTGAATCCAGTTTTGTAGCTCTTCAGTCGCTGCAACGAACTGCAAAAGAAAATAATTAAATAAAATACCAATGTGACTTTTCCCGTGTTACATGTACTTTGTATGATTATTTAGACACCACTGACATACGGTGAAGGAAAACATCGTGAGGAAACCTGGACTTATAATTTCTAATTATAAGTTTGAAATCGCCAATCCATATTGAGCGAGCGTAGTGATTAATACTCAAACCTTCTCCGTGTGAGAAGAGGCCTTCGCTCACTAGTGGACACTTGTAGGCTGATGATGATAATGAAACAATGAGTCTGGGAGTCACGGAACAACAATTTATGAGTTGTTTCGTACAGGAATCGAACCCACGACACCTAGTGCAGGAGCAACTGCTGTAATTTATAAAGCTTATGCTATATACATATATAAAAAAGCCTTTAGTAACCTGTTGATGCGCCAAGCTAGCTAGTAACGCGCGACGTCGCTCGGCCGCAGCGCGACGTACGCCGTCCCGACGCTGCAACACTGCCGCGCGACGGGCCGCGATACTGCGGAGTAAACGATCAAATTAATAATAATAATTTATTTATTTAGAAAATTAAACTTAAATCTACCATTACAGTTTTCCAATGCGGTGGTTTAGTAAACCTGATTATAATCTAAAAATAACATACAGTTCAACTTAATCTATGTCACAATATACTTACAGATACATCGCATAATATACCAGCCTTATGAACTCACTCATGGTACAACTAAGATCTATAATAATATTATAGAACTGGAGAGTTTGTTTGTTTGTTTAAACGCGCTAATCTCCAGAGATACTGTGATTCGTAGGAGACGAGCAGCGAGTGGAACCGCGTGACAGAAGCTGCTACATAAAGGCCGTATAACATATTACTCAGTCCAGCCGGGTTTACGTGGCAAGCGCAATGAGTCACCGCGGCCTCGGCCTCGAGCAGGAGAAGGAACAGGGGGGTTTTTTGTCAGTAAGAGTCTGACACTCTCTCTCGCACCACCCTGGATGTCTTACAAGAAAAAATAGCATAATACTGGCATCTGTCTAATGTCACTGACATGATTTTCTTTTTGTGTTTGGCTAGACCGGAATGATAACACGGCCTCACAGAAAACCGATATGAAACAACCACAGCGTTGTGTTTCGCCGTTTGAATGGGTTTTTTTTTTACTTGCAATAAACTAGTCCTTGACTGCGATCCTGCGCACTAGTTTATTAAGAGCCTATTCACTCTAGCCTTGAAGACACCTAAATTGTATTCGGACGGAAAGACTGCAGCCGGCAAACTGTTCCAATTTCTCGATGTACGCGGTATAAATGACCGGGTTACCGGGGACCCAATCCTTCCCCTCCCAATCCTTCCTTAATCCTTAAATCTTTGAAACCCAAATCCACGAAAACTGGCAGAGCCATTGTTATTTCTCTAGTGTTCATGGGCGGCACCGAGTGCTTACCATCATAAAACGTCTTCTCATTTGTGTTGTATTGTCTATGATTAGTATTACTAATCAGTGTTGCGCTATTATTGTCTATGTCGTCATATCACTATAAAGAGGGTGTACGAGCGAGTGTCGGCCATTGACAATGTAACTCTGGTGCAGTGCGCTGTACGAATGTGTGCTGTATAATTAAAGTCAAGTATCCAAGATCAAAGTCTTTTAATCTTATTACATGGTGTCAGAAATGGGATTCGAACCCACGCCTCACAGAGGGCAAATTGTGATAGGTACATCACAATTTGCTGATATACCTATCACAAAACATGCTGTACTTACGGTTTAAACTACGATTAATACTTAACCTTTTTACGGGATTTAACGCGTACTGGTACGTACGTTTTATTTGACGTTTTTGCAGGGTTGCACCTACCTTAGTCACAAGCAGACTCTGGACTAAATATTATGATTATGAAATAAAAACAGCTATACTCACTGCTCAGCGGCGTAATGGGGTATTTTCTCCAACGCTTCTGCCTTCTGGACGAATGTTGCTAATCTCTCGTCTTGAGCCGCCAGACGGGCCTCCAACTCCTCATGGCGTTTCACCAGAGCCTCGGCCTCGTCTACCGAAGACTGTTCAGAGGGTAGGAGGAAGAATTAAATAATTACAATACGGTAGTTTCCAACTAGTCAAATTCAATGCTTTTATTCAAATGTCAACAACGATACTTTTCTATGAAATTTGTATGAAAAACTGAGTTATGACGTCATAGTATTTTAGCGTCAAATAGCTTATTTATTTCTTAAAAAATAATTAACAAAATATCGAAAATTCATTGTATTGAAACGTCGAATTAATTTATTTTTGACCTACGAAACTATCCAATCATGGTTTTTGCTAGTCAAATGAGTTAGTGTTGGTCTTTTAAAGACATTTTTCTGCCCTTTACATATGTGACAGAATATAATTGTTGACGTGAATTACAGCGTCGTGTGAGTAAGGTTACCTTCCCCTCCCCAAATTCCTAAATCTCCGAAAACCTAATCTCCAAAGCGTCTGCAACGTACTCGTTACTCATCTAGTGATTTTTTATAAATAGTGGGCTGACTAGACCTTTCTATCCTTCTTTAGTATAGCGGATATCCAGGTGCGGTGTCGACTGCTTACCATCAGGAAATCAACCTACCGCACTGTCACAGAAAATACAATAGATTTTGAACCATATAAACTTGTGTATAAAGTTGAAAATAACTTACACCAAACTGTTTGTACTCGAGATACGCTTCGTGAGCGCCGGTAGATGCATCAATCTGATCGCATTCCCGGTTGAAGCTCTGAAGCTGTACCAATTGTTTTAAATAGGCGTCCTTTTCGTGCCATTCTGTAAAAAAAAATATAGATTTACTAATGGACTGGACCAAACAATAGTTATCAGCCTATAAGTGCCCACTGCTGAGCAAAGGCCTCTTCTCATACGGAGAAGGTTAGAGCATTAATCACCACGCTTGCTCAAAGCAGGTTGGCGATTTCAAACTTATAATTAGAAATTATAAGTCCAGGTTTCCTCACGATGTTTACCTTCACCGTATGTCAGTGGTGTCTAAATAATCATAGAAAGTACATATAACCCTGAAAAAGTCACATTGGTACTTGCCAGGTTTCGAACCAACACCCTCATGCATGAGAAGCGGGCTCCTTAACCCCTGGGCCACCACGACACCCCAAACAATGACCCAACATAAAAATTTCAGCGAAATCGCTAGGGCCGTTTCCGAGATCACATGCTTTTCCAAGCAATCAGCGCCATCTGCCGGGCTGATTTGTGGATCTAAACTATCCAGTGCGCCACACAAAGGCATGCAGAAAAATTCATTTAAATCGGTCAAGCCGTTTAGGAGAAGTTCAATGACATACACGCGAACAGCAGAATTATTTACATAAAGATAGCATCGCGCCTTAATGTTGGCCCGTAGGTTAAGGCACCCGCTTCTCATGCAGGAGGGTGTGAGTTCGAAACCTGACAAGTACCAATGTGACTATTCTGAGTTTGCTACTTTCTATGGTAATTTAGACACCACTGACATACAGTGAAGGTTAACATCGTCAGGAAACCTGGACTTATAATTTCTAATTATAAGTTTGAAATCGGCAATCCTACTTGAGCGAGAGTGGTGAAACGTGCTGGACGGAAGCTCTCACACGAAGAGCATTAATCACCACGCCAAAACGGATTGTCGTGTCGATTCGAAACCATATGTCAGTGGTGTCTAAATGATCTTATAAAGCATATATAACTCGGAAAAAGTCACATTGGTACTTGCCAGACCCTAATACATGATGATCCTTAAACTCCAGACGAACATAGCAATTTTTACAAAAGCAAATACGATAGTTTCCAACTAGTCAAATTTCTATACTTTTATCCAAATGTCAAAAACGATACTTTTCTATGAAATTTGTATGAAAAACTGAGTTATGACGTCATAGTATTTTTGCGTCAAATAGCTTACTTATTTCTTGAAAATTTGCTAAAAAATATTTAAAATTCAGTTTTATTTAAAATCAATTGATCGATGAATAAAAGTATAGTTATTTTTCAATATTTCATTGTATTGAAACGTCAGATTGATTTACTTTTGACCTAGGAAATTACTCAATTTCACGTAGAATTATTCTTACCTTTAATAACAGCATCATGGTCGGTTTCCAAGCTCTTTATCTTGTCTGCAACGTCCGTGAGAGCTGGGTTGTTAGCCAACAATTGTTTTCCCAGACCTATTACTTCTTTGAATCTAGATAGACAAAAAAATATAAATTAGCATCCAAAAAGTTTGGATAAAACAAATATTATAAATGCGAATTTAAATTTGTCTGACTGCCTTTTTTTCACGCCTAAACTACTGAACCGATTTCTGTGAAAATTGATGCAGACGTAGTTTGGAATTCGAGAAAGGACATAGGATAGTTTTTATACCAAAAATCTTCAGGCAGTCACTATTCCACGCGAACGGAGTCGCGGGCAAAAGCTAGTCTAATATAATTTAAGGGAACAGAAAGTGAGATCTAAGATCATAAGGTTGTAAACTTTACATACTATTTTAGACATTTTTTAGATATTAAACAATGTCAAAATTGTTTACATATTTATTTAATTTTAAGTGTGGGAGAGCCATGCTTCGGCACGAATGGGTCGGCTCGACTGGAGTGATACCACGGCCTCACAGAAATCCGACATAAAACAACGACAGCTTGCTCGCCGTGTCAGTAAGAATCTCCCGAAATCCCCGACAACGCACTTGTAACTCCTCTGTTGTCGGTGTCCATGGGCGACGCTGATTGCTTACCATCAGGTAATCCGTCTGCTCGTTTGCCGACCTATATAATAAGAATAAAATGACTCACTCATCGTCATGTGCTTTGATATCGTCCATTAGTTCTTGATGTTGTTTGTGTAAAGCTTCGGCAGTGGCGACATCTTTAGCGCTCGATTCTTGGGCTAGTTGCTCACGTACTTTCTGTTAAAAAAAGAAACCAGTGTTATAATGTTATACCATGACTACATAGTATAAAAGAAAGTCGCTTTCTCTGTCCCTATATCCCTATGTATGCTTTATTTTTTGTCAGGGGAAAATCATCAAATCACTTCTCCCGCTTAGGATTGGGGAATTGTCAGATATTTTGTATATTATTTTGAATGTTTTAAAACACTGTATTTAAACAATTACATCTAGTATTGTATTTATATCTTAGTACTAGCTACTCTCGCGCGGTTTCATTTAATCGTAGCGTGATGTTTTATAGCCTATAGCTCTCAGGAACATTGTAGCTATATATCAGTGAACGAATTTTGGCAATCCGACCAGCGGTTCCAAATATTACCCCCTACATACAAACTTACAAATTTTACCTCTTTATAATATTCGTATAGATATCACTACATAGTATAAAATTGACTCAAAATAACTAATTATATCAATTTCACCCTTCTGTTTTCTTCTGTTCTTATACTTCATAATAGAGCTAAATTGCTTACCATCAGGTAATGCGTCTGCTCGTTTGAGGACTTATTCCATAAAAAATCATCATCATCATAAGCAGAAAGAGGTCCACTGCTGAACAAAGACCTTCCTCCCTTCTTCTAACGATTTAAGTGAAGGAGAGCCAAGCTTCGGCCCGAATGGGTCGGCTCGACCGGAGTGATACCACGGCCTCATAGTAAACCGGCGTAAAACAACCACAGCGTTGTATTTCGGTATTACAAGTACGTCCGAGCTATAATATTACATAACAAAACTCTTATCGACTCCATCTCTTTCTCACTCTCCACTCACCTGCATCCAGTGTGTCAGTGTAGCGGAGCTATTTCCAAAGATCTGGTGTCCAACGGCAGACTCCAGGCGGCTCCTTCTCTCGGCAGCTTGGGCCTGGCACCTCTCCCACATTTGCTGAATTTCCTTCTGTCTGCCTTCGACGTTGCCTCGCTCATTCGGGTACTGGGATTTGACTCTGGATTGGAGTAAAAAGAAGATCATATACTGATTGTTTTAGGACAGATTTTCAATGGTTAGATAAAAGTTACCTTGGAAATAATTGGGTAGTTTCCTAGGTCAAAAATGAATTAATTCGACGTTTCAATACAATAAAATACTGAATAATAACTATACTTTTATTCATCGATCGATCGATACACTAAGTTTTAGATATTTTTTAGCTATTTTTTAAGAAATAAGTAAACTATTTGACGCAAAAATACTATGACGTCATCACTGATTTTTTCATAGAAAAGTATATTTTTTGACATTTGGATAAAAGTATTGAATTCTAAGACATTGAATTAGACTAGTTGGAAACTACCGTACTAAGATGCTGTCGCGTCAGAATGTTTGTATATGACAGTGACAGCAACAATTTTATTCCTCAGATAACAATTATCTGACTATTGAAAAATAAAGCCTAAATGTAAAAAATGAAATATAAATAAAAAAATCTAGACAAGGCTAATTAAGTACATGTATTAAATTAGAAATGTCTACATAGTTATTAAGGTGAATCGGTATTGTTATAAGTTTCTTCGAAAACCATGGTCGGTTATTGAGAAAACTGTATACCATAATCCTATTCCTAACTAATATTATAAATTTCTGCCGGGGTTGCGGGGTAAGCGCAATGAGGCACAGCGACCTCGGCCCAGAGCAGGATAAGGAACGGGTTTTTAGTCAGTAAGAGTCTGACACTCCAGAAGTCATTTGATGATTTTACCCTCACAAAAAAAAACGAAGAAGTAACTCTGTCTGCCTCTCTCCGTTGCAGGGAAGCTAGGTCCAGTTAGATTATTTTTATAAACTTTATAATTAAACGTTTGAGATAATGTATTTAAAATTAAATAGAAATATTTCTTACTTTTCATTCTCATATCTTTCGATAAGGCTGCATGAAATTATAAATTCATAAAAAGTCATAGGTTCACATCTATACAAATTACAATATACATGAAAACATATTTATAAGTCAACATTAATTACCTACTAATAAATTTTTGTAATAAACTAAGCGCTGATTTTTCAATGTTTAGATATAAGTTACCTGTGGAATAATTATGATGCTGTCGCGTGAGAATGTTTGTATAAGACAGTGACAGCAACAATTTTATTCCTCAGATAACATTTGGACATCTGACTATTGAAAAATCTGCCCTTAACATAATAAAAAAAACTAAATTTTTTTGGTATCCAACATTTTTCCTCTCACTCAATGCCAAAATCTCTAAAACCCTAATGCCAAAAGGCGGGTTATTGGTGTCCTTGAAGGGGGCTGATTGCTTACCATCAGGTAATCCATCTGCCAATTCACCACTTTTTTAAATATGAAAATAAAACTTCAAAGTGTACTCACGAGTCAGCTAGCAAGCTGATAGTGTTGACTTTCTCCCTAACAGGTTCCAGTTCCCTCTCGAGCTGGGCGTGTCTCCTCTGCAGGGCTCTCACGGTGCGGAGGTCGGCTGCAGGGGCTGAGCTCGCCGCCAACTGCTGTTCCTTCTCCGCCATCCAGTCCAAGGCTTCATCACAAGTTCGGCTGAAGAGTTCCACGCTAGAAGAAGAAAGAGGATCAGATCAGGAATCACAACGGTATATAATTACTCGTGACTTGAAACTGGTAGAAGTGTGTAAGAGCCATACTTCGGTAAAATTTTTATATTAATAAAAATTATTATTTAAATATAAATTGTAAGTACTCGAATAAGGCAAACTGTTACATGCCATTTTATATTTCTACACCGGTAACGGTAGTATATATATGTGGAACTATATTAATGTTAAGATCTGTGTGCACCATGTACTAAGAAATAAATAATAATAGGTCTTTACCTATGAAATTGCCGTTCTCCAGTACTGGCCATTTCAAATCAAAATAGTTTTTGTTAGGCTAAGGCTAATTAATTTCGTTTTAAAAACCTGGGATTCTTTTTCCAAAAGTAGTCATTTGTTTATTGATTAGTGTTACATTTTCATCGCATTTCAAACCAAAAACTTCGTTTAAATGTTTTCATGCAACAACGGCAATTTCATAGGTAAAGACCTATATTCTAATATTCTATTCTAATACTCAATTCCCGTTACCTGGAAGCTCCTTCTAGACTCTTCTCCTTCTGCTGCTTAAGTCGCAGCAGTCGGTCCCAGAGCTGGCGCAGCTGGGCGGCGCGGGCGGTGGCGCGCGCGGCCTGACCGTGCCGGGCCACAACCAGCTCGTTGGCCGCGCTGTCTATGTGTTCCAGGCGCTTCGATGCCGCTGATAAATCCGTCACGAATTTCTGGATAACATATTTTATGTTAGTCAAAGTGTGGGAGAGCCATGCTTCGGCACGAATGGGTCGTCTCGACCGGAGTGATACCACGGCCTCACAGAAAACCGGCGTGAAACAACCACAGCGTTGTGTTTCGCCGTGTGAGTGAGGTTACCGGAGGCCCAATCCCTTTCATTTCCCCTATCCCTTCCCGATCCTTATATCCGCAACCCCTATAAGCATACCCCCAAAAGGCCGACAACGCACTCGTAACTCCTTTGGTGTTGCGACTGTCCATGGGCGGCGCCGATTGCTTACCACCAGGTAATCCGTCTGTTCGTTTGCCGACCCATTACATAAAAAAAATATGGATCCTCCTAATCCGTCAATGCAGTCTCACCTCGTATTTCCTCTTAGCAGTATCAACGCTATCATCAGCATCATCAGCCCTCAACATCTTCTCCTTATCCTTGATCCATTTGTCAAAATCATCGCATTCGGCGAAAAAGCTGTACAATTTGATCGCATCCTCGAGCTGAGCGCGACGCGCGGCCGACAAAGTTAATAGTTCATCTGTAATAGATAAATATTTAAGTGTGAAACAATGCAACAATTAATTTTACTTTGTAAATAGGCCATAAAACAGCACTTTTATACGTCAGAATTATATAGATGAAGCCGGCTTTGGCATGAATCGGACTGCCGGAGTGATAACACGGCCCGGAAAACAGGCGTGATAAAACCACAGCGTTGTGTTTCGCCGTGTGAGAGTGAGGTTACTGGAGGCCTTCCCTCCCAATCCCTAAATCACCAAATCCCTAATCCCTAAAAGGTCGACAACGCACTCTTAACTCCTCCGTTGCGAGTGTCCATGGGCGGCGCTGATTGCTTACCATCAGGTAATGTGTCTGCTCGTTTGCCGACCTATTTCATTATAAAAAAAATGTTTCGGACGTATGGCTCGGCTCGACCGGAGTGATAACACGGCCCGGAAAACAGGCGTGATATAACTACAGCGTTGTGTTTCGCCATGTGAGTGAGATTACCGGTGGCCCAATCCTTCTTCCTCTCATCTCTATCCCTAAATCGTAGCAACCCTAATCCTCTGGTGTTAGGGATGGCCATGGGCGGCACTGATTGCTTACCATCAGGTAATCCGTCTGCTCGTTTGCCTATAAGGCTAGCAGCACGCCCCTGGTTTGAATGTCAATGGTGTCTAAATAAACTTAGAAAGTACATATAACTCGGAAAATACTTATAAATGAGAAGTGGATGGCCCCCAACAATGGCATTAAAAGTAATAAACTTGCAACCGGTTTCTGAAAGGCTTTGTCATCGCTAAAATTAACTGATCTCCTGTTAAATCTAATTGGTTGTTGATAATTCAGCCAACGAATCGGATGACTTGACAAGAGATTAAATTGATTTTAACATTGATCGGCCTTTTGGGAACCGGGTGTTAAACTCACCATAATCCTTTTGGATTTCTTCCATCCTGGTCTCAACGCTAGCTGTCCTGGGTTGCGGGATAGTAGCCCGGCTGGCTCGCCTAGCTGCGGGCTTGTTACGTTTGACTGGCACCACTTGCTTAACCAAAACTGTCTTCTTAACTCTTTGGACTGTCCGGACTTTTTCTGGACGACGTACTTGAACCTAAAGAGCAAAAAATGGTATTATTATAACTACATAGTATAAAACAAAGTCGCTTTTTCTGTCCCTGTATCCTTGTGTATGCTTAAATCTTTAAAACTACGCAACGGATATTGATGCGGTTTTTTCATAGAGTGATTGAAGAGGAATGTTTCTATCTATACAATATAAAAAAGTCGTGTTTCCTACACTATTTATAACTCAAGAACTGCTAAACCGATTTGGCTGAAAATTCGTAGGGAGGTAGCTAAGAACTGGGAGAAGGATATAGGATAGGATAGAGTAACTAATAGTGTAGGTTAGGTAGAGTAGGTAGAGTTGGTAGGTAGAGTAGGGTAGGTAGAGTAGGGTAGGTAGAGTAGGGTAGGTAGAGTAGGGTAGGTAGAGTAGGGAAGGTAGAGTAGGGTAGGTAGAGTAGGGTAGGTAGAGTTGGTAGGTAGAGTAGGGTATGTAGAGTAGGTTAGGTAGACTAGAGTAGGTAGTGTAGATTAGGTAGAGTAGGGTAGGTAAAGTAGGGTAGGTAAAGTTGGTAGGTAGAGTAGGGTAGGTTGAATAGGGTAGGTAGAGTAGGTTAGGTAGAGTAGAGATGAGAGAGAGAGGAGAGGCAGGAAGGAGGGAGAGAGATGGAAGACTTCTTTCAGTAGGAAAATAATAATTCCTTTCATAATTCAATAAACGGTTTTAAATAAATACTTACAGGAACTACTCTAGGTTCAATTTCCCTCACGTAGTTAGCGGGAACGAACCCGTCAGTGCGGTCAGCCTTCCTCACCGACCACCAGTCCGGATTCGTTTTGTTGATCAAAAACATTATTTCGCCTTTTTGCATTGATATTCCTTGGCCTGTGAACGCGTAGAGGGCTTTGACCTGTAAAGAAGAAATGTGTTATAACGTTAGCCATATCGGGCTAAAACCAGCTTTCCGCTGTTTATTTTTCGGGATAAAAAAGTATCTCATCATGTAATCCAAACTTCTAACTATACGTTCTTCTGATTAAAAAAGAGTAACCATGGAGTTTCTAGATCGTTCTTCTCCATCGGAATCACAATACACTTTGGAACGAGCAAATAGCTTCACTAAGAGGACTTACCGACAGACTGACACTATATCTTTAAAATTTTGTTTGACGTTCAAAAGTGTCTGTAAAGGTCTAATTGTAATAAATGATTTTTGACTTTTTTTTTAAGTTCGCATAATTTCACAGCAATCTGAGAAACAGACCGTACCAATGTCTGACTTTTTCCAAGTGATATGTGCTTTCTATGATTATTTAGACACCACTGACATACGGTGAAGGTAAACATCGTGAGGATACCTGGACTTGTAATTTCTAATTATAAGTTTGAAATCGCCAACCCGCATTGAGTAAGCGTGGTGGTTAATGCTCAAACCTTCTCCGTGTGAGAAGAGGCTGATGATGGATAAAAAAAGATTTTGATCACTTGCCTGAGGGACGCTCCTCTCCTCAGTGACTGTTCTATGCTCCAAGCGCTCCACGGGTTCCTCTTCCCATACTTCGGTGGGCACCAGCCTGGATTCGTTGACCCATTCCTCTTCCTCAATGGCGGGAGTGGACTCCACTTCCGTTGGCAACTGGGGATGATTAATTAATTTTAAAACTTAGTTTAGTTTATAAATATGCTAGCTGACCCGGCAAACGTTGATTTTCCATATAACTTATTTAGTTAAGGTGAGTTTAGGGGTACGAAATATACCCAATAGCCGATTCTCAGACCTACTGAATAGGCATATAATAGGTCTTTACCTATGAAATTGCCGTTCTGCAGTACTGGCCATTTCAAATCAAAATACTTTAATTTGTTAGGCTAAGGCTAATTAATTTTGTTTTAAAAACATGGGATTATTTTTCCAAAAGTAGTCATTTTTTTATTGATTACTGTTACATTTTCATCGCATTTCAAATAAAAAAAATCGTTTAAATTTTTTCATGCAGAACGGCAATTTCATAGGTAAAGACCTATTATATGCCTATTCAGTAGGTCTGAAAATCGGCTATTGGGAATTTTTCGTACCCCTAAATTTTTTTTTATGTAATAGGTCGGCAAACGAGCAGACGGATTACCTGATGGTAAGCAATCAGCGCCGCCCATGGACACTCGCAACGGAGTAGTTACGAGTGCGTTGCCGACCTTTTAGGGATTAGGGATTTGGAAATTTAGGGATTGAGGAGGGATTGGGGGAGGACAAGGATTAGGCCTCCGGTAACCTTACTCACTCGGTTTTCTGTGAGGCCGTGGTATCACTCCGGTCGAGCCGACCCATTCGTGCCGAAGCATGGCTCTCCCACACTTGAAATGATGTTCACCATAAATTTGAGCCGTATAGGGTGGTCTATGTCGGTACCTGTAGCTCGGTGATGCCGGCGGCGCGCAGCCTGGCGGCGTGGGCGCGCAGCGCGGCGAGCTCGGCGGCGTGGGCGCGGAGCTCGTCGTGGGTGGCGCGGTGGCGGGCGAGCAGCGCGCCCGCGGACGGCGCGTCGCTGCCGCAGTCCTCCGTCGCCACCAGCGGACGCTTCTCCTTCATCCACGACTCCGCTTCGTTCGCGTCGCCGTAGAACTGAGGAACGTGCCAATTAAATATTATTCTTACTTTCCAAACTTACTTAAAGGATATTAAAAATTTACAATTACCTATTTGTTTTGATTTTAGTTTTATTTTTAATGTTAGTTATAAGGTACTTAATTAGCTAGTAAGAAAAAAGAAAAGAAATGAGCGCTTCTCGCCTTTAAACAATATGTTTGGCGAGGATCTTTAATACGAGGAACAAAATGTAATTCTCAAAATTGTAAAATAAATAAAAATAAATGTATTATTTCCAAAAGCAGCGCGACAGTCGCCGCTTCGCGTGTCGCGGAATGCTGCTCATGAATATGGGCCTCTAGCATGGCTTGAAACTAGTCGAGTTCCTCGTCAAATAGTTATTATTATAATGAGTAAGTGGAAATCAAAATAATTAATTTTGTACTAGCTTTTACCCGCTACTCCGTTCGCTTGGAAAAATGACGTCCTGCAATTTGTTTGTATAAAAATTCTAATCCTATAATCCTATGTCCCTACTCGGATTCCAAACACACAGAAATCAGCTCAGTAGTTTAGGTGTGAAGAAAGGACAGACACACAGACAGACAGACTTACTTTCGCTTTTATAATATTAGTTTCGATTCTATACTATATGTTTTTTTAATTGTTTTTTAAAACGTTGCCCCACATTATGATTTTCTCCTGTGTCGTGGGTGCAGTTACAAATATACAATTTCACATACACATGACACCCAGACCCGAATTTGTGGATCACACAAAGAGTTGTTCCGTGCGGGAATCGAACCCGCGACACGTTGCACGGCAGCCAGTTGCCTAGCCACCGCACCAAACGTGCAGTGATGTATTATATATGTATTATAAATATCATCTACTTATACATTTTATTTTAAATTAACTTTCACCCTACACTAGGATATTTTCCTGTATTGTAATGACATACAGAGATCACACTGCAATTTATGTATCACACAAATTGTTGTTCCGTGAGTCTGGGTGTGATGTGTATATAACATTGTATAATTATAAACGTACCCACGACACAGGAGAAAATCCTAGGAAGAGGCAACTTCTTTTTGTAAAAACCTAACAGTTTCTCATACAGTTTCTTTGATACATAATCCTTGCTTTGCCTGGAAGTTGAAGACCTTGAAGAATAAATGCCTTGCCCAGAAGTGACCTTGAAGAATATAATGAACACTGATGAACCAACCTGATGGGCCTCTGCAGCATCAGCTAGCTGCTTCTCCCTGGCAGCGGCGAGCTCGCGCAGTATCTGCCATTGCTTGTTCAGGGATGTCAGCCGGCGCTCAATCTCAGCAGACTTGGGATGCTTGGCGTCGATTAGACTGAAATATTATTAATAGAATACATAATTAATAATAGTTTTTTTGTTAGATAAATTTTGTAGGTCTGAGGCAGTGAAATATCGCAGATTAACTCTTTTAGACTTCTATATTAAATTTAAATTACACCGAGACGTCTTATTCGTTTTATAGTTGTCGCCATCTTGCTTTTCCCCCTCCATCCTTCCTCTCTCTCACACACATACGTCGTCTCGCTCATGTGTCACTCATGCTTAATATTCTAGAATCCTACAACTGAGTATTAGTACGTTTTTTTGGTAGTTATTTAAGGTCAACAGTAAATTAAACAGATGTTCCTTCTTGCCCCTCCAAAATCTCTAGATATCCGAAACCTTAATCTCCCAAAGAGTAGCAATGCACACTTGTAAACTATTCTGGTGGTATGAGTCTCCATGCTTGGCGTCGATTGCTTACCATCAGGTAATCTGTATGCAATCCGCATGATCAAATAATTTGCGCATAATTATTTGATCATGCGCAAACTATATTACAATTAGCGCAATCATTTTTTAACTTTCGCAAACTACATTTTAACTTGTGCAACCCATATTGCTACTTGCGCAAACCAAATTCTAACTTGCGTAAACCATATCCCAACTTGCGCTAACCAAATCTTAGCTTGCGCAAACCATATCCCAACTTGCGCAAACAAATCCTAACTTGCGCTACCCAAATCTTAACTTGCACAAACCATATCACAACTTCCACAAACCAGATCCTAACTTGCGCAAACAAATCTTAACTTGCGCAAACCATATCGCAACTTGCGCAAACTAAATCCAAACTTGCACAAACCATCTAACCTCCTAAAAACACGAAACGATTGAAATAAAATTATATACCTCTGTCCCTTGGCTCTGTGTCGTTGAGAGACGTGATCTCTTGCACGTAGCTCGTGGAGTAAGGCGGTGTGTTTCTGTCTCAACGCAAGTACTGCGCGAAGCTCCTTAGCCGCGACTTCTGCGCGACATATGCGCTGTTTCTCCGTCACCCAGCCTGAGAAATGTAATTGAATATTTTATAATATATCGTCTTGTATCCTGGATTCTATGGTCTATCGGTTTAGGTAATTAACTAAATGTAAACAACACGGAGTAGGAAATATTCATGTGTACAAAACAATGCACAATCTGTTCTATCACGCGCAATAGTTGCGCAAACAACTTCTGAATTTGCGCAAACCAAATCCATCTAGCGCAAACTATCTAACTTCCTAAAAACACAAATCAACTGTGGTAAAATAATGTAACTGTCCCTGAACAATATTGGCAAATATTTTTATCTAAAAGTTATTTTACCTAAATCGATGTTAGCTAATAAACTGAATTTAAATAATCTTTGTATGTACTTTATACGAGCTCTTTAATATAAAAAGACATGCCAACATTGTTTACCTTTAGTTAACCATGTAAACCGATAGAACATAGTTTAATTTAGTAATGTCTTTTTTTCTAGTAAGTACAATTATTAATAATTAATAATTACAGTATAATTGGGTAGTTTCCTAGGTCAAAAATAAATTAATTTGACGTTTCAATACAATAAAATATCGAAAAATAACTATACTTTTATTCATCGATCTATCGATACACTAAGTTTTAGATATTTTTTAGCTAATCATTAAGAAATAAGTAATCTATTTGACGCAAAAATGTAATGACGTCATAGCTCAGTTTTTCATACAAGCTTTATAGAAAAGTATCGTTTTTGACATTTGGGTAAAAGTATTGAATTTGACTAGTTGGAAACTACCGTATTATATAGTTTTGTAATAGGTAGTAATAAAAATAACTAGTAATATCACTAATAAGTAGTTATACCAAAAAAGTTTCTTTGACAGACTTGTTTGTTATCATGAGTAAAATCACGAAATTAATTATCTGTCACTAAAATTACAAGTAACCCTTTATAGTATAGAATTATAATATGATTTATATTTATATATTTTACCTTCTTCCTCGTCGTGATCTTCAAGGAACTGATAAAGGTTTCTAGCGTCTTCCAATCTTGCCTTACGGTCCTTGGCAGCGGCTACCAAGCTGCAAAAAATATGTTATTATTGTATGTTTTAATATAAATACATCAATTTATAAATAAGCAAACAAAACGAGCACAAAATTGGATAGTTTCTGAGGTAAAAAATAAATTAAATTGACGAAGTTTCAACACAATAATAAATAGAAAAATAACTAAACTTTTATTCAGGGATCCGTCGATTCGATACATTATATTTTCGATAAAGCTATTTGACACAAAAAATACTATCATCCAATGACTTCTACCGCCCAGGGCCGGGCGGGAGGGAGTGTCAGACTCTTACTGACTAAAAACCCCCCTGTTTCTTCTCCTGCTCTGGGCCGAGGTCGAGGTGCCTCATTGCGCTTACCCCGCAACACAAAAATACTATGACGTCATAATTTGGAGTTGCATACAAAATTCATAGAAATAAATCGGTTTTTAAATTTTATTTTCTTAAAAAAAATGTTTCCTCACACAAGGATTTTCTCCTGTGTCGTGTGTGCGTTTACAAACATACAATGTCACATACACATCACACCCAGACTCACGGAACAACAATTTGTGGATCACACAAAGAGTTGTTCCGTACGTTTTTTAATAGAGTGATTGAAGAGGAAGGTTTATATGTATTGTACAAGTCATTAAATAATTATCAGTATTGCACCCGTGCGAAGTCGGAGCGAGTCGATAATCTACTATAGAAAAAAAGTCGGGTTTTTTTCCCGACACTATAACTCTAGAACGGACAAAGCGATTTCCACGGTTTTGCATTCGTTGGAAAGGGCTCGGGCTCTATGAGGTTTATAGTAAAGAAAATCCAAGAAAAATTTTAACAGAAAAGCGTGACAATCTTTTTTGAAATACATCTGGTGGCGTAACGGTTTTGGTAGTAGCTTGTAAAATTGAAATCTAACTATAGTTACCTGTCATAATCTTGGGATAGTTGCGTCAGTTGTTGTGTAAGCTGTTGTTTAGGCTGCGCGGCGCCGTCAGCGCCGGCCCCCTGGCGCACGAGGCGGCGGATGGTCTCGTCCAGCGCGCCCAGCTGCAGCTCCTGCAGCGCGTGGGCTTGCAACAGCCGTTCCACGTCCACCAAGTGACGGCCGACTTCCTCCGATTGGAATTGAGCCTGTGTGAGTAAACATAGTAATTAGATGCTGGAATGGGTCGCCTCCACCACGGCCTCACAGAAAACCGGCGTGAAACAACTACACCGTTGTGTTTCGCCGTGTGAGTGAGGTTACCGAAAGCTCAATCCCTCCCCCCTCCCCCCATCCCTTCCTTAAATATCAGAAACCTTTATACCTAAAAGGCCGGCAACACACTCGTTACTCATTTGTGTTTTGCAGGTGTCCATGGGCGGCGCTGATTGCTTACCATCAGGTAATTCGTCGACTCGTTTCCAGACCTATCTATACTTTAACAAATAGGTATTTTTACTTGGTAAATTTTATTAGTGTTTTATCTATTATTATTATAATAATCGCTTAATTATTATTAAGAGAAAGTCACAAAATGACAATTAAGTAGTGGCATTTTTATCATGAACAAGCAGCTCGCTCCTGCTTCGCACGAGTCTCATCATCTCGCTTACGATGAAAGGGTTCTTATTACCCAGCTGTCCCCTCTACTTTTCTAAAATTTTCTTTCATGAGAACCTTCCCCTGGCAATAACAAACACAACAAAAAAAGAATTAGCAAAATAGGTCCAGGCGTTGTTGAGTTATGCGCTTACCAACACATTTTGCGATCCATTTTTATATAGAAGATTATCTGATGGTAAGCAATCAGCTCTATCAATGGACACTTGTAATACCAATGGAGTTACTACAATTGCGTTGCTCTTGTAGGCTATTAGGGATTAAAGGATAAGAGATTTAGGGATTCAGGAAAGCGGGAGTAAGAATCATACCGAAGCATGGCTCTTTTTTTTTATGTGATAGCTCGGCAAACGAGCATACGGATTACCTGATGGTAAGCAATCAGCGCCGCCCATGGACACTCGCAACGGAGGTGTTACGAGTGCGTTGCCGACCTTTTAGGGATTAGGGATTTGGAGATTTAGGGATTGAGGAGGGATTGGGGAAGGGGAAGGATTGGGTCTCCGGTAACCTCACTCACACGGCGAAACACAACGCAGTGGTTATTTCACGCCGGTTTTCTGTGAGGCCGTGGTATCACTCCGGTCGAGCCGACCCATTCGTGCCGAAGCTTGGCTCTCCCACACTTTTATGTAGTTGAAAACCCAGAAACATCTTAATCTTACCTTCATCTCAGTCAAAGTATGTCCAACAGTATCAGCCTCCCGAAGCAAAGCCATCAGATGGGCAAGCTTAGCCAACGAGCTCCTGTGCCTCTCCAGCAGTTCCAGGAGTTCGTTCCACCTGGTCAGCACCGCCTGTTCCGTCCTGGACACAGCTTCCGCGCCGTGATAGTTCTCGCGAACTAATTCTGCGGCCATGGCTGATAAATCTTCGAAACGTTCGGTTCTAAGGAGAGGAAAATTAAAAATATATATATAAAAAAGTAGTGGTCGTCCGTGTGGATGTCGATTTTACACTTTTTCAAAATTTCTATTCATGAGTTTGACCTTGAACTTTAATTTGACATAATTTTTGATTTGACATATTTTTTTATTTTGACACAGTTATAATATATGTATGATTTAAGAGATTCGTTTCTTTGTAATTGATATACAGAAATAAATATTTTTTAATTTAAATTTCTTTAAGTAAGCAGGTGACAGTTGATGGCTTGACTGTTGTGTATTCGTATTGTGATGTACTATAAAATATTAAAATATAAATGTGCTCCTGCGACCCGCCCGCTCGGCATTACGGTGACGGAAGTCGAGACGAGCGGGCGTGTAGCACGCGCTCTTAAACAAATATAACTGTGTTTTATTAGACGATCCAAAGGTATAACGTGATACATAACACGTATATAATATGTGTAATAGGTAGTAGAGTCACTATTCTCAGGTTTAGGTATGTATGTTGCGTGGGTTTTCGATGGATCGGAGATGGAAGGAAACGAATCTGTTGTTACGAAAGTCTGTATAATAAAGTAAAAGCAAATAGGGTAAAGTTTGGTGAATATAACATAAAACTAAATACAACACGAAAACTGGGAGCGAGCGAGTGACGTAAAATAACTTGTGCTGCGCACTGCGGCGTCGGCGCGACTAGTCAGCGTTGCGTGCCTACATGACCGGCGGCGGCCGACAACCGTTTCTAACCGTGCGGCCGCGCCTGTACATTGTACACGCTCCGCAAACCCTCTCAACGACCGCGCGCTACATATTTGAATTGTTTAAATTATGGAAATTGAACAATATGGGATAAATTTTTGACCTTGACATTGTACATTTTTTACTTGTGATCTTGACTCTAACTATGACATAAAAGTTGATTTAATAGACACCTATTATTTATAGACACCTTTCTTTCATGTACATTCAATTTCTCCAAATTTGATCTTGAAATTTTCTCTACGCGACCTTGACCTTTTAACATTTTGTCCTTGACAATATAATCACTCTATCTTACCTGGCCAGTATGTCAGCAGAGATGGCTTCGTGTTTCTTCACTGTAGCATCAACTTGTGCCAGGTTGGATCCGTAGCGAGGGTCAGAGAGGACCTGGATCATCTCCTTCAGGTATCCTTTACGTAGTACCGACTGTTGAGGAAGAAATAAGAGTTAACTATCATCATCATCATCATCATCAGCCTATAAGTGCCTACTGCATGTTCTCACATGAACAACAAATTAATCACCACGCTCGCTCAAGGCGGATTGAAGACTTAAAACTTATAATTAGAAATTATAAGTCCAGGATTCCTCACGATGTTTTCCTTCAACGTATGTCAGTGGTGTGCCAAAAAATGCCAGACAACTACGTTGCCTGACGCTGGTCTTCAATAAAACCATCATCATTATCATCATCATCATCAGCCGGAAGAAGTCCACTGCTGGACAAAGCCATGACTCCTCCACGTCGAACGACAACTCGCCACCTGCATCCATTGGATCCCCGCGACTCTGACGATGTCGTCGGTCCACTTAGCAGGAGGTCTTTCCAAACTAAATTTGAGCTGCTCGCGCGCGGTTTCACTTGCTGCTCGGCTCTATTTGATCGTAGCGTAATGTTTCATAGCCTATAGCACTCAGGAACATCGTAACTATCGATCAGTGAAAGAATTTTGGCAATCCGACCAGCAGTTCCAAAGATTACCCTCTACATACAAACTTACAAATTTTACCTCTTTATAATATTAGTATAGATTTGTAAATATAACTTACTTTTGTGTTGAACTTGTAGTTGAGTTGTTCCAACCTCTGCTGTCGAAGTAATTCTGTTCTTAATGCAATCTCGCGAGCATGCTCGGCCTGTAATTAAGAAAAACCATAGTTTTTATTAAAATGACTGCAAACGTCATAAATGTATTACTGGAACGAAGTCTCCGATCTCCTTATCGCGCATTGCTGCAAAAGTTATAACGTTATTGCTATCTCCCTTTCTCTCTCTTTTTCACAGGTTGTCCTAGTTCAGGCCACCTCAGGCACCCAATATTATGAACTTGGTGTAGCTTTAAGCAAAACTGTATATTCTAGATTATGTGTTCTTTAATAAATTTTATTTATTTATTTATAACAAAAAAAGGCTACAGCATAAAATATTTATGTATGCTAATTGACAAATTATCAATAAATATGAATTATATTATATATCTCTGTCTTGCAACGATTTAACGATGATTTTTGTATAAATTAGGTACATTATATTTATTTGTTAAATAAAAAAATGTTTAATAACAATTCCTTCACTAATTCATCTAAAATTCTAAAGGAACTTTCGTTAAATCCGTATGTCCCGCGACAACTCTAAAAAAATGTTTAATAACAATAATAATTCCTTCACTAGTTCATATAAAGGAGTTTCGTTAAATCCGAGTTGCCCGCGACAGTTCAAGTTTTTTTATGTGACACGGCTTTTATGTCCTATAAAAACAAGTTTAAAAGAAGAAGTTAATGGTAGTTGAGAATAGTCTTAAAATAAGAATGAAGTAAAAAGGTGAAACGAAAATAACTGGTTTGCTTTCTATGTGTGTGAGAGGGAGATAGATATAGATACAGCTTTTCTGCGTTCTGACAGTTTGAGTACTTGCGCGACCCACCCAACTGTTCTTTAGATCGGTATTGTTCGTCGGACAACTCAGCAGCACTTGCTTTACTGGTTGCAAACTGACACTTGCGTGCCTGTCTTCAGAACGGGTCCACTTAAACTGGTGTGGTTCTTTCCTCAAAAGACCACTACAGAATGAACTTGCACGGCTCTCTCACATTATGTTATTTTACATTGTCTGGACTTGAAAAGAGACTGACCTCTGAGTTTGTTTCGGCATTTCTTCACAGAGTAGTCAGATAGGAAATGCCGGCTTCATCTAGTTTTTTACATATAAATTGACGTGTAAAAGTGCCGTTTTATGGCCTATTTGCAAAAATAAATTCATTGTTTCATTGTTGTTTCAAAGAAAGAGCAAGAAAGAGAGAGATTTTCCTCCTTTGTTCCGTGCAGGAATCGGACCTGCGACACAGTAGCCAACACGCCAATTACGCAGTGATTTTTTACTTTAACTTTGTCATGCTTAAAAAGCCGATGATACCTGTTCCAACTGTTGCCATGCCCTCTCCAAGTCCTGAGGCAGCTGACCTTCGAGTGGAGCCCAAGCTTCACCCGTCAGACTCTTTTGCATCGTATTAATGTCAAAGTAAAGAGCTTCAATCTCAGAACGCTCCTTATATCTGAAATATAATAATATTAATTAAAATTTGTTATAACATCTAAGGGCTGATTTTTCAATGTTTAGATATAAGTTACCGACGGAATAATTGGGTAGTTTCCTAGGTCAAAAATAAATTAATTCGAAGTTTTAATACAATAAAATATTGAAAAATAACTATACTTTTATTCATCGATCCATCGGTACACTAAGTTTTAGATTTTTTTAGCTAATTATTAAGAAATAAGTAAGATATTTGACGCAAAACTGTTGACGTTGACGTCATACCTCAGTTTTTCATACAAATTTCATAGAAAAGTATCGTTTTTGACATTTGGATAAAAGTATTGAATTTGACTAGTTGGAAACTACCGTATTATGATGCTATCGCGTCAGAATGTTTGTATAAGACAGTGACAGCAACAATTTTATTCCTCAGATAACATTTATCTGACTATTGATAAATCAGCCCTAGGAAACTAAATTGGGTAGTTTCCTAGGTCAAAAATAAATTAATTCAATTTTGTTTTTAGGTGATAGGTCTGCATAGGAGCAGACGGATTCCCTGATGGTGAGCAATCAGCGCCGCCCATGGACATCTGCCACACGAGTGCGTGGCCGATCTTTTAGGGATTTTAGGGATTGGGGGAGGGGAAGGATTGGGCCTCCGGGAACCTCACTCAAACGGCAAAACACAAAGCTGTGATTGTCGTTTTTTTATATTTTTTATTTGTATCGAAGCATGGTTCTCCCACATTAAAACTATTACGTTTATACGTTACATTAGCGACATCTATTGAGCAAAAATAAGTACTATACGGCCGACGTATCTTGGCGAGTCTGAAGTTAGCCGTTTGTCTGCGCAATGGATCTTTAGGAACAAAATTGTGTACTGCGCAGCTACTCGGATAACTTCAGACTCGCTAAGATACGACAGACGTACTATATTTATAGCTAAGACAAAAACAGCTTACTTGGGAGGTTTCTCCACAGTTCTGTACTGCTTAAAAGACAGTAAGAGTCGTTGTATACCGTCCAAGGAGTTGGGGAATTCTCTCCCGTTCAATTCTTGTATCTTGAGAAGGATCCATTCGAGGAGTTTTGTGAAAAGCTTACTGTATTCGCCTTTTCGATCGTCACAGTCCATCATTTGGCCGATAATCTGTAAAAAATATCAATTAATTATTAATATTTAAATATTTTTTTTTTTTCGGAAACCCACTCCGCATTCGCAAGAGTCCAGTGTTTTTTTTTGTCGTGGTAAAATCATCAAATGACCTCTCCCGCCTAGGGTAAGGCGAGAGAGTGTCAGACTCTTACTGACTAAAAACCCCCGTTCCTTCTTCGGCTCTGGTCCCAGGCCGCGGTGACTCATTGCGCTTAAACCGCAACCCCGAGTGAAGAAACCCCGGACGCAACGCTGATATTAAATTTCTCCACTATATAATGAATATTATGACACATATAAACCTTCCTCTTCAATCACTCTCTCTATTAAAATAACTGCATCAAAAATCCGTTGCGTAATTTTAAAGATTTAAGCATAAATAGGGATATAGGGACAGAGAAAGCGACTTTGTTTTATACTATGTGGTGATTGACATTGAGCTTGCGTTTAGCCTCTTTGTCTATACTGAATTATTTATTTATTTAATCCGCATTAACAATAATTAGGCTTATCTATTAATCTCTAGAAGTACAGTAACAGTTTTTAATCATTATTTTTATAACTGTCTAGCTGACCCGGCAAACACCGTGCCGGCTTAAGATGTTTAATAACGCCAGCAATTTTTATGGGAAAGAAAATTGAAGTCCTTTTTGTGTGTTTTGAACGCATTTTTTCTATATTTTCTCAAAATTTTAACTTTCCTTGGACATCCACGATTTAATTTTGGTATAGTGATTAAAAAACTTTACGACGATTAAACAAAAAGAAAGTTTCTTTAGGAGAGTTGTTTGTTATCATGAGTACAAACACGTGTTTAGATATCCGTCACTAATAACTATAGTCAGAATTTTAATTCGATTCCTGATTTGACATGACCTACTGTAATTTTGTGAAATAATGATAATAATATCACATATAACAGTGTAGTGATGGACACAAAAATCGATAAACAGTCAGTGAATCAGTTTCAGGAAGGCATTCAATAAATTACGGCTTCCGAATGGTCTAAATGCATAACCCATGTTGTCAAAGAAGAGGAAACAATTCATAATAAATGTTACAGAAAGTAACAGCGATAGCGATAGCGATGACGCCGACAATTTATAAAATGCCTGTTTTATTTGTCATGCTCCTTCATGATCACATTTTTTATTAATTTCGTACACAATTACGAAAGAAAAGTCTCAGATCGTTAAATAATTGTCAAAACTAAATTATCGGCTCAGAAATATTTTATTTCCTGATAAACTTAGTTTACGAGAGTAAATTTATAAACGAGAGGAATCGGTTCAGGAAAATTCGATTTCCATAACGAATAATTTCGTAACGTCACTATTTAGTACGTGTCATAATGTTGCAACACTGAAATTGTCAAATCTGGAATGGATTTAAAATTCCGAGTATAGTCATACTATTTACAAAAACACTTGCTAAGCTTTTTAAGTTACATAATATAACGGTATTGTGTAAAACAATATCATGAACAGTTCAAAATACTTACATTGGCGATTCTCCTTCCGCTTTTCTGTTCATTCTTCATCCGAGCGAATGTATGGTAATAGGAAGCTACGTATGTCATTACTGATTTCTCGTCCGGACGGCTGGTGTCGACATCTAGCGAGGAAAAGACGAATATAAATTAAATATATAAGAATTACAAAGCTTCGGTATGAATGGGTCGGCTCGACTGGAATGATACCACGGCCTCACAGAAAACCGGCGTGAAACAACCACAGCGTTGTGTTTCGCCGTGTGCGTGAGGTTACCGGAGGCCTAATTCCTGCCCCTACCAATCCTTAAATATCCGAAACCCTTATCCCCAAAAGGCTGGCAACGCACTCGTAACTCCTTTGGTGAAGCAGGTGTCCATGAGCAGCGCTGATTTTTTTTAAAAAAAAAACGTTGCCCCTCACTAGTGTGCCTTTACAAACATAGATGGATCACACAAAGAGTTCTTCCGTGCGGGAATCGAACCCGCGACACGAAGCAGCCAGTTGCCCAGCCACCGCGCCAACCGTGCAGTCGAAGTCGATGATTGCTTACCATCAGGTAATCCGTCTGCTCGTTTGCCGATCTGTTCCAATAAAAAAATATATGGATATACATATAATTTTATTTGTCTATAGTATTCCATTCACGGGACTGTAGGATTCCGGACCTACGAGGGGCCGAAGCCAAGTCGCAAAGGCCCTTTGAACTATTTTAATTTAAACTTGATAGCACATCCGCCTGCAATTGGGTAGTTTCCTAGGTCAAAAATAAATTAATTCGATGTTTCAATACAATAAAATATTGAAAAATTACTATACTCTTATTCATCGATCGATCAATACACCAAGTTTTAGATTTTTTTTAGCTAATTATTGTGAAATAAGTAAGCTATTTGACGCAAAAATGTTATGACGTCATAGCTCAGTTTTTCATACAAATTTCATAGAAAAGTATCGTTTTTGACGTTTGGATAAAAGTATTGAATTTGACTAGTTGGAAACTACCGTATTATCCCTGTATGGACAATAAAAGTGCACCCAAGGACAATCCCCGGTTGATATTAAGGAAAGGATTGGGAAAGGGTTAAGCCATTTAACCTTCAAATGAGATTTTATTCAATGAAACAATGAATTTATTTTTGCAAATAGGCTATAAAACGGCACTTTTACGCGTCAATAAAATAAATCAATAAAGATAAAATATTATTTTTTATCCAGAATATAAAAATTAAGAATGAGCCGGTTTCCTTACCCTCAGCGTCCAGGAGACGAGGAATGCCCAGATGTTTGTGGGCCACGTCGAAGGCATGGTTGAGGGTTTCCACGTGGTCGGTAGCTGGGACCTCCGACCAACGGAACAGGTCTGGTCTGTAATACAAAAGGAGAATCACTAATTAAGTACTACTCGCTAACGAAAATATTTTACGGGATGACCCGATCTGTTTCGAGCTAAGGATCCATAATATTGGTCGAGTAATGGATATAAATTAAATATATGATTAAATCTTTAACTAGATGGTAATAACATGTTATCATCATCATCAGCCTGAGCGTTAATCACCTTGTTCGCTCAAGGCGCATTGGTGATTTCAAACTTATTATAAGAACCTCTTCAAGGTTTGGAAATCGATGGGCAACCGTACCTGTGGGCGTGGATGAGAGCGTTGAATCCAAGACCTGATCTCCAGGAGTCTGTAAAGTTGTGTATATGGACGCCATGGTAGCCGCTGGTCTTTCTCTGACACCAGAGAAGTAAGGCATCCTTCGCTGATTTCTTCTCTGACGATTCATTTTCTTCGTCCTGAAAAAAGTGGTTTTAAAATCAAATATTTCAAAATTGGCAAAAACAAGGCCGTTTTTACATGTTCATGATTATTAACCCCGTCGTGGCTTGAAACTAGTCGAGCTTCAACTACGTACAAGGTTCTTTTATGGTATCCATTCAGTAACATCCATCCATCCAGTATATCCATCCAGTAACACTTTGGTCTTTTTTTTAGTGGGACAAGCCCGCCGCAACCTCTTAAAACCGCTGTAAATCCTGTGCTCTAAGATTTACAGTAGATACAACCACGAAAACACCGGAACACTGAAGTTCGACGCGTCTAAGGAACATGAATGACTGACTGTCTTGGATTCCGCAACGAAATAAATTCGAAGAAGTGCAACCACGACCTGTGCAACCAGATCGAAACGTCAAGCCTTCTAAGGTATTAGAATAATTAATTTTCGCGTTATTACCCATTTAATGATATGTTGTTTTACCCACCTTGCGCAAAAATCAGGTGCGCTGGCGCAAAAATCAGTTGCGCTGGCGCAAAAAATTAGCGCAACATTTTTAAACTTTAGCGCAAAATAACACCAATACAGTAGTAAATTATTGATTTAAGATAGTGAAAAATTATGTAGCTCTTACTGTATTTATGTTGATGCTCATACTACCCTGTGTGAAACTGAGTGAAACGTGTAAACGTAGTTGATCGTACATTTATTTATAGCATACTAGCTTTTGCCCGCGACTTCGTTCGCGTGGAATAGTGACTTCCTGCAGATTTTTGGTATAAAAACTATCCTATGTCCTTTCTGCAAATCGATTCTATGAAATTTGTTAAGTTTTGTTCGATGGTGAAGTGAGCGGCGAAGTGACGGGGAAATTACATTATAGAATGCCACTTTTAACGTCATTTCATACTTTATCTATCAAAATGTTGCTGTCAATTTAGTTCAACTCGCAAGTGTAGCGCTAGTGTACTACTACTCACAGCGGATTCAGATTCGAAGTTTAGAATCAAGTCTTACAGAATCACACTGCTAGAATTCCAAACTATGTCTGTACCAAATTTCACAGAAATCGCTTCAGTAGTTTAGGCGTGAAGAAAAGACAGAAAGACAGACAGAGTTACTTTATAATAATATAATATTATAGTTTGGAAGTTTGGATTGTATATTTAGATATAAGATATAATATATGATTGTTTATTTCCCCAAAAATACTAAAAATAAAAAAATTAAGACAGTAATAGTAATCTGTTTGACTGTCAGTCATTTTATTACAAAAAATAAACTTACAACGTCAATTTCAATCTCCTGGATCTGGAACCTCAAGATGATGGTCCATATCAGACCTAGGATCAGCCGAGGGTTGCCGTCCACGATATCTTCAGCTCCGATTGACTCCAGACGCACCTGATGAAAATGAAAATTAGGTTAGTATAGGTAAGGTTTGAAATAATCGTCAATAAATCTAATACTAACTGTGGCGAATGGGTCGGCTCGACCGGAGTGATACCACGGCCTCACAGAAAACCGTCGTGAAACAACCACAGCGTCCTGTTTCGCCGTGTGAGTGAGGTTACCTGAGGCCCAATCCCTAATCCCTATCTCTATCCCAATCCTTAAATATCCGCAATCCTTACCCCTATAAGGCCGGCACGCTCTCGTAACTTCTTTGGTGTTGCGTGTGCCCAAGGGCGAGGCCGATTGCTTACCATCAGGTAATCCGTCTGCTCGTTTGCCGACTTATCCGATAAAAAAAAGCTACCTAAATTGTACTGCGATCAGGTACAGTGCGGCCGACGTATGTTGGCGAGTCTGAAGTAAGCCGTTTAGCTGCGCAGTACACAATTTTGTTCCTAAAAGATCCATTGCGAAGATACGTCGGCCGAACTGACTGTAGTTAGCTGTTTGATTTGGACGGCTATTTCATCTAGTTGGCGGCGACTTACAGACTTGTAAACATGAGTAAGATTGTTTAGGAAGACTTACAAACGCTGTGTATTGAATAGGCTTCTGTAATTACGTAAGTTTCTTACATAAGTGTACTTTTTTTTTGTGAGGGGAAAATCATCAAATGACTTCTCCTGCCCAGGGTCGGGCGGGAGGGAGTGTCAGACTCTTACTGACTAAAAACCCCCCTGTTCCTTCTTCTGCTCTGGGCCGAGGTCGCGGTGCCTCATTGCGCTTACCCCGCAACCCCGGCTGAACATCAGCCCTATAGGGCCCCGTCTGTGGTGGTCTATTGGCTCTTTGAGGCGCGCGCGGAACGCTACGCGCAGTACGCTCGGGCCTGGTTCTGGTCGGGCGGCAAGCTACCCTTACTCGCCGACCGCAGACCAGCGCTTACGGTGGCCGGAGATCGTCTCTTGATCCCCGACGCCCGTAGTGTCGCCAGTTGCGGCGGCTGGGGCGTGAGGAGGAGGATTGCAACCTCACGCGGGCCGCCTCTCTCTTTGCGAGTACATAAGTGTACTTAAGGCCACTATATAAACGATTTTACGCTACCTACATATGTTTTTTTTTGTCATAGGTCGGTTACTGATAATTCTTTCACTGATAGATAGCTACAATGTTCCTGAGTGCTATAGGCTAAAACATCACGCTACGATCAAATGGAGCGGGTGAAACCGCGCCAGAGTAGTTACGAGTAGTAACAGAATAACAATAACAAGAATAGGTAACCATGGAGTTTCTTGCTCGTTCTTATCCATTGAAATCTACACTTTGGAACGAGCGAATAGCTTCACTAAGAGGACTGACTGACAGACTGACACTTTATATCTTTAAAATTTTGATTGACGTTCAAAAGAACTTGTAGGGGTCTTATCATAATCAGCGTATACGTGCCCACTGCAGAGCAAAGGCCTCTTCTCACACGGAGAAGATTTTAGCATTAATCACCACGCTTGCTCAATGCGGGTTGGCGATTTGAAACTTATAGTTATAAATTATGCCACCACGACATTTTGCCTGTAGGGGTCTAACTGAAATCAATGATTTTGTTTTTTTTTACTTTGGATTTTAATAGGTGCGAGAAAGCCGGCGTTTGCTTGGTATTTAGTGTATGACGGATAGGGGATTTGAGGATTGAGGGTGGAGGGAACGGATTGGGCCTCTGACCGGTAAACTCAATCAAAATGGCGAAAAACAACGTCAGTAGGTACTGTCTGTTTGTTACGGCTAATCTCCGAAATGGCTAGACCGATTTCGACCGGACTTTTATTGGCAGGTACTTATTGTTATAAGGAGTAACTTAAGGCTACTTTTATTGTAGACAAATTCTTTCATTATTATCATCTAAATTTTAAATTTAAAAGTCTTTCCCGCGCGATATCGATGATTACGATTTTCGCGGACGATGTCGCGGGTTAAACCTAGTACCTATCTATATATGTAATTACGGTACAAAAGGACAATATGACATCACGTTATCACCATGTTATGTTATCATCACCTGTGTGTTATCACTAAGATAAGTAAAACCAAGTTTTAGATATAAAATGGCTACTTTATTATGTTCATGTGCCTAGCATGAAATGTTATCTATTTTTATTAACCCCCGACGCAAAAACGACGGGGTAAGTTTGACGTGTCTGTGTGTGTGTGTGTGTGTGTCTGTCTGTACCACTCTAGCCGCCGAACGGATGGACCGATTTTGATTTAGTTTTTTTTGTTTGACAGTAGAAAATGTCGAGAGTGTTTTTACGTAAGTTTGATGAAAATTGTTCCAAGATGGCCGCCGCCACAAAATGACAGATTAGATATTTTTTTTAAACTCCATCAATATGGGTATCAAATGAAAGGGCTTGGCTAGTAGAATACTATTAGTAGATATGACAAATTTAAAATCCAAGATGGCTGCCTGTACAAAATGGCGCTTTATGGATTACATTTGGTTTTTATAAAGTCGGGGGTTTTTTTAAATTTTTAATTTATATTTTAAAACGGCTTCGCATCGTTTCTTTGCTGATACCAAATTTCTCCACTATTTAATGGATGTTATATATACTAATATTATAAAGAGGTAAAATTTGTAAGTTTGTAAGTTTGTATGTAGGGGGATAATCTTTAGAACCGCTTGCTGGTCGGATTGCCAATATTCTTTCACTGATAGATAGCTACAATGTTCCTGAGTGCTATAAGCTATAAAACATCACGCTCAAAAGGAATCGAGCAGCGGGTGAAACCCGAGAGTAGCTAGTTATACATATAAACCGTCCTCTTCAATCAATACCTGTGGGAGAGCCATGCTTCGGCACGAATGGGTCGGCTAGATCGGAGTGATACCACGGCCTCACAGCAAAACGGCGTGAAACAGCCAAAGCTTACTTTCCTTCATCAAATTTTTCCCCTCACCCAATCCCTAAATCTCCAATTCCCTAATCCCCAACGCACTCGTAACTTCTTTCGCGTTGCGGTTGTCCATGGGCGGGCCGATTGCTTACCATCAGGTAATCCGTCCGCTCGTTAATCTCTATAAATAAAAACACAATATGAAGGTCAAAAACGTACCTTGGTATGCAAAAAACTCAAGCTCTTGTTAACATTTTCAATTTTGTGGACTCTCATACGTCCACTGTTGGGCCTGGGAAGTCGCTCTCCACTGATGATCTCCAACAATTTCAAGAGTCTTCGGCCGTCCGCCAGATCGACGAACAGGTCGTCCACCTCCATTCGCGCCTGAAAGAAATTAAATAAAATTATTATAGGAGACAGCTTTTATTTGAATGAGTATTATCAACCAATGATTTGATTGGATCTGATCCTTGGGTGTGCCATGCTTCGGCACGAATGGGTCGTCGACCGGAGTGATACCACGGCCTCACAAAAAACCGGCGTGAAACAACCACAGCGTTGTGTTTCGCCGTGTGAGTGAGGTTAATCCTAAATCCCTAAAAGGTCGGCAACGCACTCATAACTCCTCCGTTGCGGGTGTCCATGGGCGGCGCTAATTGCTTACCATCAGGTAATCCGTCTGCTCGTTTGCCGACCTATTATATAAAAAAAAACAGTTATTTTTCAATACTTCAATGTATTGAAACGTTGAAATAATTTATTTTTGACCTAGGAAACTACGAACCCAGTTGTATAAGTACGAAACTCCATAGTTAAATCGTTTTTTTTTTTATTAAGTTTCATTTTTCTCATCCAACCTAACGATTTTCGTCTGTCAATCCGCCATTTTGTTTTAATGACTGTTTTATTTTAACCTTCATGTTATAAATGCAGTCAGAATGACGTCACTGCAACTCAATCATTATAATAAAATAGTTTTTGTGACATGACAAAAGGCTTATCGCTTCAAAGGAACAGCTAAAGCTGATTCTAATATGATATACTAGCTTCTGTCGGGCGGTTTCACTCGCAGCTCGGCTCCTACAAATCGTAGCGTGATATTTTATAGCCTAAAGCCTTCCTCGATAAATGTATCTAACGAACAAAAAAGAATTATTCAATTCGAACCAGCCGTTCTGAAGATTAGCATGTTTCAAACAAACAAACTCTACAGTTATGTAATATTTGTATATCTATACTAATATTATAAAGAGGTAAAATTTTTAAGCTTGTATGTAGGGGGTAATCTTTGGAACCGCTGGTCGGATTTCCAAAATTCTTTCACTGATAGATAGCTACAATATTCCTGAGTATTATAGGCTATAAAACATCACGCTGCGAGTAAATAGAAAGAAGAAGAAAGAAAGAAAAAACATTTATTTGAAACTCGCACAGAAAATAAATACAATTACATTTTATAAATACAAAAAGAAAAAACAAACAAAAATAAACAAAACAACAACAAAAAAAATATATTAAAATAAAATAAAAGACCTGTGCGAGGTCAAAAAGGCCACTATCTCAGCATATGCTGCGATAATTCACCAATAGGTAAAAATACCGCAGCGCTGGTATTCTGATAGGGCCTGGTGATGCCACGGACACACTCACGGAACACAGAAACAGATTAACATATAAATATATAGAGATATAAAAATATCAGATATATATAAAAATTATAAACAAAAAATAATAGTAACAAAATACCTACTAAAAATATTCTATAAATAGTATACAAATATAAATGACAAGAAAGATAAGTAAATGGAGGCGAGCAGCGGGTGAAACCGCGCGAGAGTGAGCTAGTGTTAAATTAATTTAACTTGTCTCACGATGTAAAAAATAACTGGTCATAAGCGAGTGTTGCGTCCTAATTTTTCTCTCTGCATACACACAAAACAATGTGATGTTATAATAATTATTATTGAGAAGATAACGCTATCTGCGATGCATGAGTAATGCAGATCATGACACATCGATTTAAATAGAATATAATGTTACTGCAAGTGCTATAAGGGTCTGTCCATTAGTCAAAGTGAGGTTGTTTTTCTCAGTTTTTGGTGAAATTTGGTGAATTTGAAACCACACCCACATCCACAGTTTTGGGAGAGCCATGCTTCGGCACGAATGGGTCGGCTCGACCAGAGTGATACCACGGCCTCATAGACAACCGGCGTGAAACAACCACAGCGTTGTGTTTCGCCGTGTGAGTGAGGTTACCACAGGCCCAATTCCTCCACCTTCCCTATCCCTTCCCAATCTTTATATCCGCAACCCTTATCTCCAAAAGGTCGGCAACGCATTCGTAACTCCTTTGGTGTTACGGGTGTCCATGGGCGGCGCCGATTGCTTACCATGAAGTAATCCGAACGCTCGTTTGTCGACTTATTCCATCAAAAAAACAACTTACCTTTTGCAAGAAGGAATTGATCCATTTGGTGAATGTTTTCTTCTGTATGTGCAGGCGTTCTTCTTGTAGTGCTTTGATACGGCCCTGCTCGAATTTGAGGGCATCTTCCCGTTGTGTCATGTTTGTTCGCTGCTGGACCGCCGCCGCGTATCCACCCGGCTCATACTGTTGCCCTGGTAGAAGAAAAATACAGAATTAACTAAAAATCGCGGGTTACTCACGTGTGTAATTTGAGAAAAGCTCTACTAGTTTCGAACCACAGAGGGGTTCTTCCTCATGAGCAGCGTGCGCGGCGTGGACTCGCCGCAGCGCAACCATCAACAGCGATGGAGGCGCCAACGCTAACCAGTAGGCTGCGCGACGTCGCCGCGTCCGCGCACGCTGCTCATGAGGAAGAACCCCTCTGTGGTTCGAAACTAGTAGAGCTTCTCTCAATATAAACACGTGAGCAACCCGCTTTAGTTTTAGTTAATTTAAAAATACAGAAGTTTAGCGTTGATCACCAAAACCAAAACATAGAAGTAACGAAACCATAATATACATGTCGGAACGTATGTAATTGCTTGAGTGAAAGGAAACGTAAAATTACGTATAAATAGGTACTCCTAAGTTCGTCGTACTTTTAGCACATTTAATATACATATGTTACCAGACTACGGCGAAGCAAAATAATGGATGACAAAAAAACAAACCAACGACAAACAAGATTTTCAGAATACTGAAAAACGTAGTCACACGTAGTCACAGTGCTATGGTAGGTAAGTAAATGTAACGTGTGACTACGCCTTTCAGTATTCTGAAAATCTTGTTTTATACTTTTTCAGCGTCGGTTTTTGTCGTAGTTGGGTTTTAGTTTTTATATTTTTAATTGGGAGGTTGAGGAATGTTTTTAAGACATTCCTCACTAGACTTTTCTTCTATTTAGGGTGGGTTTTAAATACCCAACTGCTACTAATTAAAAATACAAACAATTCAGAACCTTACCATATTTTCTCGATGGTTGATAATCCTGGTAAGAATAAACACTAACGTTACTCAGTTGCCGCTGCATTTTTGTTATGCGGCAACACTCAGCACAAAGTTCTCATTAGGTTGGCAACACTGTTCGCCACAGATTATTAATTATTTAACTAAGTCACTTCGATGCTATCTAAGGGTAGAAGTTGTTGTTTTAGATATTTTTTTCTTTTTTTGGATACTTTTAGCCTTTTTGAATGTTTTATTTCGTATTATTAAACTTAAATCAATCTCGATAACAGGTTTGATGTGCAATTAAGATTTAAATATTTTATTAAATGACCTTCAATGTGATTCTAAACTTCGAATCTAATAAATAAATAATCTAACTCGAATCACAATCCGCCGTGAGTAGTAGTAAACTAGCGCTACACTTGCGAGTTGAACTAAATTGACCGCAACATTTTGATAGATAAAGTATGAGATGACGTTAAAAGTGGCATTCTATAATTTAATTTCCCTGTCACTTCGACGCTCACTTCACACTCGAACAAGATTCAAAATCAAACACATTTTATAGAATCGATGTATTTAGCTTCTACTGATTAAGGTTAGCTTAGCTTCTATTTATAAACAACAAATTCTCCACTATATAATGGACGTTATTATACATATAAACCTTCCTCTTCAATCACTCTATCTATTAAAAAACCGCATCAAAATCCGTTGCGTAGTTTTAAAGATTTAAGCGTACATAGGGATATAGGGACAGAGAAAGCGACTTTGTTTTATACTATGTAGTGATATAACATTGAATAGCCAAAATAATTTATTTTTTCACATAAAACTGCACAATTGCAACAGGAAATGCAATGTCAACGAACATTTACAGTTACGAATGCATTCACCGCTGTATGCGTTAATTAATTGGCCTAATCACAAAGTTCCGGTCATGAGCATAATGCACAAAGACGGATGAAAACTGTCATGGGGTTGCCCATGACAAATTGCAAATCAAAAATCTATACTAATATTATAAAGAGTTAAAATTTGTAAGTTTGTATGCAGGGGGTAATCTTTGGAACTGCTGCCTAGTCGGATTGCCAAAATTCTTTCACTGATAGATAGCTACAATGTACTAAGGGTTGTATTAAGGGCTTTTTCTGCGTTAGCGGGATAAAAAATTACCTTGTTTATGTGAGAGAGTAACAAACAACCATCCGTACATCATACTTTCGCGTTTATAAAATTCAAAACTTCAAATTGAAAAGTGGAAATAAATAACACAAACGCAATTTTATCTTAAAAAAAACCTTTTCTCATACCAAATCAAACAATAATTGATTAAATGATTGCTCTAAATATCTTTGAGTACTTAACAATAGCAGTCACTCAGCCCTACGCGTAATGCGCGCACGCGCACGACCGTGAACTGCCCACTAACGGTGCAGGTCGAGTGCCATTGATCCTATAAACATACGAAACATAATACATATATAATAAAACAGAAAAAAGTGTTTTTTGTGAGAGGAAAATCATCAAATGACTTCTCCCGCCCAGGGTGAGGCGAGAGAGAGTGTCAGACTCTTACTGACTAAAAAACCCCCCGTTCCTACTCCTGCTTTAGGCCGAGGCCGCGGTATCTTGAACATCCCCCGGCTGTGGTGGTCTATAAGCTCTTTGAGTCGCGCGGAACGCTAAGCGCCGTACGCTCGGGTCTGGTTCTGGTTGGTCGTCGAGCTACCCTTACTCGCCGTTAATAATTGGGCAGTTTCTTAGGTAAAAAAAATTAATTTGACATTGAAATACAATAAAAAAAATAAAAATAACTATACTTTTATTCATCGATCTGTCTTTACACTAAATAGTCTACATTTTTAACCTTATAAATATTCAAAAAATGTGTGTGTGTAAGCTATTTGACGCAATAATACTACCTAAGTATGACGTCATAATTTGGAAGTTTCATACAAATTTCATAGAAAAGTATCGTTTTGGACATTTGGATAAAAGTATTGAATTTGACTAGTTGGAAACTACCGTATTGTTTTGTTTTGAACCTATGGTATATAGCACAGAAGTAAACGCATCACTCACTGCACTGGCCTTCAAAAAGTCCCGTTCTTTAAACTTTTTAAACGTATGCCTGCTAATTTGTATATTGTGTGGCTTATGGAGTCACGGTCCGCAGCGTATGGTCAATGGCCAGGCGATACGGCTCGGTTATCGAGTCACGGAGAAAATGATGAGCATATGAACATTACTTGTTATCAACCTCTGTTTTTAACCTGATGGTAAGCAATCAGCGCCACCCATTGACAACGGGAATTACGGGTGCGTTTGGGGATTAAGTGATTGGGGGCAGGGAAAGATTGGGTCTCCGGTATCCTCACTCACACGGCGCAAAACAATGCTATGGTTGTTTCACGCCGGTTTTCTGTGAGGCCGTGGTGTCACTACCATTCGTGCTGAAGCCTGGCTCTCCCACACTTAAAATCTTTACTAGTGACCCGCTTATGCTGATACTAAATTTGTCCACTATTAAATGGATGTTATTATACATATAAACCTTCCTCTTCAATCACTCTATCTATAATAAAAAAAACCGCATCAAAATCCGTTGCGTAGTTTTAAAGATTTAAGCGTACATAGGGATATAGGGACAGAGAAAGCGACTTTGTTTTATACTATGTAGCGATAGACTTATTGAAGTTTATAAGTAAATATTACTTGTATTATTTACATTAAAATTATCAGAGCTGTGGTTCAATGACCGAAATGTCAACATTATAAATTATGTGGAACGGACAATGTACAGTATTTGCTTGTATATATGAATATTGAGATAAAGAATTTATTTTTTTGCATCAACAATTAACATGCTGTTTATGATCGTGGTATGTTGAGAGTGGTCCGCTTCTCATGCATGAGGGGGCGCGGTTAAAAAACCTAGCAAGTACCAATGAGACTTTTTCCAAGTTATATGTACTTTCTATGATTATTTAGACACCACTGACATACGGTGAAGGTAAACATCGTGAGGAAACCTGCAGTGTGATTCTGTAAGACTTCATTCTAAATTTCGAACCTGAATCCGCTGTGAGTAGTAGTACACTAGCGCTACATTTGCGAGTTGAACTAAATTGACAGCAACATTTTGATAGTTATAGTATGAGATGACGTTAAAAGTGACATTCTAAAATTTAATTTCCTCGTCACTTCGACGCGCTCTTCGCACTCGAACACGATTCAAAATCAAACAAATTTTATAGAATCGACGTGCTGGACTTCTAATTTCTAAATTACAAGTTTGAAATCGGAAATCCGCCTCCACAGTGACCACTGCTGAGCAAAGGCCTCTTCTCAAAAGGAGAAGGCTAGAGCACCACGCTTGCTCAATGCGGGTTGGCGATTTCAAACTTACAATTAGAAATTATAAGTCCAGGTTTCTTCACGATGTTTACCTTCACCGTATTAAGTCGGAATAGCGTTAATCTTGTATTAGGTTATGATGGGGCTGGCGTCATCGTATTGTGACCAAAAGGCCTTAAATTTTTGGTAGATATTTAAAAAAAAAGAAAAATCAGCCCTAAATACCTATAGATATACTTATTCGAGTACCTGTCACGATTTTTTTTTATTTAATAGGTCGGCAAACGAGCTGACGGATTACCTGATGGTAAGCAATCAGCGCCGCCCATGGACACTCGCAACGGAGGAGTTACAGTGCGTTGCCGACCTTTTAAGGATTAGGGATTTGGAGATTTAGGAGGGATTGGGGGAGGGGAAGGATTGGACCTCCGGTAACCTCACTCACACGGCGAAACACAACGCTGTGGTTATATCACGCCGGTTTTCTGTGAGGCCGTGGTATCACTCCGGTCGAGCCGACCCATTCGTGCCGAAGCATGGCTCTCCCACACTTAGTCACGTCATAATTTTCGAACATAGAGTCCGAATACATCCAAGTTTTTGTTCTACTTATTTTACAATCTTCGACACACATATATTTTATACTGAGTAGGTAATGTTTACAGAAGGTATCGTTCAAGGCGTGTTTCACTTATCAATATTTACTTTGAACTCGATAAGAATATAGAATGCTTGTAACAATTTATTGTTGAGTCGAAATAGAAGAAAATTTATTTTACTTAATACTAGCTACTGTCGCACGGTTTCACCCGCTGCCCGGCTCCATTTACTCGTAGTGTGACGTTTTATAGCCTATAGCCCTCAGGAACATTGTAGCTATCTATCAGTGAAAGAATTTTGGCAATCCGACCAGCGGTTCCAAATATTACCCCCTACATACAAACTTACAAATTTTACCTCTTTATAATATTAAGTATTAGTATTAGTATAGATTGTAAAAGAGCTATGGGGCCACCTAACATGGGAATTGTAACCTGTTACTAGTACCTATCATTTATAATTTTATTACCGGTCACTTTTTTTGTGAGAGGAAAATCATCAAATGACCTCTCCCGCCCAGGGAAGGCGAGAGAGAGTGTCAGACTCTTACTGTCCGAAAAACCCCCCGTTCCTTCTCCTGCTCTGGGCCGAGGTCGCGGTGCCTCATTGCGCTTACCCCGCAACCCCGGCTAAACACCAGCCCTATAGGGCCCCGTCTGTGGTGGTCTATTGGCTCTTTAAGGCGCGCGCGCGCGCGGAACGCTACACGTCGTACGCTCGGGTCTGGTTCTGGTCGGGCGGCGTGCTACCCTTACTCGCCATCCGCAGACCCGGGCGAGTGGGAGTATTAGACTCTTACTGCCCGGGCCAGGGCTTTGGTGCCTTATTGCGCTCGACCCACACCCACAACCCCGGCTTAAATGACCTAACACTGTTCCTAACTGTTCTTTGCGTCCGTGACATTACAACCTCAGGTTCAGTTGAAAACCAGCGTCAGACTCTAGTTTTCTGGCATACTTGCTGAACTGAACCATTTTTTGGCGCAGCTGTGGGGCACACAATTACTGCATTTCCAATTTTTATTTATTTTAAGTTTTTTTATGTTTTATTTTATTTTTATTTTTTGCTTCGTGATTGTGTTTTTTGTGTGAAAATAAATTAATTTTACCACAGTGTTATAGGGACACTGTGGCAAAATAAATTTATTTTCTTTCTTAACAACGTTTTAACATAAGTTATTTTAAAGCCACACAACTGAAAATAAACACTATTTGAATACAA